TTATCGTGGGTTTGATTTAAACGAAACCTCTTGCATGAAGTATGCACCGATCACTAAAGTGGATGTAGAACGTTCATTTTCTGTGTATAAAAACATTCTGTCAGACAATAGAGTCAATTTCACTACTGCAAGTCTTACAAAATACATGATGGTTAATTATTTTTTCAATTTAAATTAATTTTTCGATTTTTTTTATTCAGTTTTATAACTAATTCATGTTAATTTTTGTTCATGTTTTCTTTTTTTTTAAATAAATATGGTTAATTTTCACTTTTTTAAAACAATTTTGAGCTTTTTTTGTTATTCATTATGCTTTAAAATCCGAAACCTAATCATTAATATTAAATTTAATTATTCCGCCCCCCCTATCATAGTTAAGGTCTGGAGACGCTCCTGCTCCGGTCTAAATCTTAAACGGTTGTAATTCATAAATCCGGTAAATATGATGTTAGTGTTATGCATATCAAAATGTCTAGAAAAATATTCTGTATTCGAATCTGTGTTCAAAAAAGAGGGTCGCTATTTGAAAAACCAAAGTGCATACTTATTTAAGGCTGTTAATAGAACTTTAATTGTATTCAACATAGTATAAAAGTAGCTTAAATATTGTAAATTATTTACGTATTATATTATACTGTATACTAACAACTCATTTATCTCGCCACAAGCTCAGCTTAACGGGGTAAATTAAATAACAGTACATTGTAAATTATTATTATTCTAATAAAAAAGAACATATAGAGTCGGGTAAAAAAAATCCGAAATTGTTTTAAAATAAAGCTTTGCTGCGGACATTCCGCGAGGATTAAAAACAGAAAAAAAAACAAAAAAAAAAAAAGCAAAAATCGAATTCACTCCTCCGAGAAAATTGCCGGGTTCGCGGCAAAGACAAATCGCCCTGTGCGCGCATATTGTAAGACTACGGCGTGAAAATAAAATTACGAATCGCGGAACGTTCGCCCCGCCGCGCATTGCGACGGCACGGCGGCCGCGCGAACAATGGCCCGCTCGGTACGACGACGGCGCGGTGCCCGGATTGGATTTATGGGGTTTTTTTTTTTCAAAAACGTACATGCACACGCCTGTACGCGTTATAAACTATCGTACTTAATCGGCCGCGACGAAATCCCGGACGGGAACGCGGCTTTCCGCGGGGACCGCGCGAAAAATAATAGGAACCCGTGTTGTCGGTTCGCTCCGCGGGGACGGCGGCGGCGGCGCGGTAAGACAATCGCGCCGTGCCCTCCAGTACACCGCGCGAAACCGAACGACAACAACAACAACAACAACAGTAATTATTCGAATTGCGCGAATGAAAAATCGTCCGGTCGTCCGCGCGAAAAGGGCTCCCGCCAAATGCGACGGGCGCGGACGGGGGAGACGCGAGTGCGCGGCGAGTACCGGCGGGGGGCGGCCGCGGCGAGACATTAAAACGCGAACGGTCGCAATCAAACGCGGCCGTACCCGTCGTATTATTTTTGTTGTTTTATTGCACGGGGGCGATGATTTTTTTTTTTTTTTCCATCACGAACCAACGATAGCTCGCATAAATTCGGTTTTTCCCGCACGTTCCCCGAACAATGGAACGGCATCAAATAAATTGCCGTCGAATTCGCGTTCACGACAAATCATAATGCATTACGAAAAAAATACAAGAACAGCGATTATCCCGGGCTCTCGATACCCGGTTCAACAGTCTGAGCGCCAAAATTGTTCGACAAGTGTAAGGCCCCTTAAAATCGTCCATGCAGTCCGCCACTAACCGATAGGCGAATCGGCGAATATCGAAACAATAAATGTCGTCAAATTTAATTCGAAACGTTACACGCCGCAGCAAATAGTAGTTAAATTACATAATAGTAATTGAAAAGAAAAAAACAAAATAGGTTTGTGACGAAAATTGTAGGATTATATCTAGAGTAAGGTCCTTCATTAAACTTTAAACACACACCTCGTTTTACATTTTAAAAAAAATTCCAATCGACAGTGATGTCAACAATATATATGCCGTATTATAGTAAAGTACGGTGTTGTACCGATTTCCCCGGTTTCCCTGCGTTTTTCCCGGTTTCCCCGGTCCGTCCCCAATTGCCGAGAAAACTCCGGAGTAAACCGAAAAACGAGCTCTCTAGAGGGGAGATCCCCGGTGAAATTTCCATTCGGGAAAATTGGCGCACGTAAAAACCGAAGCAAATCTTCTGGTAGAAAATTTGTCCACGGAAAAAAAAAAAACATCCTTGTAAAAACCGTACACTTCTCGGCTCCGTTCGGAATGTAAAAACCTAGACAACGGGGTGCCACAGCAGCCCATCTCCGTACATGACAACTATCACGACCGGGCCGGGTCGGATCCGCCGTGTTCGATAGATCGCGCACGGCGTATTTCGTATCAAACGCGTTCAAACAATAACGGTAACAACCGACAATGACACGGCCGAACACGGCGCGGAGCGGTTACACGGCTTGCAGCCGCCACGGCCGCGCGTCAATTTACATTCGCGCGTAAACAGCACCCGTCCCGAGACGGTCACTGTCGCGGCGGCACCGCCGTCGGGCGAACGCGCGTCGGGGAGTTTGAACGTCGCGGTTATTTCACTCGGTCGCTATTCGCGCGACGAACACGCGCCATACAGTCATACAACATGCGTTATTGTCGGCCGGACCGTTCTGCGCGCCGGCAACAACGGCGACAATTGCCATCGCTGCCGTTGTTGTAATAGAAAATAATAATGAAATCGGACGCCGTCGGTGGAACGGGAGGGGTGCGGGACAGTAGCGGCCGCGCACGAACGCCGCGTCGTTCCATTCTCGCGTGCCCACCTACGCGGGGCGACGCCGAAATCTTAACGTCGCGTCGGGTTATCTCGGAGTGTATTGCAATACACCTAGGCACACTATTATTATTATCATCGTTATTTTTTCGTCGTCGTCGCCGTCGTTGAGAATAATATAATATATAAATATGACGTTATGTCAGAGAAGAGACGGCGGCGGCGGCGGCGGCGGCGGCGGAGAGAATAAAAGAGCTTTGAGCTGACGGGCGAAAAAGAGAAATGACGCTTTCTTTGCATGCACGGCCAACGGTGCCCGCCGCCGATACGGGGCGGGTGGCTAGCGGGTGGCGAGCGCGGTAGGGAAATTAATTATATTTGGATTTCGAACGGGCGCCGCAGCGCACGCCGCCACCACCCCCCGGGCCGTCTGTCGGCCACCGCGCCTCGTGCCCGTCCCGTCTCGTGCGCGGAATGGAAATTAAGAATAAGCGAGCGCGGCGGCACGGTGTGCAGAGAGGGTCTTGATGAGCGGCCATATTTTCTTTTCCGTCGCTGCCGCCGCCGCCTTCGCTTTTACTCTTTTTTTTTTTTTTTCATCCTGACTACACTCGCGCCGCGCACGGAGATCGCCCGCGAAAGAAATTTCCGCCCCTCCGACGACGACGACGCGTCCGTTAAAACACGTATATATATATATATATATGTATGTGTGTGTGCGTGTGTGCATATATATATACATATACGTCGCCCCGTGTACACACACACACGCGCGCACGCGCATAATATATTATATTGTATAAATTATTTCTTCCGTTATTTAAAAAAAAAAAAAAACAAAAACGCACGCGCTAATACCACTCGCCCCCCCCCAACCCCGGCGAATTACGCGTGCCGCGGGCTCTGCTGCGCGTACGTACGTCGCACACAACGCGGGCGCGGCGTTCTTCACCGTTGTACACGAGAGCCCGGCCACCGTATCATTTAGCCCGTAGCCGTCCGTTTGCCGTTGTCGCCGGCGTCGCGAGGGAGATAAATAGAAAAACCACGCGCGCGCGGCCGCGGCCGCGGCGCGCAACGGGCCCGCAATAACAAATAATTATTGCCGCCGCACGTGCCGCGGACGACGAAGCCCGGCCGCCGCGTTGAGAACATTCTCAAAGACGCGCGTTCCGTTATCGCGATGTGACGTGATACGCGCACGCCTCACGTGCAGGGCGATCGATCCATCACAAGACGCCCCGGTCGGCCCGGCAGGCGTCGTTGATTTCTCTCGACGTTTGTTTCGTAGACGGTGTTTAGTTACGCGCGGCTCTGCGGCGGTTTCGCGTATTCGCGTTATTTATTTTTATTTTTTTCGCCGCCCCGATTCCCGGGCGTGAATGCGCCGTCCACTTTTGATTGTCAAATGGCGACCCGCACTGAAAACTCCACGAATAAACGGCGTGTCAGTTGAAATGAACGCCGGTGTTCGAACCTGTGATTCCCGGGTGTCGCCGTTTCCCGCCAACGTCCTTTTGCCGCCACAACGAACCGTTCTCTTTTGCCGCCAAACTATTTATTTCGCTGTGATGTTATACAGTGTCATTAGTACGGGGCGACCGGCGTGACCGGCGTAATGAAAACGCGCATAGGTATGGCGATATGCGCGTTACAAATGGGGGGGGAGGGGCCCGTCGACGTTTTTCCCCAATTCTGTACGGTTTTGTCCGATTGAAATAGCTACTTTTTTCGTTTTGTTATTTTTGTTTTTTTTTTTTTTTTGTTCTTCATTAATTTAACACTTGTAATTTAACCGATTTCAAAAGATCAGTCTTGGCGCGAATTCAAATGCGTCTTGCACAAAACGTCAGGTATGCCAAAGGTGCCGCCGATACGACGTGAATCGAACACACCCGGTTCCCCTTGCGCCGGGTTCGCGGCGGCTATGTAAGTCTGTTCGCACCGTCGCTCGTCGGGCGGTCAAACGCGCTCGCGGCCGCGATCGACTTGTTGTCCCGAAAATAATCGACGACGCGTAATTGTATGCGGAAATTTAAATGTAAATCGTCTTATCTGCAATTATCATTTCACAGCCGAGCAGTGGGAGAGTCCACATTGGCACGGGCCGCGTCGCGTCAAATGATGCGACACTCGTTTGCGGCCGCCCGTTGGCGTCGGTCGTTCGGAGGCAAACTCGAGTTCCGCAACGGGCCCGTGTTCAATAAAGTCGAACACGATGTTTTTCAATTATTTCGCGATAACATTCGGTACTTCTCTGTTTGTAGATAATGGATCACGCTCTTTGTTCGTTTTTTTTTTTCTCCCGGCAGATACCAGAGCAGAACCGCATCGTTCATCGTCTTCTGGTAAAAGAATTTTCGAGGTTTCCGCATCTAATATGTCCATACTAATGAGTTGTTTTTTTTTTTTTAAGCGAGCTGTACGCGTGAACTCCCGGACTTTGCACTTCGAAGTATTGAGCACGACTGAATGTTAAACTATTTATATTTCATTCCGGATTTCTAAATTATATAAATCTCTGTCTCCGGATCGCAACGTATAATCGTCTAGAATAAACCAGGACACCGCGAACGCGATCTTAGTTCGTCGATCGCATTCGTTGACCGCGATCGCACAACGGAAAACGTACCTTAAGGCACCATACTAATACGGACGTATTAATAACGTTATCAATCCGAGGTACACGATAAGGCGTGATTTCAGTCACAGTGGTAACACCCACCGGACCAGAAACCGGATAGGACACATTTGATTCCCGTCAATACCGATCGTTTTGAATACTTTTCAATTTATTGATTTTTAAATTCAATTTGCGAAGAATTAAAAATTCAGAATACAAATTTCATTTCTGAGATTGCCGTGTTCGTTACAATAAGATTTGTGGATTTAATCAAACATTTTTTTTTTTTTTTTTTTAACCCCCATTGCGAATTGTAAGATATAAGTTTAATTATTTTGGTATTGCCAAATACAATAATATAATATATTATTATTGTATATCGTGACATACCTATAGATTAGAACATAACGTACACATTTTTTCCACTTGTGTAAACCACGTTATTATCAATCTTTATTTATTTAATAGTTTTTTTTTTTTTAACGATTTGTTTGCAATAACATTCCGTTCAATACTTCAATCTGATGTTAGTATCAACGTATTCAGTGCCCGGTGGTTGTTTCAATTGTATTGTTCACGCTTTCCTACACCTGATACTATTTCATGGATACCGCGTTGCGAGTCAGCGATTCAACTGTCGGCCGAAAGTTTGCCGACGCACGAAAATTCTTTAAATTTGGCACAGTTCATGTGCAAACACATTTAAACAATGTAATATACAACAAATAATTTGGTGAAAACGGCAAGGAACATTTTTCGTTTCCGCGCCCTATAGTCAAGTGGAACAGTGGAAGTTTATTACGGGAGTAGCCGACCCAAAATATTCGGGATGAAGGCGGAGAAAAATAAAAAGAACAACACGTTGTCGTTATTGGAGATTGCGTTTGCGTAACACCAGTAGCGCACGCAGGATTTTTTTTCGGGAGGGATTTTGTTTATAATAATTTCCTAGATAGGGAACAGTACATATTATCAGTACAATACTATCACTATTATTACTAAATAATTTATTTTTGATGAAATTAAATTGTATTTTATTCAATGGTGTACGACATTATGTTGTTGAATGTGAAACTTGATTTTAAAAAAAAGGGTAGTGAAAAAAGATACTTCGGAAGGGTTTATGTCCCCCTAACTTCCCCTCTGTGTGCGCCACTGCGTAATATCATTGATTAAAATCATTACATTGGTTATAACATTTTAATCATTGATTACGTTTAGACAGTCCTAAATCTGTGTTAAAGAGAAAGGCAAATATGAAATACTTTTAAAACAATCTGGGAACCAATTCAGATGATACATCGCCGAAAACGTATACCGTACGGCCCCGTGTCAGGAAATTTCTGTTTAAAAAGGAATGCGTTTCCGTTCCTCGTCCATTTGTTTGTTTATTAATCCCTAGGGAAAAGTCGTATAAACTATTTAAATAAAATTTCAAATTTTGAGATAAGCGAGAATTGTACTGCGATATTTGTGTGTATGTGTGTGTGCCTGTAGACAACTTTTCTATCATAAATCTTACTCCATATCAAAAACTTTATAGGAACGTTTATGTAGAATGTTTTGTCTAGTTGGAGCACAATACGAAAACGTAATTTTTTTGATTTTCTATGTAGTTTTCTTAACTAACAACTTTTGTCGATTTCTGAATTACCTTGTCGTCAAAGTTTTTCGGCTTTCATTTATCATTGCGTAATGATATAAATAAAATTACCCAATTTATTCTCCTTTCCAACTCCCCAACTAAAACAGTAGCACACCCATCAGTAGTAGCAGGGCCTTTTTTTTATATTCTTAACTACATAAAAAATACCGATATTATACATTTTAGAATTAAACACTTAGGTTTTCTAGTCATGTGTGTACTTAACTTTAACAATACCATAATGTGTTTTTCCCCTTTAAAATATTGTGAAAATTCAGTACACAAAGCAAAATAAAAACCTATGCATCGACATTTTATTGTCAGTTTTTTAAATCTTATAAAAAAAAACTGTTGGTATCTATCTTGATGTGTGGGAGAATATCGCCTCCACACATTGAGTACCTAAGTGATATTTCTCTACTCGAATTGCTTAAAAAAAAAATTTCAAAAAAAGCGGTCTTCAGTGTACTGGCTGCCATCATTGCAAGTCCACATAATTATGTAATTTCAGTAATTTTAAATTATGATTTCTGATCAAGTATCGAGTACTATCAACTATGGATATCGATTATCGACCATTGACATCGATTTATTTTATTTAATCTATGTGGTGATTAATTACGGATATGATAGAGAATGTGAATCAAGTAATAAACGGTAGACTACTTGGCGATTTATGTGCACCGAGATAATACACTCCACGTCGGTATTGACGATTACCATTATCATTTCGATTCGTTTGTCAGAGGCCTAGACACATAATAATGGGCTAATGGGGCTCCCCAAAATGTCCTACAGCCTTTTGAAAAATTACCACGCAACACGTTACATATTTTTTTCTTTTACGAAATATATCAATGGCTTATTCTATACCATCGATAAAAAAAATATTAAGTGTAGAAGTAATATTAACAACGAAAGGAACGAAAGAACGTAAGGAATAATTTCGGGGGAGGGGGGAAGTTTTTGAACAAATACCTATTATCTTATTACCGCTGCAGTGAATTAATAGTATACATTTTTTTTTTTTTAAACTTTACAAAATGATAAAGTACTTTATATTTCAGGGGAAGTTAGACTCCCAAATCCCTCTCTTGTGTTCCCCTCTAAATAACTTAATATTTAAGGGAGGTGTAGGGTAACGAAACCCACGAGTATGTTATTGCATGTAAACAATTTTATTAAATCTATAGCAGTAAAGTAATCCCCCATAAAAAAACCTTGAGTAAAATTTCTAATAGAAAAATTGTTCACACAGAAAAAAAAAAGTTAAACATTGTAAACCCAATAACCCACTGGCTCCGCTCAGAATCTAAAATAATCATAATACAAATTGAAATATTTCAAAATTGTATACTTCATGAAATTTTCAAACACCAAATATTAAACGCGTCATTTAATTCGAATACAAAAAAAGAATCATTATAGTACACAATGTAATTGCAATCTTGGACAAATACGTTCTTATTATCATATCTTATTTTATTCGATTGATCATTATTTTTCGTGAGTTTACCAATGAACTACCTATATTTAATCGGTTTATTACTAAAATTCATTAATATTTATTTAGTAGTAATAATAATTACTATTGTAGTATAATTATTTATGACCATATTGAATAGAAATTGTATTGTATAAATGCCATGCGCCATCTATGAATAAAATACTAAACACGTATTAGTTCTTGTTTTTAACAACAGGGCGAGCAAGTAAGTACTGCATAATAAATATTAATATAATATTAATTCGTGAAGTAAATTGAATGTAATTAGTCTTGTTATGTTTATTATTCTGTCTCAGGTGAAAATAAAATAATATTAGATTCTGAGAGGAGCTAAGAATGTATTGGTTTTACAAAAATGTTTATTATTATTTTTTCTTTTTATGTGAACAACTGTTCTACAAGAAATTTTGCTCCGATTTACAATGGTAGCACTTTTTCTAAAAGGAAATCTGACTGAGGAGGTATTTTAAGGAGGTCGTTTTTTAAATTTCCCAGTAGTTTTCCCGATAAATTGGGAAAACCTGGAAAAATGTAGGAAAACCAGGAAAATAGGTATAGTATTAAACAAATATTATTAAAGAAAATATTTTATGCATATGTTATTATTTTACCATAATATGCCAGATTATTATGTTGACAAAGCAATACTACAACCGAACTCCGCTCCGAATCGTTTTTCGTTAGCAATGGTTAATTATTGCTCACAGATACACATTAAATTATCTACAACAGTGGCTGCACCCGTCCCTATTATCCTATAATAGTTATTTTATATCAGGTGATCTATTTAAGTGGGTACAGTGTACACTGATTACAACAGAAAATATTATCTGTTTTCGGCATTTGTTTTTTAGAACAATTAAAAAACAAATAGCTCTACAATTTTATATGTATATTCTTTTTTGTTGCCTTCATATTTGAGAATAAAACCGCAACCTACTTTTGATTTTCAAATTGCAACCAATATCAAAAATTCCATAAATAGATGGAATATTAGTTAAAATAAACTTTAATATTAAATTTTGTATACTCAAATTATTTCTAATAATAATTGTTACCTTTCCAAAATCTCCTCTACCCAATACGCTTAGAAGTGCAAAATCGTACATGGACATTTTTTCCTTCATTTTCCTTGCTTTCATTTTTCATTCACCTTCTTGGAACATTGTAAATTCTTACAGGCATCTTCCACAACTGCAGCTTCAATTCGTTAATGATGTCGTAACTCTACATCACGTTCTTCTAAAAGAGTTTCCAAATGTGATAAAAAAAAAAATGAAAAAATATATTGTCAAATTTAATTTGTAATTTTCAATACAATGATTTTAATGTAACTGAAAAAATACAATATGTTAATAATTACTTTAAATAGGACGATCCGATGACCCGAAGCATTTCGGAGTTTTAGTTTTTGTCAAAATACAGTAAGAAACATTATAAACAAACATTGTATTGAGTACTTAGTTTCAGAAATATTTTACAAGAAAATTATTATTATAAATAAACAATAAAATATAACATCAACGAATACTTTTACCATGATTATTATCATATCAACTATTAACATAAACCATTAAATTCATTATTTATATTTAAGTAGTGTTAATTTTTTAAAATGAAGTCAGTATGTCATTTACATCTAAAGTATATAAACACAATCTCTATGAAAAAATTGGATTTTCATTTTGTAAATATTTGTATACTTCAAGTACTAAAAGATACACAAAAAAAAAAGTACACAAAAAACACGATGAACTAGAAAGATAAATTAATAGAAAGTTAAATTATTTACTTTTATCTAATATTCATATCAGTGACTTTTGGCGCGTAACAATCAATCTGGTTACATAATCAACCAAGGTTCTCTTAACAAATGACTGATAAAAATTTCGACGATTTGATAACGATTAAAATACACACCATCATAACATAACCATTTTAAATTATGTTTTAATGTTTTATATATTTTAATAATAATTTCCATAGTGGATTTAATATATTTTCTCTGTAAATATAATTTTAATATTATTATGTAGAAATCCACGTTTATAAAATGACGTCGTTCGACTATTGTTTTTAAACCTTGCCTAAACCATATTAAACGGCATAATGGGATGTGCTTGTGAAAAACAACATGTCTCGATACAGGGTAACAAATATTATGTGCACGATCAAATCGGACAAGGGTAATATAATTAATAATTAGGTATAATTCTAGTAAAACGAACGAGATTGTTTTTTGTTTGTTTTTCCAAATGTGTTATTCAATTCTAATAACAATAGTGAAATGAGAATTTGACTTAAATTTTTAGTTCCAAAGTAAAAGCAATTTTAAAATCTAATCTTGTTTGTCATACTAGAATTGTTTCACTAATAATTCGATTTTACATTCATAACATGACTTAAAGACTATTATGTAATTCGACCATTATATATTTCTTGATATATTTAATCCAATGTTGTCCCAGTCACGTTTAAGTACTTATAATATTAACTATTAGTTATTACGTTAGGTTATTTAATAAAATAATAAAACTTACCATTATTTGTTTTCAAATTAAGAAAAATCATTATTGAAAATTAGGTAATTTTATTCGAGTAAAGTGGCTTTTGAATATATATTTTTTTTATTTGTTAAGTACTGTTTTGTTATTCACTAATTAGGCATATTACTCATATACTCATATTGATACTAATAATGTATTTAATTTAAAAATATTCCCTCAAATAAATTTAGACCACTTACCTTGGTAATATTTTATACCTAGGTAGTTTTGCATTTGTTTTATTTTAATGTTATTTATTTCAATAATAACCAGTTTCAAGCAGTTAATTACTATAATTGCTAATAACTGTTTAATGATTATAAAATCAATAAAATAGTAATATCAGTATAGATAATATAAATATTTAATATCAACTTAAAAATATATGATAATATTATACCAATATGGTCAGAATAGTATTGATTATATTGAATAAAAAATAAAAATATTTGAGATAGTAAATCTCATTATACTGGTAAAAGTAATTTAATTCAAAATGCTGTGAAACATATTAACGCTGATGTTATTACAAATATAAACTACATTAAGTTGAGGTTGTATTTTAATATGGTTTTTTTACTCAAATAATACTTAAACTTATTTTTATTGAATTAAACCAACTTTTATTTATTGGAAATTGTCCAATCTTTCACTTGAATAATTGCCTTATTCAATTGTGTACAAGCCTTAATTAGGCTTGCACACAATTGAATTAGCAACAAAGAAATAATTGCATCAATTTTTAAATTTTTAAAATGGTTATATGTACTTAGGTAACTATATTTTACGAATTATTTTTCAGCGGCTTTAGTTCAGTATTTCTCGTAAAGAATACAAATAATGCCCAATTCGTATTGAAGTGTGTTTTTTGCCATGATAGTAAGGATCATGAGATAGCTTGGAATGAAGCTAAAATTCATCAAGTTTTAAAAAGCTGTGGAGACGATTATATTGTAAATTTAATTGGATGTGAAATGATCGAAAAATGTTTAGAATTTACAAAAGCACCAACCGATACATTTCTTATGTTGTTACCCTACTATAAAGTTAGTAATCAAGTAAAATAAAAATGTATACAAATGTATAGATTATTGTAAATATATAAATATATAATATATAATTTAATTTGTACAGAAAGGATCATTACATGAAATTTTAATTCAACCTCATTATCATATGGATTTAAAAGACGTATTAAAACATTTTCAAAGAATTTGTTTGAGTATAAAAACATTACATGATTTATCATATGCACACAGAGATATAAAACCTGCAAATATATTGTTTAATGATAACAACGAACCAGTGATTATAGACCTAGGTGACTACTATATTTGAGAGGTTGTTTAACTAATTATCAAGTAATTAAAATGTTATTTCAAAGAATATTATGTTTTGTAGGTTCTGCTTCCATTGCCAGAATCACAGTTGCCTCGAAAAGAGATGCTCAAAAACTTCTTGATGAAGTCAATGAGCGATGTTCAGTGACTTATAGAGCTCCAGAATTATTTAATATTGATATTGATTCTGTTATAGATGAACGAATAGACATCTGGGTGAGTAGTGTTTTTTTAATAATTTTCATTCATAGGAAATGTTTAAATATTAAGCTAATTCAGGCTGTTATTTTATTGGAAAATCAATACATGGAACAAACATTTTATGGAATCAAATAGTCATAAAATATTTTGAAAAATTATTGTTGGAATATTAAATAGTAGAATTATATTTAATTGAAATATATAAGACACAACAGACAACTGTTGGAATTCCAATACTTTGAACAGACATTTATCGGAATTATAATACTTTGAATAGAAATTTATCGTTGTTGTAAAAACATAATAATATTCCATGCAATTTCAGTTTCAAACAATTACTATTCAATACTAAGTTAATTTCCATTAGTTTTTTTTTTTTAAAACTATATCATTCCATGAAATATATGTTCCAAATAATGATATTCAACACTATGTTAATCCTATTAATTGTATACCTATTTAAAAACATTTTGTTTTATAAAATGTCTGTTTTTCCTAATGATAAATAATTCAACATAATGTCCGTATACATATCATTAAAAAAAAAAAATCCCTTACATTGTTATTCCATAAAATGAATGTTCCATCTAAAATAATCTGCGTCCTAAAATTTCAGAGAATATGTCTCTTAAAAATATGACAGTTCAACAATTTTAAACATTTTTAAAATAAATCAATCTTACATATAAACAATACATAACTCAATTATGATTACTTGATGATCAAATTTCCTGAATATTATAAATATTATATTATTTGTAGATTAAAAAACAAACAAAAAAACATTAAATCTTGCTAACATTATTTGCATTTTAACATTAATATTGTGTAAACTTTATTTAGTCCTTGGGATGTTTACTGTACGCAATGCTTTATAAGAAATCGCCTTATGACTTGGTATATGAACGTGGAGATTCTGTTGCTTTAGCTGTGATAAGTGGAAAAATTAGTTTCCCCTCAAATTCTAACGAAGTAATTATTTTTTAAATTACCTAAGAATTATTTTCTTATAAATGTAATATTTTATAACAGCATTATCACAATGTGTATGTATTTTTAGACTGTTAACGATTTGATAAGAGTAATGCTTACAACGGATCATTTCAAAAGGCCATTCATTGATACAGTTTTGGAATCCATCAAAGTGGTTAATGATTCTATTGACCAAGATTTTAATGGACATCAGAGTTTGAGTAAAACAATATATACAGTTTAGAAACCATGCCAAATCGTATACTACATACTATTAACCCTAGAGCGCACGCATTAAAAATATTCACGAGAATTCACGCAAACGGTATTTTTGATACACGAACAAAAATACCGATAAAATAAAATAATAATGTTTCAATTAAAATTCGACAAATTAAAATAATTATTATTTATTATTAAAAATAAAATTTATTGATGATAAATAATAGACATTACCAATGATGTACTCGTCTACAGCAATATTTGCATTAAATTGATATAAATATGATGTAATATATGCTCAACGTCATATCTAGATGTTTAATATAGGTACACACAGTATGGTGAACCAGTGTCAACTAATAACAATCTCGCCAGACACAATGGAACTAAAATAATGATTGATAAACATTTTTAAAAAAATTATTAGGAATCAAAGTATAAAAATAACCCACAATTGAATTTTTAAAAAATGAAATTGTTTATATATCACACAGTCTTTTAGACTATATTTTTATAAGTAATAAAATCTGAACTCTTCTATTTTCCAGACACCAAATCTTATATAGTTGGGAGTTATATCTAATTGTAGTTTATCACCTAATTAGAAGGTACCTAGGTTAGGTTAGGTTTAATATTTCGTATTTTTGACACAATGAACAAAATTTAAGAAACCCGGTCATTTAGACCGTGAAGAATGTGCTCTAGGGTTAAAATAATTTTTCACTTAAGCTTTATTTTATTTTAAATAATACATTACAATTTGCTTATTTTTACCATGTTGCTTGGATTGATTTTATTTATTGTTATGTTTTGCCACTAATATATTTATTTACATGTTTTCTGTAATTTAATTTATTTTTAAAATATATATTATAAACATTTTCTAAAAATAAAAAAAAAGAAATTTATTCAGAGCTAATTATTATTATGACTCCCAAACTTAAAATGCATAACAAATTGCCTTTTCAATTGGTAGATATGTTAGCACTTTCTGTTTCAGTTTTAATGTTGATGTGTATTCTAATACTTTGTTATAGTATTTATAAATATTATATTTTTTTAAGTATCTAATACACATACAAAGAATATTTTGTGGTAACATGAAATATTTATTAACATTTCATTAATAAACAAAATAAATTATTTTATCAGGTTGTTTGAACAAATTAATGACTTTCTAAATAGCATGTCTTTATATCTATTTTCTTATAATTAAAAATTTAATTTAAACAGTTTAAACAGTAAAAAAAAAAAACATTTTTAAATTATACTCAAATTTAAAAACTAACATTGGATATTTGTTTAAATTATGTATAATTTGTATAATCATTTCTTTCAGTACTTAGTGAACTGCACTATAGTTTTATTAGAAAATATATGTATTTATTTTTCTATTCTGGTTAACCAATAACAGTAGCGGTTAAATATATTTCATTTATTTAATGCTAAATAGTCTTAATAATAATTAGAATACAGAAAATAAAAAAAATACAGACATACTTCACACGTGGGTGGGCCACTGTTGTATGTGAGAAGTTGGGAAGGATATAAAAGGAAATTTAATGTTTATCTATAATAAATTATTAATCATTGCTAATGAAAAACGATTCTGAGAGGAGCTTGGTTAATAGTATTGCTTTTTTAACAATATATAATATGTCATATTACAGTAAAATAAATATATATTGAAAAAATTTGTATGAACCAGTAACTAGATTTGTTTAACATACTTTTTTACTAAAATGATTTTCATCAAAATTCTTATATATAAAAAAAAATTACACTTTATTAAATCAAATTAATAATTTCGTCCACAGCGTACTAACCAAATAAAAATTACTCAAAATTAATTGTCTAAAAATAGCTCAAATATGATTTTAAAGTTTTGAAATTTTTTCCATATCTAAAAAATACAAATTAAGTTTTCTGTCCAAATTTCAAGTCTGTATATTTCAAACTGAATTAAAATCTACAACAAAATTAATATAAAAGCATTATATTCGTAAATTTTTAGTTTTTTTTTTTAAGTTGTATACTAGGTTTTAGACATAACATATTATATTGTATATTAATATTAAGTGAATTAAAAAAAAAACAATGGTTTACTTTTTAAAAATTATGAGAAATATTTTGTCACTAATATTTGTATTAATAATGTATAGGTACTGTAGTTAAACACATGTACACATATATGTATTTAATTTATTAATTTACCCAGTCTGTACCATGTTAACTTTTATTATTCCTATTTATAATTTATTTATTTTATAATGTGTGCATTATCTTTTAAACTACACAAATCTATGGTGAATATGTTTGAATACAATTTAAACTTAAAAATTTGTAGGCTAATATTATTTGTCTTTTTTCATAAGCATGAGAAATATTTTTTCATTTATATTTATAATGTAGCAGAAATAAAATTTTGATAATAATTCAAAAAACCTTCAATGTAAAGATAACATTTGGGTATACATTTAATTGACCAATTGCCTTTTATTTATTTCTTTTTTTAATAAATATACAATCTTTAAAATAATTTTTTACAATAATATGTGCTAAGATAAAAAAAAAAAACAAGACATAAGTTACTTGATAAAAAGGATTAACCCAGCAGCTACACTTAATATTGATTTATTTTTATTTTATAGATTTAGATTAAGAGTTTAAGAATTAAGGTCATGACACCATATGTCTGAGTAAAGTGCTGAAATTAGTAGGTTGGGATGATTTTCTAGTCATGAACAATAACATTTATATATGCAGATAAAGGATATTTCTAAAACAGTCTTAATGTAAGAATCTGTGTGAAGCGTGAGGTTCACATAGATATGTAGAAGGGGGCCTTAATTATCATACATAAGGTGATTGATTGGAATCTTTATATTTTGTTTAAATTTGACAATTTGACCCTGACCCATAGCTGTGTGCCATAAGTCTAGATAGGAGTGAGAAGTTGCTTATAAATGAGCAGCTTGGTATTGAAGTTGAGTTAAGAATGATTACCTAACAAATAAATTTTATTTTTTTTATAAATATGCGGTTTTCGACTCTCAATTTGTTCGCGGAAATGATTATTAACGGAGTTATGGAAGTTTAAAATTTTTCATTATTACAGTTTCGCTTAAATACCTAGTAGTTTTTCAAACATTTTTTTCACATTTGACCATAGCACATAAAGTTCAATATCTACAAATCTTAAAAATGTTTGCACTTTTATTTTGTACGTTAAGCTTTGTCTAATCTCCTTATGAGATTTAAACATTTTGATTTTGTTCCTAGGCTGACTCCATTTGTAGTTTTTTTTCTACTACCTACCCGACGTGGTTTTGCACAACAAATCTAGGATTTTCGTCGTTTAAAACGGTCAGAGTTAGCAGAACGACATTTATATCTTAATAACGACAAACTTAAAACTCATAACTTCCTTAAGAATAGTTTTCGCATAAAAATTCAAAATCAGTGTCGAAAAACACAAATAAGAAAAAAATTAAAGGTGCCAGGTAAACTAGATTTGTTCTTATATTTGATGAAGAGTAAAAAAAAGTTCTTTTTTTTTTGAAGGTGCGGGGGTGTTTTACATTCAATTCAATTCTCTATAGATTATTTTAAGCTGATACGAATTTATAGCAAAACTAGTTAAGTAATAATATGAGTTCTTTCGAAGGCAAGTATAAAATAATTTACAACTGGTGTTTTTCAGCCGTAGATCGTTGTGTTAAAAAAAAAAAACAAACATATTCTTCGCTCGACTATAATATTTTTATTACTACGTGAAGGTACCTACTCAGTTTTCACGTTCTTTACTGATGTGTAAAATAAATTTTACTACGGGTCATGAATAATAGTATTTACTCATTATAGTTTACTACCAACTGACTGCACAGTTCAAGGAATGTCTACTTAGCATTGGAAAAAAAAAAATAAGCAATATAAATTAGATTCGCGTATCGACTAGTACCGATCATAGTATCATACAATAATACGACCAAACTTTCGTCAGATTTCAGTAGGTTCCTAGTGGACTCAAACTGAACTTTTCCAACGCACTCCGTGGACTGGGTCGTACCGGGTCAGATCGCCTTTCATAGGAATAAATTATTTCCGATTATATTTCTCGTTTTAATTTTTTAAACTTATTACAATTTCAAATGTCACTTTGATGAGTGCGCAAATTATTTTAGACGAGGTGACGAGCGTAGTAATCGTTGTATACTAGTATAACTTTACAAGTTCAAAGTTGTTATCGGCCAATCGGGCGGCCCTGACCTTTGCGGCCGGTTCGAGTGGAAAAAAAAAAAAAGGCCGCGACATTGTTGGCAACACTGACGTTACATGCACTGCGGCGCACGCGCTCGTCTGCGCCTTATCACGCGTCCACTGTGACCAATCGGTCCGCCGCGTTACCCGTGAGTTGTCACGCGTCAACCAGTTCCGGGCTACGGTTTTACTGGCTGTCGCGACATCGCGTCAACGAACGACCGGTCGGGTGTGCAGCGAACTCGCTCACTGACTGTCCAACGACCATCGGTTCTAGTAATCCACTCGCCCGTCCGTGTTTTCGGTAAAACCCGCCACCGACACACGTACAGTACCGGTTCGCAATAATACATAATCGCGTACGCAATATAATCGTTTTCATCGTTGGCGATACGCGCGTTCGTCGTCCCCACCGCTATCCCCGCGGTTTTGTTGTTAATATTATTTTTCCAACGATTTTCTTGCATTTTCCACGACCGTGGGTGTGTAATAAATCCGCGGTGAAAATCGTCCCGCGTTTTCGAGTTTCCAACGCACCAGTGCAACACCGTGATATCCGACAGTACCGAGTACGATATTTATTGTACCCATCGTGCTCCGTCCGTTCGTCTTGTACATCGCGCACGCAAGGCACACAAGTCGCGTGTGCCCACACCTACACGTATCTACTCGATCACGTCGACAACGTTGTTGGACGCGACCGGAGAAAAAGAGATAATAGGAGCGCTCGCGGATTTTCCATTCTCGACGTAAGTATTGGAGTAAATTATTAAATAACGTTACACTATTTTTCGGTTGTTATTATTGGTATCGATAATAGTCTGATCGATACTCGTGTAGGTATGGAATTTTTTTTTTTTTACCGTATATTCACACCGCTATCATTGTACCTAACTATTATTATTATTATTGTCGTACGAATTGTAAGCATTCGAAGGCGAAGCGTGTTTTTCTCCGATCGTAAACAACAAACCGACGACATCGTTATCGGCCGGTCTCATTAATAACTACCGTATAATATAATATAATAATGGTGATTATAACTCCCGCGAACGTTTAAAATGTAACTCATTATCTTAATAGTCATAATCATGTATATTTTCATCAAGATTTTCTACAACGTGGGCCACTTGTATTTATATCTATAGATAAATAATAATTGTCTGTCATGAGTACCCATAGTACCGGGTATTATTCGAATCGTACGGAAATTCGACGAATAATGACATCTATTTTTTTTTCCTCCCCTGATTACGAATTTAAATAATAAGTGTACCTACCTAACTTTCTGTATAATATTTTACTCATTAGGTAAACATCACAGCCAATATCTTATGTTTAAAACTTGAAGAATGACGTTATCTATCTAGCTACCTACATACATTATTCTGAATTTCGATTATCTTTACTGAATATATTACCTAGGTAATTGAGAATACTCTATATTTACTGTACTTACCCTGATAAACCAGAATTCCTATTATGGGCTACACTCATTCAAATAATAGGCTTGCATTTTATTAGAATAATTCTCAGTGTGCTTCTATATAATTATTTACTTATATTATCCTGGCTATCGATTACTTTATGAGATACTTCTTATAAGCTACTTAGGAAATAGTTATGTAAATTCACTTATTTACCTAATTGCTTATATTAGTGTCATTCAATTGATATTATAATATTCCAATACCTATATATTTTAATGATGGTTTGTCTACAAACATTGTGGTATTTGTTTTTCAAACCCATCCTTATTCTTAAGGTATAACATTATTAGATGACTAGAATATAATTATATCAAATAACTAGGTAATTTTCTTTAAAATGCAATATAATTTGATATCATTTTAAAATTAAATCAAAGGGAAGTAACACTATCAATAATTTTTGATTTAGTTATTTGAGTACTTATTTATAAATAATTTAATGTTTTTTTTTTCTGTGTCTTATTGTCTTAATACTAATGTTTTATGAAAGTGGGTGATTTTCATTATCATTTCATATTTAGATATACTTAGGTGCCTACTAATTATTTATTTATGTTTTGAATAGATGAGAATTCCTATAAGTTACTCCTGACAATCAGTATACCTATTCTTTTGAGATCTCTGGAACTTAATTATTTTGTATTCAACATACTTATTTTATTCATTTTTGGTTTTAATGTGTGTTCATAAGATATACATTTTCATTCCTACGATGTTCTATTATGGATAATTTAAAAAAAAACCAACCTATCTTATTATGATAGTTGAACTTATAATTTATATTATTTTAACTACTTAAATCAATGGTAATTAATGTTTTCAGTTCAGCACCCTTTTATTGAGATAACTAACTGCTAAAGATCCCTCCCCCCATCTGTCAGTTAAAACATTTTCGTAAGTACATAGATCAGTATTTTACACTAAAATAAAAACTCTTACTTTAAGAAGATAATAAATACTTAATTCTATTCCACTTTAGAAAAATAATTTACATTATACAAAATTATTCTTTGGTGACAGCCGTGAGCCTGATGAGTAGCTGCTTATGTTGCAATATCTGGTTAGCTGTTGATTACAAGTTAAACTCGGATCTCCGTGCTATATCTCACTATCCCCTTCAAACTTACCAGCTATCTTAGGGACCAAAATGACTTAAGGGGTGATACCACCTTTGTTAGGAACCACTGACTTAAACCTTTTACTGAAAACAAGAATAAGTATAAAATAATTTTAGATATAGGTATCTAATAAAAATTAAAATTCAATAGGTCAACCCCATTTTTACAAAATACAAAATTATGTCCTAGGTATATAGTTAAAATAATAGATACTTAGAATTTTCTTAGAATCTTCAAAGCCTAACATCAATTATTATCTAATTGAATTTCCCAAATAATGTTTGGATAAATGAAAAGTAAATGCCTAATCATTGCGGCCAATAAATAATATAGTTTCTCCATAAAGTTAAATATATACAGGATGATTCATAAGTTAGTATCACCATAGGATACTCCTTCAATGTTATGAACAATCTAAATATTCGAAAAATATTAGCTTTAACTACACTTACAAATTACAGAGTTTAAATTAGTTAATGCAAAATTTAACCAAAAAATGGGGTGAATCACAATATATATATCTGTGTGTATATGTATGCACAAAGATATATTTTAATTTCTTAATTGTATTATAATAATAATATATTATCATTTTTATCAAACAAAATATTTTATTTTTGTCTTAATGCTAACACAAACCATCTGATTCACATTGTGATAACTATAACCACCCCAGGAACATAGAGTTAAATCTAGAGTGCATTGAACATATATTTAACAATTTATTTGGTATTTATATGAATTATTTCAAATTACTCAACTTTGCTTAACCCAATACGAGACCCAATAGTATTTGTTCTGATGTTTACATTTCTCTTATTTAAAATTATTATTGTGATAATACACTTCTAAAAGTTATTGGATATTAGGTACATGAATAGTACTAATAAGAAAGTACTAATGGTTTAAAATCAATAATAAACTTATCTTATCTCTATGACGTTTTAACTAGAGTCTGGATTTTTATGATTTTACATATTGTGACACTATATGCAGTCTTATTAGAATACAAATGTAGGCAGTTCATTCAACATAGAATTCCCAGGAAAAAGTTTTTTTTTTTCATGTTTAAGAATATTTTAAAGAGTAGAGAATATTTTATGAGTTGTTAGATAAAAATTAATTTATTGTAATTTTAAATTGTTATTAGTATTAATTTTAATGTTGATGTATAGTAGACCCTCATGAATCCGGATTAATTGGGGCTTTAGTTTGTCCGAATTAAATTAAATAACCAAACATTGTTAATTTTTTTTTTATTTAAAAGTTTACTGGCTTCAAACTGACTAAAAAAAAAACCGTGTATGTATTATGTATTTAAGAGTTTGTATTATAATGTACCTAATGAAACTCATTTAGTCGTTTTCATGTTTACTTTGGTATGGCACAAACTGCATAGTTTCTGGTTTATTAAACGGCTGTCTAGATTAAGCGAAGTCCAGTTTAATGGGATCCGGATTAATGAGGTTCTACTGTATCTTAAAAAAATATTTTTCGAAACTTTTAATAAGCATTATATATACATTTTTTTTATCATTCTGATAAAGTAAAAATAAAAAATACATATTATATAGTACATATTGTTGATGTACATTGAATATTTTTGTAAGCTTTTCTAATTTTTAAAAGAATATGTAGGTTTTCAGGGAATATTAGCATTATATTTTAGGTGTTTTAAGAGAATATAAATCCAAAATATATTTATGACAAAAAAGACGTTTTAAAAAGTAGACAGTTTATCATTATTGTATTAGAAAACAATAAGTAAAAGTTAATAATAAGAGTTTTTATCAATTTTCGAACAATAAAATATAGATAAAACAGGTATCTTATCTAAATAATCTTTATATTTTCTAATACAAGTAAGTAATATTTTTTTTTTTTTTTGAAAATTGGTAAAGGATTTTATCAATTAAATCAATTTCAATTAAAATAGATACAAGGTTTTGGATTGTGTGATTTTATAGTAAGTACAAGTATTTTTAAAGTACATATTATATACTATAAAATTATTATATTCTAATAATTTTGGCAAGTACCTACTTACTTAATTTATCACTAAAGATAGGTTATTAGTTTTAAAGGTGAGTTGTTATGGGATAAGATATTGATTCCTGTAATACTCTCGAGTGCTTGACTTTCAAATATACCAAGACAATATTTTTCAATGACCTGGCTAATAAAAAAACAGCAAATAATTTTATGAATTACGTTTAAACTAGTTAGTTAACAGTTTTAAATTCTGAAATGTATTAATACTTTATGTGAGATATTACGGAGTATAAAGGTTAAATCCATTAAAATATTATTTGAATCCTCACAATTCTAATAGTTCTTTAATTATTGTTATAATTCATTTGAAAAATATTTTTTCAATCATGTATGTAATTTATATAGTCATTTGAATAGGTGTCTATACAAACAATTATTATTATAAAATAAATTCCATTAATAAATATTTCAAAATCTTTTAACAGGCACCTCGTTACAAGAATGGAAGTTAGTGACTTAAGTTACTTTATATCCATATTTGTCCAAATGTAAAATATTTGTTCCCTATTTGTTACTTCCTACGTGTTCATAAATAAGTACATTTGTAATTTTTTTTCTATATTAAATGAAAAATTGACAGTATTTTAATAATACCTACAAGATTAATGATTATTATCATGAGCAAATATCATCGAGATAGATAAGAATATACTGCCCATATAGACTATAGAGTAATTCTATGGTAGGTAGTATTACTCTGTAACCAACTCATGAAAACGGTATCAGTAGGGTTGTGAATTTGTTGGAAAGAAAATTTTTTTTTAGCTAATTATAAAGATTAGCTTTCTATAAAAAAAAAAAAAAAAATAGAAAAGAATTTGAATTATGTAACAACAAATTCATTTATGAAACTTTTATTTTACATATTTTTATGTTTTTAATTTTTAAGGTAATTTTGGACTTTTTAAATCATATTTTTCTTTTTAGTTCATTTTGTAGTATTTTTAATTAAATTCTGTCAATTAACATCTGTACACACATATTTTTTGTTTTACACATGCTGTATACGGGTTAGATAAAAATAAGGATTCGATAAAATAAGGCAATATTGTTTAAATTAATTATTTGTGGGCTTGCTATATATTGATATCAGTATACTATCAAAATAAATATAAAAATTAAATTAAAAACTATATTTTAAGTGTGTTTTTTGAGACTTTAAATGCATGTTTTGTGAATTTTTAAAGTTTCCATTACATTAAATTCACAACCCTATTTATCAGTAAACAGTTTGCTCGTGGTTATGGCGGCAAAACATGCCTTTTAACAATATTTTTCACGAGTTTGTATAGTTCTGATTTATTTTTATTATCATAAAGCCATAAAGTTATAAAATATGTTCTGAGAACTTGTGGTTTTAATCTGTTGTTTAAGTTGATAAGTTAATATAAGGAAAGAAAACTATAATGGATAAATATTTTTTTTAGTGAAGTTCGGCTTTCAAAAACTATATTAGATACGTATGTTATTATAATTTTCATTAATATTTTTGTTGAGTTATTTTATTTAAAGCTATTACACAAAGATAAGTGTAAAAACATGGTATTGTTAAAAAATAAAAATATATGAAGTTCCTAACACTGTTTATGAATATAGGTACCTATTCCATTTTATACTATTAATTTAAAGTTGTATGATTTAACTATGAGTTATTAAAATTTGTTTGATTATTTATTGTGATTAAAATTTTTACAAAAATAAATAAGTAAGAATCATTTAAATTGTATTAAAAAGATTCAAAGAAAAATTTTTAATAACAGTAAGTTGTTAGGAAACATTTTTATTTATAGGTCACTTTTTGGTCACTTTTTTGATTAAATTTGGTTACTAAATTACTTTTCTTTGGCGCCTTAACGTTTTTAAACGTAGTGAGAAATGTATTACATTACTAATATTACAAAACTAGTATAGGTCTAGTTCAAAAAATAATAATTTGATGTCAATAAAGTATACTGTATTAATTTTAAGTGTTTAGATAATACAGTATCTTTTGAATATTATTATTATTTATTTTTATTTATATTTTTGGTAAAATAAATGTCTAGTTTCTGATAATTTATTTTGTATAAATAAATTGTGTTACATAAAAATTATAATATTGGCACCAAACGATTAAAAGATATATTTAATATATGTATAAAGATTTATTAATATAATAATTAAACTGGTTTTTTTAAATGCCATCAGACTAAGATTTTTATTGTGTAATCATTAAAAAGGAATAAGAGGAAATAATATATCTAGGTAAATAATAGTTTTTTAAATAGTTAGGCCATGTACCTATATTCATACTGACCGCATTGCATTAATTAAACTTTGTAGTATAAAAAGTAGGTACCTATTGTAAAATAGGTAATATTATGTAAAATAATTTCAATTGATATGCTACTACAATGCATATTATTATTACTTATTATTATTTCTATGTTGACATGAATAAAAAACAAAAAGATATTATCTTGTACTGATAGTTTTAATTTTAGTACCTACTTAATTACTTATTAATCAAATAATTTATGTATTATTTATTCAGTAATTTTGATTATTTGAAATAATACTAAAATAAATTAGGGATCAATAATTAATTGATGTTTCTAGGTATTGTAGCCAATATATCTTAACCAGAATTTTCACAACTATAAAATAAAGTATATAATTAAAAAAAAAATGCCTTGATATTATTTTTGAGTAAATAGTAATTCTTCTAAAAGTGTCAAAATCTGAAAATCTTTAAAAAAAATAAACTGAAAAACTTAGAGTAATACATTTTCTAAGTGTTTGTAAATTTAACATTAAAAATTAAAAATATAAGTAATTTTTGGACATCACACACTTATACAGTGAACTGAGACAGATGTCTTTGCCATTATATAACTTATCATTTCTAAAATATATATAAATAAAAAAAACTTTTAATTTTTTATTAAATATGAGAGACTAATTTGATAATTTTTTATCTTGGTTTTTTATACATTTATAAGATAAAATAATATAGTTAGGTACTATTCAAATAACCATCAGGTATACATGTATAATTAAAATAAACGATATTTAAATATAAAATAAATCAAAGCATTGGAAGTCTATACATAATTTACGAGATATTCAATTTTTTTTTTTTTTTGTATTTAATTTACTTTAAAATTTATATTTTAATAATTTCAAAATAAATTAATATTTTACAATAAATATTTTCAAAACATTCATTATTTTTACTATTAAAGTATTAAAATTGTCTTTATTTTTTTTTTTCTGAAAATTTAAAATGCATTCAATTAAATAAATGCAATTGTTTGAAAATAAATTATTATATAGATTACCATTAGAAAATTAGAAGTCAGTATTGGGTATACTGCTAAACATAAAAGTGAACAAATCAAAGGTTATGTAATAATTTGGAACTGTGTGTACGTATTTTAAATTATAATATTATAATGTTTTTAAGGCTTTATTGAATGTAATATTAAATTTTCTGTTTTTAATTATATTACCTAATCAGCAAAAATAAAATAAACATTTTAGTATGAACTTTCTTATTTCAGTAGATACTTATATCCTATTATATCTTAATATTTATTAATAGTTAAAAGAGAAAACCATTTTAAATTATAAAAAATAATAATAACGGAAATTGCTCGTCATACGAGTTATACAATAATAATACATCAGCAAAGAACATATTTTGAATTTATTTGTGTGTACCAAAATCACAGATAGATAACTAAATATAAGGGCTAATAGTCCACAGGTTGTATTCTATATTAAAATAAAAAAATTAATTTAATTACCTTATTACAAATACATCATCAAAAGTTATAAAAATAAAATAACATTACCTATATATAAATGGTTTCATTGATTTTATTTTAATTATTACCATACATAACCAGTAATTTCAATTAATTAGTCACATAAACGTTTACAAAAAAAAAAAAAAAAATGAAGTAGATAAATTACTTTTATTTTAATACACCTACTATGATTATAAATGAAATATTATACAACATATGTAGTTGATATTTAATTAATTATATTTCTTTAAAAGCTTTTTGATTTGACTACTTAAGTAGCAATACTAGTAGATATTAGTACATTTAATTTCAAAAATCTTTAAAAGTTTTTATCTGTTATGATTTTTTTTTTTTTCTTCAACATTTTCTTCTAATTTATGTCTCCATTTTGATCAGCTAATAATGTAATTTGCTATATAAAAATATTGCCATTTCTACACCAATTCTCAATTGTATATTGAAATGTATACAGTATATAATTATAGAGGTTACCAATTTGAATTGTAAAATATTAGTGTTGTTATCCCTCGTGTATTGTTCATTAGGTAGGTACCTAATAGTATCATTCAAATTGGCAATTTGACAGTTGTTAAACAAATAATTGATGACCAGAGAATACAAATGCTTTTAATAAGTAGTATTATAATAAATATATATATATAAATAATAAATAATAAATTGCTTTATATTAATTATTATACAAATAGAATATTGTTTCATTTTTTTTCTCAGGCAATTTAAGTTATAAATATTATTAAATCATAATGGTCTAACAAAAACTATAGAAAACCACATTATAGCCTTATATAAATATTTATAAAGACCTAACAATTTAACTCAAATATATTTTTGTAATATTTATCAATCTATGATGTGATGGTGAACTGTGAAAATATTATGATATTAAAAAACATTATCCTAAAATAACAATTATCTTATCATCTATAAATCTTAATAAACATATTCTATTTTAATGAATCTGATCAATAAACAAATAATTTATGTTTATTTACTCGGTTAAATTATTGTAGTGCTTCAATTTGTATTATTTATCTGAATTTATTATTTCTAGTAAAAGATAATAAACATTAATAAATAACTATGTAGGATAGTGTAAATAGGTAAATTAAATATGTGTTTAATATTTTTATCTTTGGCTGTATAATTTTTCATTCATAAGTTATTGATTTTTTTTCATTTTTCTCTGTATGCTAATATATTGCTTTTTTAGTTATGAAATTAGATAGGTAAATTATTTGTTACGTGATGTATTACTCAAAAACGAAGTACATAAACAGGATGATCAACATAACTTATCAACACTTATTATCTGGAGAAATTAGATATTTTTGAAATTTGTTTTTTTAGATAATTTAAGAATAATGAGCTCTAAAATGTTACATTTCGGTTATCTTTTCGTCTCTCTTATTTCAAACGGTGAAATTGCTGTATACGTTTTGTTTTTAAATAGCAACTTTTACTAAAAATTCCACAAACAGTATTAGTTTCCATAAATTGTGGTGTTGACATTTTTGATTTCCGTTTTTCCGTTAACAAAATATTTCACTTTTAAGTTTAAATAGAGAGAGTGGTGGAACATATCTATTTATGAAATTTTTATTGTAGGTTGCCGTTTGAATATTAAAAATAGGTAGTGGTTCACCCCCTGAAAAAAAAGTAACAAAAATAACATTTTAGAGCTACTTTTTTCTTAAATATTCTAAAAACTAAATTCCGAAAAAAGTTAATACTTTCCTAGAAAATTAGTGTCCTACAATATGATGTTGATCACTCTGTATATAATGCGAACCTAAAATCAATAAAAATGCATTGTGTGCCACACAATCTATTATAAAATTATTATATGAATACATCATATATTTAGTTGAGTAATTATAAACAATTTATTTTTCTTTCTATATACGATATTTGTACTTTGTCTCGAACGTAATATATTAATACCACTTGAAATCATATTTTGATTTTACAATGGGTTTTTAAAATAATCGGGAACCCTGGAAAAAAAATTATATATATATATGTAAAATGGCCAATATAATTTTTACAAACTATGTTTTCTACTAGAAATACTGCTTTAGTAGGAAAACCACAATTGACCTTTTTTGTTGCTTTTTGGATCTATGTAGATGCTCACGAAGAAAGATCCATTTCTATGGCCTCCCATATGAGAATTTTCGAAAACCGAATATACCAGATGTTTGTGCTCTGTTTGGGTCCAGTAGTTTGTGCCCCTTTTCTATTTCTATCATTCTATATTTGACCAAACTTCTCTCGAAGCTTTGGTCTATTCTACGGTTAAAAGAAGTTTCAACTACCTAATAATTAACTCTCAACCAGAATTTCGTTCAAGCAAGTTCACCTTATAATTCAAATGTCTGTAAAATATAAAAGACAAACATACTTCGCCACATGGGTGGGCTTACTCTGTTGTAGGTGAGAAGTTGGAAGGTAGATGGGATATTTCGTGTATATCTGTAAGCAACGATAAATCATTGCTAACAAACAAACGATTCTGAACGGAGTTCAGTTGATAGTGTTGTTTTGTCAACAATACAATATATAGTATATATCATATTATGGTAAAATGATTAGAACAATGTGCGTTTCCCTGACAACGATTTTTTAAAAAAGATAAAAATAATAAAAAATAAATAAAAACGGTTGCCAATGACAACCTTATTTTTAATCTTTCAATCTTTTCAACTTAAAGACCGACGTTTTCCAAATTGTCTCAAATATTAATGAGAATCTCAAAAATTGACCTTTCTAAAGTACCACCCAAGGAACATTTCCTTTTAGAAAAAATATTCACATAAAACAAAAAAACAAACATCATTGTAAAATTAATACATTCCTCGTTCCACTTAGAATCTAAAATAAAGCATTATTTTCATAAATTTCCCGTTTTTTTTATATTTTATCCTGGTTTTTCCCAGATATTATGAAATAGGAAAATCAAAAAAATAAACTCCTAAAAGTACCATCTGTACAACCATTCCATTTCAGATGGTTCCGCGCGTATATATCTGAGCAAGATTTCTAGTAGAATATTTGTAACATAGTATATAAAAAAAAAATATATATATATCTTAATAAAACCAATACATTTTTCACTACACTTCAGGATCTGAAATAACAGTATACACAATTATATTTTTCAATATTTTATTTTATTTTGCTAATCAGTAATCACGTATATAAATAGTATTTTTTGTTTTGTACGAATCAATAAAATAAATATATTAAAACTTGCAATGCGCGATAGATAGGCAGCAGGAGACTGTATCCATGCTCACTACCTCATCGTATCGACAATCAGCCCGTGGATTTTCGGTTTCATGAGAGAGAACGCCTTTTATCATGATAAATTAAATAGGTATGACAGCAAAAATTCTATATTCATCGTGTTTACGTATATTCCTTCCCCCCGACTTCTCTCCGTCTACATTTGTGACTTAAGCTTTTCGGCTAATCCTATTGCTTGTAATATTTACATTAAAATTATTGTGTAATACCTATAATAAAGGCGATTAACCACGTTTCGTCTGTAAGAGACAAATTAATTGTTGAATTTGAATTTCCTATTTATTAATTATATTATTTTATTATTTGTCTATTGTTATTTAATGATACTGCTAAACACTAAAAAATAAACTAAAAAAAATGTACATTTTAAAGCTATCTATGTTTATTTTTTTTATGTGTCTACCTAATAAATATGGATAATTACCTGCATTTGTTTATTTATACAATATATATACATATTATATTAATTGAAATACCTGTGTGTATGTATTTCTCTAAGCAGAAACGTAAAATAAAATTATAATCAGGCATTTATTGCAAATCACAATTAATTTTTTTGTATTTCGTATTGTGATTACAGTAGCCGAAAAGCCTACCTCACACGCGGCGTATCCCAAAGTTGCTGACATACCTATTTAATTTATCGTACATTTCATTATCTCATAAGTCATGATCGGCCGTAGTGTGCATATCGCTTTGGTATAAAATTAATGATGTCGCCGTTGTCATCGTATCGTGCTCCAGACACACCACCGTCTTATGGGTGCGCGTACTTACGAGCTAATTATTATTTTAAGCTACTGTTTTTTTATAAATGTGTATAAACAAAAAGATAATACACTTCGTTTTCTATCATAGCTTGAATCGTTTTAGAAACATGATTACTTTTTATGTTATTAAATAACTACATATAACTATAGTTTATAATAACCTACAATAAATATAATATACCAATTTATGAACAATTAAAACTTCAGTATGTAATTTTTTGGAAATGTTTTGTTTGATTTAGGTGTTAATGTAACACAAAAGATGTTAAAGGTATAATATATTATCTACATAATATTTTTTTATTGTAATCCCGAATAAAAATAATAGAAAAATAAATAATATTGTAATAAGTACGAATATTGTTACTATTTTATAATTCCGATTTCCGATGATAAACATCGTGCGTCGTCATCATATATCTATTTTTTAATTTTTCGTGGGAAAAACCAAAAATACAGAAAAGTTGACAGTAATATTATTTTCATTATTTTTTCGATTTTGTTTTTGTATTGTAAAATATTTAGAAATAATTGCTGAGAATCTTAAAATAAAATTTTAAAAAACCAGTGCTGTGTACCAATTTATTGTTATATGATTTAAAAAAGAATGCATCTATATTAAAATAATATTATTTTACAACATTTAATAAATTATCAAAAATCATCTAATAATTAAGCTATTGAAAAAAATAATGAAATAAGTAGGCCATCCAATTGATTTAAATTGTTTTCAAAATGTGTGTTTATTGTATATTATATAAGCATAAACAAATGTATTTTGAAACAAGTTACAAAAATAATTTTATTGAAGTAATGTAAAAAGAAATTCGAAAATCACGAAAGTAAAATTAAAGCCTTTTTGAAAAAAATCTAGTAATGTAGAACAAATTTCCAAAGTCTTAACATTTTAATTACATATCAATTTTTATTTTAGCCTCTAAAAAGAATTTACTAAACAAATATTAATGTGCGATTAAATACCATCTTTATCTACGTCACCAGGATCTAACCCCCTCAGTTTACACCACTAAGTATAATAACATATTGTACGCGTGTTTATATTATGGGTAATTTATAATTATATGACATAATATAATATATGCGTATAATATGACGACTCGTAACGTGCTGGTTTGTCATTGAAAGTGTAGAAGTATAGATTAGTAACTAATAAATAATAATATTCGCACATAAACTTTTCATTCTAAATTTCTAATATTTTTATTCGGGGGTTTGAATATATTATATTATAGTGCCGTTATTTATAATTAAAACTAGTAAATGATATGTATATCACTATCTATAAAGCAAACAAATAACATGAAAATAATTTATCTTATCGATAAGAATATTTTTTTCCGTAGTTTGCTGTATATCCGTATAAAATATAAATAAGAACGTTGCACCCTCGCGCTCCGCGCGCACAATTCATAGCGCTACGGGTTGTGTTGTAGTGGAATTCACGGTGACTTGGAGCAGCACTTGATGGCATAAAATATTTAATTAAATTTAAATTTTTACATTAAAACTGTTTCGCGCGGGGTGAGAGTTATTATTTACACATTTACGGAGGTACGACGCCCTCTTAATCATATTAAACAAATGAACAGATCTGATACTATGAATAAATGTGTCACAATATAGGACAGCTACATAAAGTATTTAATTTGACTTACTATAAAGTACCAAAAATGAAAAATCGATTACTATTTAAATTATTATCATCACTAAGTAATATTCGTACTACTAGTAATTATTATGAGACCAATATATTATATTATATCGAATTGTATAATATATATACTTACCTACAAATATTATACAGCTTATCTATAGGATTAGTTATGTTATAATAATATTACCTATCCTACAATAATTACACGTTTTATGATGTTAAATAAGCGTTTTGATATAATTTAATTAATTTTCTTTTGATTGAAGCTATTAAAAGTGACCTAATTGTTATCTTATTCAGTTAAGATCACAAGCATCAGAGGCCACTATTAATTTTCCCGACTAATATTAATTAATAATTAAAATTATTATAATATAATAAATATTAATTTTCCGAAAATAACCATACTAATAATAAGTAATAAGTAGGTACTAATTCAGTACTAAATAATGGTAGTATATATAGTATTTATATTGTACTGATACTGCGGCCGTTGTGGACAATTTCGAAAAATCCAATATCTTGTTGAAAAAATGAAGCAGTACTTTTGCAAATATCGTTGACCAGCACTAATTCGGCACTAAATATTGGTACTGAAGAAAAAATTAGCGATCAGTGTCCGTCCGTTAACTTCACGGACTTTAGCGATATCGACTAAACTAATAATGACATTATCATGCGGTTGTCTCCCCCTCCCCCGTATATTTTTAAAAATCTGATGCGTATTAATTAAAAAAAAAAAGAGGAGATAAATTGTTTATAACTTTAGATTTGGTAAATTTACACATTTTATATGTTATTCTTACAACCATTTCATAATCATTATATTACCCCTCACGCAGTATCTAAATTCCTCCCCCCCCCTCGTCGGTAAAAACTGTTCTACGGAAGTATTCGTGTTTTAAAAATATAGTTCTATTCTAGTGGCTCGATTCAATATGGACAAACGTGAAAGAAAAAAATATATTTAGTGCTATTCATGGAAATTATAATAATGCGCTCGTTTGAGAGGAGACTCTTGTACGCCCTTTTTTGACGATAAGAATGTGACGCGACGCTTTACAATGAAAATACAGTGATCTATTCTGGACGTATAATCACGTAGCACTCGAATGCTGTTTTATCTTATTGACCTTATTTTTTTTTCACGATTTTTACGGCGGCGTCGCTGCGTAACAGTTGTTTAAATATACGATGGGACTTTTCTCCGAAAACCCGCATTTTTCGCAATAAAGTGTATAATATAATTTTTTTTTTTTTTTTTTTTTCATAAAATTCGCATTAAATTAAAAATGTAGTCGAAAACACAATTATTTTTGTTAAAAATAGTATATTTTTTCCTCTTCTCTTTCTCATTCATTCTCAATATTTGCGGTACATATTATATAATTAAAAATATTTTTAGGGGAAAATATACATTTTAAAAATGAACATCATTTTTCCAAAAATAATTAGCAATACTTTTAATTTTATTTTCTATTTATAATTTGGCTCTTCCTACATCATATTTTTTAATTTTACACTCTTGCGCTATGAATTCGCACACTCGTTATAAAGCTTCCATCGATTTAAACGGTTTTTAAATTAATTTTATATCGAACTAATAGAACGATAGAGGTGACCTTTAAGGTGATGCAGTTGATAAAAGGTCATTATTATTCATTGATCATTATTGGGAAATACGTAAATTCAACAATTACAGGTACTTTAGATGAAAAATAAAACACGTATATCTTAATATAAATTTCATTTTATATACAGAATGGGACTCTTGGTTTCAAAAACGAAACTAATTTAAATGCTATAATAAATATTATTACATTTCTTATCAATATGTATTACGTTAAAAAAATGTTTATTTATTTTTTCCAAGATTTTTTGTTTGTTTTATTATGTCTGCCAAAACAGATTATTATTAACGTAATCATTTTTAAAACGTAATTTAAACAATATCCTTACGACGAACCTTTGTGAAATGTCTACACCGTTGAAATTTTATATTAAATTATAAAAGTACGATCACTACTAATCAACAACGTATATGTACATTGTGTTAAAGAATATTATAAACACGTATTACAAAAATCGGAGCGCAAATAAAATACGTCATGTTTTAGATAAATAATATAGTTAATCGATTAAATGATTAGATATTCGTATTCATTTCATTGTACACAGACGGTATTAAATTATATTTTTACTAAAAAAGAAAAAATAATAATAATTATCCACAGATTCTTAGGAAAATACATTCCGAATAATCTATAATTATTAAAAAAAAAAGTCCGATAAAAATATTCAATATTAATCGCTCGTCAAATATCTATTACTTATCTAATTCATACTATAATATTTACGATTCCGTAACAAAATAACGAAGTTGTCTCTAGTCAAACCACAAAATATTATTTATCAAGTAGTCCGTCTGGTTTTTTATTTTCCATACGATTTCTTATCTATATGATTATATATATATAATATACATGGTGATTTTTTTCCCTTTATAATACCTAACCCGCGATATTCCGTCTTAAAAACTCGCGCGGCAAATTTGCAGAAACAACTTTGTGTCGTCAGATATTTTAATATTAGAGCGAACGGAAGTATTATATCAAACTTAAACGAGATATATGTGTATGAAATATCACCATTTAAAAACTCGTATATAATATGCAGTTGTATCCCGTTTAAAAATTAAATTACCGAGAAATCAACCGATTACTGTTGATAGTTGCGCGAATTTCGTATTTTGAAGTTTGATAACAGCCGGTAAATTCACTCCAATGGCATAATCTACAGCACGGGGTTAATATATTGTCGCCGCTGAACGCGCATAATAATAATTATAAACGATGATATAGAACGCTGCAGTTCGATATTTTCAAAAACATATTTAGATACGCGTAGTAATACACCGACAAACGTAATAAAACCGTACAAGTTGTTGTAACATAAGAACAAATTAAAAAGACGGACATACTTCCCACGTGAGTGGGCCACTGTTTGTAGTTGAGAAGTTAGGAAGGTAGAGGAGAAATTGAATGTATATCTGTATGCAACGGTTAACCATTGCTAACGAAAAACGGTTCTGAGTGAAGTTCAGTTAATAGTGTATCAACAATATATATCTCACTTTATGGTAAATATATTTATATTTTCTTTGATATTTGTTTAATATTATATCGATTTTTCCCGGTTTTTGCTGGAAAATTCCTGGGAAAATCAAAAAATGACCACCCTAGGAAAATTCCCTTTCAGAAAAAATGCTTGATACTTTGAAGCAAGATTTCTGGTTGAATTTTCGCACACAGTTTGTACAACATCTTTGTAAAACCGATACATTCTGTACTAAGATTCTAAAACTGTACGGATAGAAAGAGGACGTCATACCCGCTGTGCTGTCTCAGTCCAACTAACGGGCTATAAAGCAAATCTATCATACACAACATGCGTAAAACTTGCTTAATTTTGGTTTTAGAGTAAAACCACCTATTATAAAATGAAAAATAAGACAATATTCCGGAAGGCAAGACAAGGCTGCGTTTTTCCTGTTATTCTAATTATTATTCCGAATATAACGTTCAATACATCGTGTCATAATTTAGTAATAAAGAGTATTCATCGTTTTAAATCTACTGTAATCTTTCAATAATGAAACGTCATCGTCTTGTCCTCCGGAATAACGTCTTCTTTTAATTTTACAATATAGGTGATTAATGATTATACTCTAAAACGAAAACTAAGCGAGTTCTACGCAGTCTGTGTAAGGTAAATTTTGCTATGTTGTCTGTTGGACCGAGACAACACACCGTATAACGTCCTCTTAAGTGTTGTTCGTTATTCGAAAATAATACCAACTGGTTTATAATATTATTATGATTCATAATTATGATGATACCACAAGAACCGCCGGAGTATAGCTCGCGAGCTGTATTTCATTGCGTTACTTTTCTATGAAAAATACAAAATTGTAATTGCCTGATTTAATTATTTTTATTTATTATTATATATAAAATATGTATTATACTACAGTATTAGTAGTGTGCGTCCGTACCTATATCATAAATACGAATTTTCGACCTGTAATGTACTTACACACTGATACCAGCAGGGTTAGGGTTTATCAATGTCAAGGCGTCCTTGGAGTAACTACCTATTTTTTACGCGTCTTGTACTTTAAACGCATCGAGCAGATTTAAAATTATTATTATTTTTTTTTTTTTTTTTTAATACCTAATATGTATCTGCATACTACTATTACCCACGCAGGTATACATAATATATTTATAATCGTATAACAATTATTATTCGTTTATTTCGTGTTGTTGAATTATTATTATTTCAAGTTTATAAACTCAATAACGTATAAAAGTTGCGACGGTAAATATTATTCGTGATGTTTGTTGTGACGACCTTTCTATATCGATCGGTACAATTGGTATTTTTTCACCTTATAAAATCATTGCTCTCATTTATAATTTTATATTTTCTGCATATTATAGACTCTGTATAAATATGTATCTGTAATACGTGGATAATATTTTTATTATTATTCCAAGTCTACGAAACGATAAAAATAAAACAGGAGTAGGTAAACTTCTTCCGGCATTGTATAGATATATTATTTTCTCCGCGCCCTTACATAATATTGTTAACTTGACCACTTTTTACTTTCTCTTTTATATATGGTAGCTGCAGTCTGCACGTATACACACGCATAACTTCGGAGTGAAATCGGACAGAGGTTCAAGGTTTATTCGAATTGAATTATTAACATTAATAATATCCGTCTTTTGACGATTATTATAAATTAATAACAAAGTAATTATTGTTTTTGGTTTACCCTGAGTATAGAAGTACTTGAGTATGGGTACCTAAAAGAAAATATTTCGATTTGCATTTAAAATGCTGAATAAATATGTATCGACTTACTAACATTTAATGCTATCTAAAATTAGTATTGATAGTTTGAAGGAGAAGAAAAATATTCGCGAATGAATCATTAATTTTTATTTATTATCCGGAAACGTATAAAATGACGATGATCTTCAATTTTTTTTTTTTTTCATAAATTATAACCCGCGTTGTAACGTATAATACAGTATAGTGTAAAAATACGCACATGACCCTAAATTGTTTTAAACTTGATACAAATGACTCCTGCGAAATATTCATATAATACCTATAATTATGATAATATATTTATAAGTACAATTAAATTTAAAATGTTTACATTTTTATTTTTCATCACGCTCCTTGCGTGTCCTGTCTTACCCAATTTAACCATAGAACATTAACATTAAACATGGTGTATAGTTCAGTGTATACCTACTAACATATAATATTGATTATATAGTCTACCTACAGTAACCTATTATTTATTCCGAATATCTTTACTTAGTACAGAATATGTATTATTCCCTGTTTAATTATAAGAAACATACAGTTGATTTGGAAATTGCAAGTGGGCGCATAAATTAAAATGTAGGATATACAATACATTTTATTTGTATTTAACAAACCGAAGAATTTCAATTTAATTACTTACAACATCGATAATATACCAAAATATAATAATTTGGGGGTTGCATTACAATTTATTTTTTTTAACTCACTAATATATTCTTGCTTGTATACGTACCTACGCAAAACTATTAATTAATGAATTTTTATTAACAGCTTTTCTATAAATTTAGAAAATTATGATGACCTTGTTGTATTTTGACAAGGTCAAAGAAGAGCGCATACCACTATACCCGTTTGTTAATCATTTCCTACATAGAGACTTAAAATTATATATTTATATGAATTAATAACAAAACAAGATTATTACAGTAGTAGGTATATATTCTTACGATACATGTTAAAAATATATACTGGTTTAAAATTCGTCCCGACCATTCGAAACTTATATAAAATAGCTTACCTACATTGTGTTCTTAAGAGTGCATTGTGTAGTTGGCTTGTTGCTTTATGGTGAACTAGAGTTACAAGTTTTAATGATGACCTCGACAATTAATTTACAGGCAAGTTTATGGCGGTCGGCCTTTATCGAAAACTAGCCGCGCACGAATATTTTTATGTTTTATTTATAAGTAAACATTTATAATACATATACTTAAATATTATTTTCCTTAATGAATGATCTTTAATTAAGATTTTAAAGATTCCGTTAGTTCAGATTCGTTATTCACAAATTCGTGATTTGCACACTGTTTTAGATTCATGGATTTGCGTCACAAAAATGTAATTTTATATATATTTGCTATTTAGTTTGTGTTTATGTGTTTCCACGGGTCCACACATAGTTACAATTATTTACCGTAAAGAAAAAAAAATTATAAATTATTTGAGAATTTTGCCTTAGCAAAAAAAAAAAAGCTGATACTGCTGATGAGTTTAACCATTGTTGTAGGGGGGAAGATAGAAAACAAAGTTATTTAATTTATATATTCATGCAACGATAAGTCAATGCTAACAAAGTAAATTTCTGAGATAAGTTTAGTTAAACGTGTCTTTGATTCCCTTTGATTTTTACGATTTTCTTCTAAATTTGAAATTAAAATGTTTAAAAACTCAAAAATGCCAAATACATGTAAATAACTGAAAATCATGAGAATATATTGAACAATTTACAGCGTCTAGGGCAATATTTTGCGAAAATTTCGGGTTCCTACGAATATTTTTATTGAATAAAACATAAAATCGAAATTAATCAAATCAGTATTGTCTTAGCATTCCTGTTTTTCCTAATTATTAAATAGATGACAGAGGAAATAAAAAAATGACCTTCTCAATACTATCAATAAACACATTTTTTTAGTTTGGAGCAAGATGATGTCTAATAAAAAAGTTATTTAACAGATACAAAAAATAAATAATCACACGTAGTTTTAAAAATTGATCCGCTCTGAATCTAAAACATAAATTTACAATACTACTATCAATATTATTATATTTTATCCTCATATATTACTGAGACGTTGTTTTAAAATGTGATAGTAGTTTAAATCACAAACACAAGGGTGACAAAAAAATGAGGATAATGTAACATTTTAGAGCTGCTTGTTTCTAAAATCGATCAACAAAAAAAAAGTATACTTTTAGAGATTATGATAATTTTATAATTTATACTGACTAACTTACCTGCTAACCTCGACCTATTTTTAATGTACGATATTAGTGTATTGTGTATTTTGTTTTCGCTTTATAGGAATATTAAATTAAAAGTGAGGGTTGGTGTTTAAAAATAAATGCAAAACATTGAAGATAAAAAAATATTGAAATTGATACTGAATAGAACTGCGGATAAGATAGTTTCGTGGTATTTTGATAATATTATGGTCGATCTTGTGCTTATATAATATTAAATTATACTATAAATATTATAATGTGTAGTTAATATATATATTTATTAGAAACAGATAAGTTTTAAAAATTTCGTAGTATCGTTAAAAATTGTTTGCATTTCTATAAGGTCTACATTAGTATTCCGTGAAATATTTGTAATTATTTTTCCGGCATTCATAATTCTTTTTAAATTTAAGTTTACGTTTTAATGAGTTTATGATATAAATATTTATGGTTGAATATTTCATAACGTGTTTTTAACTAGGTATGTATATTTTTTTTCTGTGCAAAAACTACTGTAACAACTATTTAAGGATATTTACTTATTTTCAACAACTACAAAAAAAAAAATCAGTGTACCACTGTTTTAATTGAGAAGGTAGGATACATAAAGTTATTTAATTTATATTTACATGAGCAAAGAAAACCAATTCTGAGTGAAGTTTGGTTGTACATATTTTGAAATGCTATAAGTTTTAAGATTTTCGTCAAAAATTGATCTTGAACTTAAAGTATCAACCCTAAAAGAATAAAAACATAAACAAATATAAAAACACAGTGAAATTAATGCATTCTTCGTTACGTTCAAAATCTAGAAGTTGATGAGTTGTTCTTATTATATCGTTGTTAATAAAGTACCCTGTATCAGTGTTTATTGAGACGCAAAAAACGAGTTTTGAAATAAAATTTTGTCATTGGTTTAATCAAATATTTATAAATGGTCTCAAGTTACCTTTTTTTTTTAGTTAACTATTTTTTCATAAAATTATCTATTATCTTCCTTTAATATACCAGGAGATACGATGTATTTTGACAATAATATTGATATTGGATCGCCTATTGTTTTATACTTTCGAGACGTCCAATTAAAATGTTAAAAATACTTATACATTTGTTGACACGTTTTCTAAGTTTCTTAGGAAGTCGATTTTCGGTTCCGTGAAAATGCCGAATTGCAATTAGGTATTGTATTTATTTTAGGCGTACCAATCATAAATCGAAAATTGACTTTGTAATTCAATTTGTCGAAACGTCCGCCTTAAAAAAAAAATTACAATAAACACCGGGATCGTGTGTTCATTTTCCCACCCAAGCCCGACAAGAAGGAAGGGCAGCCGGGGCTTTAGCCCTATGGCCCGGGCCCGACCAAAGCAACCTGGTCTAATTATTTTACCTAATTTGTACATTTATAAAAAAAAATTAAGTGTTAATTATATAACAATTATTACTTCTACGTGTTTTTCTTTGTTTATTAACATTTAAAAAAAACGACGCTTGGCGTTTGTGGTAAATTTGATATTTAACATTTTGGGATGGATTATTTTGTTTCCGGGGCCCTCGATTCCTCTCCACGGCTGCCCCGCCCCGTACCCACCGCTCGTAAACGTCTGTGCATAAAAACGGCGCGTACTCTATCTCCTCGAACCGGTGGGGGAGGGTTGTATCAGACTACAGTCACGGGGAGTCGGAACGGCCATCGAACGCGATTTCGAGAAAATTTCGAAAAAATTCCTCTTTTCCGATACCCCCCCCCCTCTCTCTCTCTCTCTCTTTCTCACTCACTCTTATTTTTACACGATCGATTGATAATCCAACGCTTATCATACTAAGCTTCGTCGCTCCCCGCAATCGCGTTATCGGCCGCGGTCCAAGTCAATAGGTTATACCGACGACGGGTATCGCGGTTGCGACCTTGGTCACGTAAGAAAGGGCGAGCTTAATAACTTTCTCCCGGTCGGTAGTCTCGTTCGCGCCATCGACGCCGTCGTTCGTGTCTCTCGTCCAATTGCAACCGCCGCGGGATCCGTCAACCGCAAGTCGAGAATATTTTGTTCTCCGCGAGCGTTTTACATATATTATTATATTATAACCGACCGTCGACAGTTTAACGATAATCGTCTTCATTCCCGACGGTAATTTACTATTATTATTGATTTTTTTTCATGTAAAATTTAACACACTCATTTTAACGTTTAATACGCCGCCATCATTGCATTCATTGTTATTGTATTGTTTACGATATTATTTTGTAGTCCCTTCGAGCGCGCGCTCGGAGCGTTTTCTTCGGGATATATATATATTTTTTTTTTTTATCAATATTATTAACATTGATAATGTACTATGCTATTGTATTATATTGTGTATATTCGTTCGGTTGGACGATTATTTTATTGTCGCGAAAAATGTCAAACACATTAATCGCATTGTGTCCCTAAAATTAACGATTCGAAATAGGTATGCCTATTGTTGTCGAACTCGACTCCGTACTGTTGTTTGGTTAAAAAAAATATATGTACTCGCGTAAACATTTAAAAAATAATAATTCCAACGGTTGTATTTCGTTTTAATTGTATTTTATTTTTTTTTTGTTATATATTTATATAGTTTCGTACTCTACGAATTTATATGAATTTTTTAATAATTATTATGGACCTAAAAATGATCTAACGGTCTTATCTTCGGCACATCAATATATTATAATGGTGTATAATGTTATTATTAAAAATTATTATTTATCTCGTTTTTAGCATTCTCACGATTTCTCTCGACCGTTTTTTTATTTTCCTGGCGTCGAAACTGGGAAACCGAAAATATGTATAGATATAAATCACTTTTACACTATTATCCACGCATAGACAATATTGTTATTCACGTAATATATAATACGTATTATCACGACTCTCTCAAGAAAAAACCAGCATTTCACTTCTGTGGTTCTCGACCGGTGTGAAAAACAAAAACTCGTTTTTGAAATTTTATTTGAATGAATACGAAAAATAATTCTCCAACGCGGTCGAGCGCGTTATCATTTATACGGGTCTAAATTACGGTGCCGTCGTTAAAAGAAAAATAAGTTAAAAACCACCGAATTTTAACTTGCACTTACTGCCTAATGGTACCTAATATGTACGTCAAAAAACGTTTTGTAATATTGAAATCAAATGTAATAAAACAAATTAATAATAATACAATGTACCTATACCTATTTTAGCATTTAATAAAATTTCACCTTCTACTCGGAATTCAAATATTATGCTGTCTATCAGTATTGGATTTCTTTTTTTTTCAATTTTCGTGCGCGCGTTCGCCGATTAGAGCTTTATTAAAAGTATTGTATGTGTTTTCACGTCTTTTTAATAATGAACATTTACCCGCGTAACTTCGGAATTATTATTATGAGTATAATAATACTAACGGAATTTTTCGAATTTTCTAGTTCTTAAAAAAAAAAAAATTAATGCCCGAGACACTAGAGCGACTTACAAACATAATTTTTCGAATTTGGTAATAATTAATAAATTGTCGAATTAAAAATATTACAGCCGCCTAAATAATCAAATCGAGGCGTTTAATTTGTATTTTAGATTCTGAGGAGAGCTAGGAATATTTTACAAAGTTTATTTTTTTTTTCTGTGAACACTTCTGTCATAAATTTTGTTTCGATTTCGAAGTGTAGCACTTTTTATGAAAGGAAATTTTCGTGGGGAAGTAATTTTTAATTTCCCCAGGAGTTTTCATAATAAACGAGAAAATTTACTAAGTGTATTATTTTCAAATCGTAAATATTACTGCCTTTTACAACATGTTTAACCGAACTCCGCTCAGAATCGTTTTTCGTTAGCAATGATTAATCGTTGCGTACTGATGATATATACATTAAATTTACCTTCTATCTTCCCAACTTCTCACCTATAAAAGTGGCCTGATCATCGTGCGAAGTATGTCCGTTTGTTTTTAATAATGTCACCGACATAACGGGGAATGGCTGCTGTCCAATCGATTTTAATTTAACGAATAGAAATAACAATGAAAATGATTAAAACGTGTATGTATGTAGAGACGTTTAATAAAAAGAACAAAACGGATATCGAGCTAATTAATTTGTGCGCGATGCGTTTTCATCTTGTGATTATTTATCCTTGTTTCGAACTACAAAGTCACGCGGAACGTTTACTTATTTTCATTATCATCATCATCATCATCATCATCATCATTATTGCTATTATTATTGAAATATCAGAGTGTTACGGGTTACCTACACATTTTATTTCTACGGTCGTTCGTAATTCTGATTAATTATTATTGTCCGAGATCCAAAGTTAATATAAGACGTGTGCATCGGTGACGGAAACCGAACGTATACGAAAATCGATTATAATATGTACATATGTATATATATATTATTATTTTTTTACAATAACACCGCCGATATAATATTTATATTTTAAAAAATATATAATATTTAAGGTCGTTCAAGTTTATTCGTACCTAAACTTATTCATAAAATCGACCTCTAATGACCCCTATGTTATCAATTTTTTTTTTTTTATACAAATACCTAGGTACCTATTTTTATTTTATTCTTTTATAATTATGATTGATAGAACAAGTTACACAATATTATTTTACGAACAGATATTGTTAGTTTAAATGTATGTACTTTATGAACCTGTGCCTATAGTGATTAACAATACCTATAATCGTTTTGAACATTTTCCGTGGGCGCCTGCTTAATATCATGTTAAATATTACAATATTATACTTTTCCAAAAAATGTATTCACTCGACAACAACGTGTTAAAAACACAGTATTATATAATACATTATTACCTAACCTTCTGTAATCAAATTTGCCAATATTATTATTTTCCGAGCATTTATATAATTATTATAATTAATTATTGCTCATTATGCAATTATTAGTTTAATTAATTGCTAATTATTAATGATCGAACTCATTAATCCACCACCCAGCCTTAAGTACAATTAAGTTTATATAATATGATTAAACTGAACCTGTGACATTGCCCATAACGTGTTTGTTGCTATCGTCTTTGTCACTTAGTGTCAAAATGTATTTTATACAATTAAATAACCAAACCATTTAATATTAATTAATTTAATGTAATATTTGTTAATCTACAAATTATTTCAATTATTATTATATTTTTTTTAGTTAATTCATAATGTCTGCCAAAGCAATTAGTGAAGCGACCGGTAAAGATATCATAAACAGAAACTTAGCTCCATTGACATCTGCCGTAAAATGCCGGTTCGCTTCAATAAATGAAAACACCAAATGGGAAGATCTCGAATTGGACAACCCATGGCTAAAATCTGAAGTGTGTATTTGATTTAACTCAATAATTATCAGTGGTGCAACTAGGATTTATCAATATGGAGTGATTAAAAGTAAACCTCCTTACCTCCTTAACCTTACCTATAACTAAAAAAAAAATGAATAGGGGATTAAAATGACCCACTTGCTATGCCACCGATAATTATTATATGTATGAAAATTCAAAATATTATTTTTTATCTTTAATAAGCGTTTACATTTTTAGAGTTTAGTCGCAAAACCAGATCAGTTAATAAAACGTCGTGGTAAACTAGGTTTGATTAAAGTAAAAACTGACTACAAAGGAGCTAAACAATGGATTCTCGAACGTTTGGGAAAGGATCAAAAAATTGGCCGTGCAAATGGAAAATTAAAGAATTTCATTATTGAACCATTCATCCCTCACAAAGCTGTACGTATATTACTATACTAAGTTATGATTTTATTTTTTTTTATCGTTTATAATAGTAAACATATTATTAGTTTCCTTAAATTATGTTTATATTTGTGTAGGATGAAGAAGCATATGTGTGTATTTACTCTCATCGTCATGCTGATACAATTCTTTTCCATCACGAAGGTGGTGTCGACATTGGAGATGTCGATGCTAAAGCATTAAAACTGGAAGTGCCAATTGGACAAAATATAACTGAGGAGCAAATCTTAGAACAACTATTAACCAAAGTTAGCCCAGCCAAACAAAAGTAAGTTTTTTTTTAAAAAAACCTAATTTTTTTACAAACTTATATTATTATATTATATTTTTAGGACTATTGCAACATTTGTAGTTGCTTTATATAAAATGTATGTAAATCTTTACTTCACCTATTTGGAAATCAACCCATTGGTAGTAACAGATAGTGCTATTTACATTTTGGATTTGGCTGCGAAAATTGACTCGACTGCTGATTTTATTTGCCGTGCAGCTTGGGGTGAAATTGAATACCCACCACCATTTGGACGTGATGCCTTCCCAGAAGAAGCATACATCGCCGACTTAGATGCCAAAAGTGGAGCTTCACTTAAGGTAAAAAAAATTTTGAAATTTATAATTTAGCTTTTTATTGTGTGTTCTAACTAGAAAAGTTATATCAGCTATTTAATTTGATTTGTTTTTTTCTTTTATGATTTATTTATTTAGTTAACAATTTTAAATAAAAAAGGACGTATCTGGACTATGGTTGCTGGAGGTGGTGCCTCTGTTATTTATGCTGATACAATTTGTGATTATGGTGGTTCTAGTGAATTGGCTAATTATGGAGAATACAGTGGTGCTCCATCAGAACAACAAACTTATGAGTATGCAAAGACAATTTTGAGTTTAATGACTCAAGAAAAACATCCCGACGGAAAAGTTTTGATCACTGGAGGAGGTATTGCTAACTTCACCAATGTAGCAGCAACATTTAAGGGTATCGTCACAGCCCTGACAGAATACCAGACTAAAATTTTAGAACACAATATCACAATATACGTACGCCGTGCCGGTCCAAATTATCAAGAAGGTCTTAGAATAATCAGAGAAGTGGGAAAGACTTTACGTATTCCTATTTATGTATTTGGACCAGAAACCCACATGACAGCCATTGTTGGGTATGCTTTGGGTAAAAAACCAATACCCAAAGAAACTGAACAAGAATCTGTTACTGCAAATTTCCTTTTGCCTGGCGGACAGGTGAAATGATTTCCTGATCTTTGAAATTAAATTAGTTTGTTTAAAAAAATATATATGTACATTTAGGACTCAAATTCTGTCAATGCACAACAAGAAGTTGTTGATGGTAGTGTTAGTGACTTAGCAAGTCCAACAATTACTTCATCGTCTGTCAAACCAAAGTTCTCTCCTGTTACTCCTTCTGCAAAACCTCTGTTTGGCAGCCATACTAGAGCTATTGTTTGGGGAATGCAGACTAGAGCTGTGCAGGTAAATCATTTTTAAATTAAAGCACTTTACTTTATGTGAATTGAATTCATATTAATGGTAAAAGTTGACAAAATTAAAATACAAATATTATTTAAAATAATTAACTATTTATTTTATCTATCAGAGTATGCTTGATTTTGATTTTGTTTGTCGGCGATCTGAACCCTCCGTTGCATGCCTTGTATATCCATTCACAGGTGACCATAAATTGAAATTCTACTGGGGTCACAAAGAAGTTTTGATTCCTGGTAAGTGATACATACACATTTTTACTTTTGAAAAATATTTAATAAAAACCTTCTTTAGTTTACAAGAAAATGGAAGATGCTATGTCAAAGCATCGCAATGCTGATGTTTTGGTAAATTTTGCTTCTTTGCGATCTGCTTATGACAGTACAATTGAAACTCTCAACTACCCTCAAGTATGATTGAAATAAAGTTCATTGTTTTTATGAGATTTATATTATTTTACACTTAACTGAACGTTTTATAGATAAGAACTATTGCTATTATTGCTGAAGGTATCCCTGAAAATATGACTAGAAAATTAATTTTATTGGCCAACGAAAAAAAAGTCACAGTCATTGGTCCTGCCACTGTTGGTGGCTTAAAACCTGGCTGTTTTAAGATCGGTAACACTGGCGGTATGATGGACAACATTTTGCATTCTAAATTGTACAGGGCAGGAAGGTACTATACATTATTTTAAATTATGTGACAATTATTAATTTAATTAGATTTTAATACAATATTTGTGTTTAGTGTTGCGTATGTTTCTCGTTCCGGTGGTATGTCTAATGAGTTGAACAACATTATCTCGAGAACAACTGATGGTGTGTATGAAGGTGTAGCTATTGGTGGAGACCGTTACCCTGGTACTACATTTATGGATCACATCATGCGTTATCAGGCAGATCCAGAAATTAAAATGATCGTACTTTTGGGTGAAGTCGGAGGAGTTGAAGAATATGAAGTTTGTGAAGCCTTAAAAGAAAAAAAAATCACAAAACCACTCGTAGCCTGGTGTATTGGAACTTGTGCCAGTAAGTTGAATTTACGACTTTCTTATTCCGTGTTATATAAAACTATTATTGGTTTTACTTTGATATATGTGTTTCTTTCTTTCTATCTGTGAACAAAATTTCTACCAGAAATCAAATCACTTTACTAGTTTTTAGTTACTTATAGCTTTTTTAAATTTAATTTAATTTTGATTAAATTTTGAACTAGCAAAATTGTTTAAACATTTTACTTAGTTATATATATATTTAAAAATAGGTTGAGCCTAATACTTATTTTATAAGCGTTCTGAGCACAAATTTCTGAAAAAATTTTAAATATAAATTAAATTAAATTTCTAAACATGTTTAATCAAACTTCGGTTAGAATTTTTTTTTTTTTGGCAATGTTAATCATTGTGTTAATACATAAATTAAATAACTGTATCCTACATACCCATTTCCCATCTTCAAAAATGACACCCATATAAGTTTTTTATTAATTATATATTTAAAATGCTAACGTTTTCCCCAGGCATGTTTACATCTGAGGTTCAGTTTGGTCATGCTGGTTCGTGTGCTAACTCTGATCAAGAAACTGCTACTTCCAAAAATGCCAGTCTCAGAGCAGCTGGTGCATTTGTACCTACTTCATTTGACTTTTTGGGTGATATCATCTTTGATGTCTACAAGAAGTTGGTATCTGAAGGTTCAATCATTCCACAAACTGAATTACCACCTCCAACTGTGCCCATGGATTATTCTTGGGCACGTGAACTTGGTCTCATTCGTAAACCGGCTTCATTCATGACTAGTATTTGTGATGAACGTGGACAAGAATTATTGTACGCTGGTATGCCAATCAGTGATGTTCTAAAGGCAGATATGGGTATCGGAGGAGTAATCTCTCTTTTGTGGTTCCAACGTTCTTTACCTCCATATGTATGCAAATTCTTTGAAATGTGTCTAATGGTAACTGCTGATCACGGACCCGCTGTGTCAGGTGCACATAACACAATTGTTTGTGCTCGAGCCGGTAAAGATTTGGTATCATCATTGGTTTCTGGATTGTTGACAATTGGAGACAGATTTGGTGGTGCATTGGACGGTGCCGCTAAACAGTTCACTGAAGCTTATGACAGTGGATTGATTCCAATGGAATTTGTTAATCAAATGCGTAAAAAAGGATCACTCATCATGGGTATTGGTCATCGAGTAAAATCGGTAAACTATCTATTTGTTGAAAAAAAAATGTATTATTGTAAAATTACCTTAGATCAGGTTGGGTTAATTTTGTTGTTGGTTTTTTTTCCAGATCAATAATCCAGACATGAGAGTAAAAATTATTAAAGAATTTGTTTTGGAAAATTTCCCAGCCACACCATTGTTGAATTATGCCTTAGAAGTAGAAAAAATCACTACCTCCAAAAAACCTAATCTTATACTGAATGTTGATGGATGTATAGCCGTATCTTTTTGTGACTTGTTGAGAAACAGTGGAAGTTTCACTCGGGAAGAAGCTCAAGAGTATATTGATATGGGCTCAATTAACAGTTTGTTTGTTCTCGGAAGAAGTATTGGATTTATTGGTTAGTAAAGGAATAAATAATATACTTTAACATGAAACAAAAGCATATTTGAAAAAATTATTTATTGAACACTTTTTTTTTTTTAATTTTAGGACATTATATGGATCAAAAGAGATTAAAACAAGGACTCTACCGTCATCCATGGGATGATATTTCTTACGTCTTACCCGAACAATATAATTAGACAAAATACATATTATTTTTTTTGTTTTCTATTTTTAATTGGTCGACAAGTGAACAAAGCCATTTGCGCTTTATAAACACCAATAGAAATTTTGGTTTGCGCACAATTTATTACCTGTTAAGTCTACACACATAAGCATTTTCCATCATGGTTTTAATATTCAAAAAAAAAAAATACATTTTACTAGATACCACTATTAATGATTATTACTACTCTGTATATAATAATAACTATTTATTCATCAGGTTTATTTGTAAATTTATACCGATATAGGTATATATTATATATAAAAAAAATTTAAGAATTGCATACATTTTTAATGCACTGTGTTTTTTTCTTTTTGTTGATCTTTTCGGAGATTTATTAGTAATTATTTAAGATAAAATAAGTTTGTTATTATTGACATAATTATGTATTGACTTAAATAATGGTGATAATATTCAGTTTTTAGATTTTTATTTTCGTATTTTTTAGTATTATATCAAAAATAAACTCTTACAACGATCTGAAATATACATTTCTCCAATTCAAGTTGGTAGAATAATGTCTTACTACTAAATTATTATAACTGTTTGAACATAAAAAAATGCACACTATGAATTGAATTTGTTATTTTCATTTAACATACTGAAGAAAAAGAGATGATAATAATTATCAAACAATATTTTTGAATAATGCAAGTAAATTAAATTGAATCAATTTTACCCATTAAATTAACAGAATTGTTTAGAATTCTTCTGGTCTGAATGAATGCTGCCACATTTATCAATTATGGTGACCAGATATAAAAATCCAAAAAAAGAATAAATTGTAAAATTTAGGTCCTCCATTATAAAAAAAAAACCTCCCTTGAAATAATTGTCCAATTATTTTGCCCATAGCTCATCTCCATCTATATATATGTATATATATATTTTATTTTTATTTGATTATTCTTTTATTTGTTCTATTATCAACTATAAAAACTAATTAAGTATTTGAAATTTAAATAATCTTCAGTAAACTTTAAAGTATACTCATATAACAAAAATAGAAATATTTAAATTAATTTTTAAAGGTAAACATTTAAATAAATACAAAACTTTTATTAATATGTTTCCTACACATTTATATTTATTTATTTATTTATTATTTATAATTTTCAAAAAAAAGAGTACAATTGCATGTACTTAACACATAGGACAATGCATTAAAAAAGAGTACTGTCCTACAAAAATTAGTGTGCGTGGTCACCATAATCATAATAGATTTGATTTAGTAATTATTTTAAAATATTTAATTGAACCAACACTCACGATTTCATCTACTTTGTCTAATGAGACTTTAGTTGATTAATTTCAATTTTATATATATAGTAATATTGTTTAAAATAAAAATACTAAATTTATTTTATATCAAACATAACATATCATTAGTCAATAAATCAATTGATGTAACCATCATTCTTTTTTTAAATCCCCTGTTAGAGGTAAATATACATTGGCTAAATATTGTAACGCTAAAATAAATATCACCCGTTTAAATTTAAAATTACATTATTGAAGATTATTTCAATTAACTTATTCACCCACAATGTTATCAGTATTACAGTGCTACAAAACTATAATATTTCCACTTTTAAACAAAAAAAGGCATATCATTTTAAAACTATCAATGTATAATTTGAAAACCTTTAAATTAAAATAGTGTGTTAATACTTTGTTGCGGCCTATTTCATTTAATGCTTGTCTTTCTTTTCTTATCTTCATAAATTCTATCATTTTTTTTTTTTTTCTGTCCAAATTGCACATTTCATCATTGTATTATAAGTAAGCCCCAAAATCCATCAACATTAGTTTTAAATAGCTTCCATAAATCCCTTTCATCCAATTTGGTTCTTACAAGTTATTTACAAATTATTAATGTATGTATGAGTGTCGTCATATAGTCACGTTTGCGTAAGCGTTGGCGTGGTTTTAAATTGTATTAATAAAATGATATCTGTGATTTTAAGTGAATGAAATAAAAATTTATTTTGTAGAGATAGATACAAATTGCGTTACCCATCATAAAACATTAAATTGACTAACGTTAGTATTTCTGTAAAAAAAAAGTCATATACAATATAGGTATTAAACAAAATGATAAAAAAATGACGTTATTAGTAGAATGTTCAAATGATTTAATCATGTTAAAGATTATGCTGAATTATTAACAAACAACATACTATGTTTATCTAAATCTAATTTAAATTATCAAATAATATAAAGCGAATGATTTAAATTTTTAGATAGGTTTTTAAGTAGGTAGTATTCCTGTACCTATAGGTTTATTCAACGGAATATTGCCTGAACGCAATATTTGTCTGCTGCGGTTCCGCCGGCAATGTGTCTCAGTAACATTTACCCCGTCCCTGTCTATAGAACGGGTAATATAGCAAAAAGCGTTTTCGTATTTCCAACAGTGCACATATAACAGTGACTTAAAATAAAAATGATTTCATCGATTAAATACGATAACATTTAATATGGCTTAACGGGGGTTGAAAGGATTTGGTGTATTTACTGTACGGTTAGCTTCTACTGAGCTAAAAAAAAAAACATAACAAGTTTGATGTACGAATAGACTATCTGGGAAATAGATATCATCAAAATATTCCAGATTTGAGAAGTCGACACTCAAGAGTAGGTACTAGTTATCAAGTAGTCTAGGTACCCAGTCAATAATAGTAAACTAGTAATAAACAAGTATTAAATTCATCAAATAATATCATAATATTCGTAATCATAATATAGACGTTACGCGTGGATTTATTGTGTTTCTAAATTATTTTGAACAACTAATTTATTTTTTCCACCACTCTAATATTAAGTGGAAGTGGCCTTTAGGTAGGTAATGTTTTTTATCGTTTCGACCTTGAGCATGATTGTTACTTATTCGAATACACTTTGTATTTTGTATATAATCCAGTATTTTTTATCCTATATTATGTTTTCGTTCAGTGCGGAATTTTTGTTTTCTTTAAAATGTCATCTATTAGTTTTCGATAAGTATCTAAATAAAATTATTTTATAACCGAATATTTTACATAATAGAAGATTAATAAATGCAATAATCTAATAAACGCAAATCACAATTTATTGTTATGCAAGGTAAGAAGGTAAATTAAATTTAATTGTTCACCTAGCCTTTTTATCATATTATATTATGTAATAATTATATACTATGGGAAGGAGAGGTGCTGTTGATTTAATACGATTTTATTTTTTTCTAGAGATTATTCCTTTAGTCATTCGAATGTCCTCGGAGTTTATCAAAAAATAATATTAAATATAAAGTATAATATTATATAATATATCTCTAGGCTATAGCTATCATCACCTTTTTTCAATACACATTCACACACGAACAAATAATTGTTCGTTAACATTATATTGTTGTATGAACACGTAAACTACACAAGAAGCGATCAATCTTCCATAAGACGTTATATTAGAAAGTTTTTTTTTTTTTCCCCCGAAATTTCAAAGATTTCATTTAGATTATTTTAGATACCTATACACGCAGTTCTAAGATGTAGATAGTTACATTGTATTTATTTCGATGAAATACATATTATTGTGTATACCAATATATTTGTGATGGTTCAAAATAGCTGGTACTATTAATATCTTATTATTATAATTCATTTGATAACAGGTATGCTTAAGTGATTTCAAAACAGACGAACGGGATATAGTAAGCATCTTAACTGAAGCACCATAATCAAAAGTTAAAAAAAAAAAATTCGCTATAAGTACCTGTAGAAAATAATGAGCAATCTCGATCTCGTCAAGCGCGGGATGTTTGTCTACGGGCTGCTCGCCGCGTTAATATTGGCCGTCGACGAAACGACCGGTAAAAACATACTGGTTTTCGCACCGATGCCGTTTAAAAGTCACTTCAGGGGATTTCAATCGTTGTTCAAAGAGCTGTCTGGCAGAGGGTACAATCTTACCGTGGTAAGCGCGTTCCCGTTAAAAACCCCGTCCGAAAACTACACCGACATTCCAATAACGGTCGAAGAAAGTATTTTACAAGGTGTCAATAATATTACTATACATACACATATTATATACCTACTATACGCTTTCGAAAACAAATATTACTGATTACCGTAGGTAGGCGAGCCCGGTTTAAGGGAAGGAAGCCAATACCCTGGGCCTATAGCGTCATCGTTTATATATAGGTATGTTTAGGTAGGTATATGTATGTAGGACGGCCGCGGATAGGTATAATATACCAGCTGGTTTATATGATTATGAAAAAAAAAAAGTCCGGTAAAACATTATGTAGTACAAAACAATATTATTACACACGATTTATATTATAAAGAGGGACCATTTTCAAATTTTACGATTCGATACTTACAATATCGGCCTTAAAATACCTATATATATAGGATACTACAGTAGTGGCGCAAAGTATTTTACCTTGAAACACCGATTTAATTTTCCACCCAACCACCATTTTTTGTTCCCTATTACGGCCCATTCTAGAATACGATACTGTTCTTTGGAGCCCGTTCACCGCTTCTGCTCGTAATATTATTGAAAGGGTCCAAAGAAAATTTCTCTGTCACGCTGCCAGGAAACTATGCATACTCTGTCCACCTCATGATTATACACATCACTTGTTCAACGCCTTTTATCCCTAAAAAATCTTGCCGATCGTTGACATTCAGCTAACTTATCATTCTTATCTAACCTATTTCCTCCAAAATTGATAACCCAGACTCCCTGACTCTCTTCCTCGTATCTTTTTTAAGATCCCATCTCGTTGTACACGGCCTTCTGTTCTTTTTCATATCCCATTCTCTTCATCTAACTACTATCTCAACTCTCCAATCACTCAATTCACAAATCTTTAAATTTATTATTCAATTTTCAAATATTGTATAGGTATTTCTGTTTTAAAATATATATTATGTATCGTAATAATATTGTGTAGGTAATCCAGTTAGGTTTCATTTTGTAAAAATAACGGGACATTACAATATACCTAGTATTGCTTTATAATATTAATTTTAGTGCTTAATTAATTAATTAATTTATTAACAGGTTATCAATTAATTTTTATCTAAACTATATTACGTATTTATTTTGTATTTTAGTTATGACTAATTCAAATGAACATAATTTATTTTTAATTCATTTTTACACAAATAATCAAATTTATAATAGTTTAATAAAATCGTAACTTTTTAACTACAGAATAATTATACACAAAATTTGGAAATTTCCACGAGTTTTGTCAAAATTTGAACTTTAAATGCTTATTTAACAAAAACGTGTGTTTATATGTTATTTTACACCCTTATGTTGTTCAGTATGTTGATGTACGATAATTTGGCGCACGTAAACAGACGATGCGCAAATGATTTACGGCCATTTTATATATATAATTTTGACAGTATAGCTGCTCTGGGGATTTTTTTTTTCCGCGATTCGGTTTGTCCCGCTTAGTTTTGTAACATCATTTTCTACATTACTTTTCTATTGTTATACGATATATTTAAACTATCATAATTCATGTATTTCTCATGTTATTCCTGGGCCCGGTATGGCGGTATGTATTATATTATTAAAAATAAAAATAAATCATAATATTAAATTTACTCGTAATTATTATTTATATATATGTACATTATAGATATCGATCCGATGGTGTTGGCCAGCCACAGTTTCCTGACGGTAGTGCCCGGCCTGTGGAAGCTGTCAACGGACCTGGCGCCGAAAATACTTTCCAAACCGGAAGTGCAGCGGTTCATCCGGTCCGACGGTTACCGATTCGATCTGGTCATGGTGTTCCCGTTCTGCCAAGAGTATTCGGTGGCGCTCGGGCATAAGTACGGCGCGCCGGTCGTCAATCTGGGCGTTTCGATGCTGTGGCCGTCCAACAGCAAATGGATCGGCGAACCGTCCACGTTTTCGTACATACTCGACCAGCGGGTCGGCGCCACGGACCGGATGTCGTTCGCGGAACGGTTCAGGAACACCGTCATCGGCGCCACCCAGCTGTTCCTAGAGGACTATTACTATTTGCCGTTACAGAAACGCAACATGGACGCGTATTTCCGGTACGCCGGCCACGAGTCCAGGCCGCCCATCGAAGACATGCTGCGCAACGTGTCGGTCACCCTGTTGAACGCGCACTACAGCATCGGCGCGCCCCGACCCTATTTGCCCGGATCGGTCGAAATCGCCGGACTCCACGTGAAAGAACCGCGGCCGTTGACCGGTGTGAGTATGACCATTGATTGCAATCAATGGTATGACGTATAAAGAATATTATAATGTATAAATAATGAACATTTTATTGCGATAGGTTATATGTATATATATATATATATATATATATTCGTACCACTGATTTTGTATATTAATAGTATACAATAGTATACAATCAATGTATATACTTGCGTATAATTTTATAGGGTTCTATACAATTGCGTGAAACTTAAGTAGGATAAAAGGTTCCGCCGCCACCGAAATCCCACCGGCCACCGCAACCACCGCCTCCGAAAACAGTGCTATATACTTATAATGATTATATCATTATAGATTGCTCTCAATTGAGAGGGTTCTTACAAGCGCACGAAATTTCCTAACCACTCACGACCGCTGTACCTATTGTAATAACACGTTAGCATATTTTAGCACATTTTCTAAAAGTAAATCTGACTGGGGAGGTACTATGGAGAGATCATTTTTTGATATTTAAAGTTTTCCCAATAAATGTAAAAACTGAAATAAAAACGGAGAAAAACCGGGAAAATAAGTAAAATATTTAACAAATATTATTAAAGAAAATATATAATGCCTATTTAATTATTTTACCACAATATGACATATTGTTGACAAAGCAACACTGTCAACTGAACTCTACTCAGAATCGTTTTTCAATAGCAATGGTTTATCGTTGCTTATAGTTATACATTAAAATTCTCTTCTACTACCTTCCCAACTTTTCACCTACAACAGAAGCTGCACCCATGTGCGAAGTTGCCTAGCTATCTTTCGTTTCATTTTCTACTATGATCCACCGAGGAGAAACTTCGTCGTACTTAGAGAAAATAAAAGGAACGATTTTCGTGCTTTGCTTAATAAAGTAGATATCACCACAAAATTTAAATTATCAAATAGTATTTTGGATGTGATTAAGAGAAAATGTATTTCGATGCGATGCTCGATGCTTCATGATTTATTTATTATGTCATCAGACATTTCTAAACATTGTAATCCGGCAGTTAAAAAAAATGTTTAAACCAGAAAAGTACTAATTATAATGGACTTTACAAATGGAAAAATCATTGACCGCTTGTCGAAAGAACTTACCTACTCTAGTTTGTTCGCTGTAGATCAGCTAATAGAACGAGTACAGGTAAAGTTGAAAGAAGCTCTTAAGGCTTTAATCTTACAAATGGACATTGGCAATACCATCTTTAATGTACAATGATCCACACATGAACCTATACTGAGAGTCTAAGATCATACTTTTATGAAATGTCGAAGCATTGTTATCGAAAGTCATAAATAAAATATAAGGCCTTGGGATAAAGTGTTATTAAATATAAAATAATATTGAGCCCGTGTAAAAACCGGCCGGGCGCAGATAGACCACATCTTATAGCGGCCGGTAGATCGTATATTACATGACAGCCCTGTAAACATCTACTCATAGGCACCGAACGGTCCTGATCGAGCACGTTTAGCTGTTTACAAACTATAAAAATATATACAAAATTATTCGGGTATTATTGTGTAAAACACAGTGCTAAACCAGAGAAACAGCTTATATTTAGAAAAAAAAATTTATTTTCAAACATTTCATAAACTTATAACGCTGTATACAAAATTGGCCAAACTATTGGCTGTCTTCCGGTGGAAAAAAAATGACTTGGACCGTCGTTCACCATAGTATTAGGTACACGCTACACCGATGATTTTCCATGTTTTCACAGAAATATTTGGATTTCGTCGAGTCGGCCGCCGACGGAGTGATATATTTCAGTTTCGGCACAATTGTGGACCCGTCCAGGCTACCGAATTCGACCATCCAAATTTTCATAAACGTTTTGAAGAGACTGAAACAGAAAGTCATGTGGAAATGGGATTCGGTAGACTTGCCGCCGTTGCCCGATCACATAATGGTCAGCCCTTGGTTCCCTCAGCCCGACGTTTTGGGTAGGTACCTATATATTATATATGTATTATGATATACCAAAAAAAAAAAAAAAACCCGTAAATGATTTCGAAAAATGTACAACGATTTTTATGTCACAGGTCACCCGAACGTCCGTCTTTTCATCACGCACGGGGGGGTGCACAGTCTCGAAGAAGCCACTTACAACGCGTTGCCGATCGTGGGCGTTCCGTTTTTTGGCGACCAATACACGAACATGCGACTGGCCGAACGTAACGGAATCGGGAAAATGGTGAGCCACGACGGACTGAACGAAGAGACGATGTTGTCCGCCATCGAAGAGGTTCTCACTGACCCTAAGTACGTGAAATTAACGAGGTTGCCCGAGTGCGTTCCGAAATGATTCTTTTCTAATGTCCCGAGTGCGTCTGGAATATAATGGGCAGCATAGACAAAACTAAGGGGGTGCTGGGGGTCTTTAGTATCCCAAGTTTAAAGTTAGCACAAACAAACGAATTATCAATAAATATTTTATCTTAAACCAACGATAAAGAAAAACGAGTCAGAAAAAATAATTCCCGGATGATACTATTGAAAATAATTCAAATATTTAGAAAATATAAAAGACAGACATATTTCGCCACATGGTTGGATCACTGTTGTAAGTGAGAAGTTAGGAAGGTAGAGGGGATATTTAATGTATATCTGTACGCAACGATTAGTTAACGAAAAACGATTCTGAGTGAAGTTTAGTTATTAGTGTTGTTTTGTCAACAATATAATATACATGTCACATTATGGTAAAATAACCACATATACATTATATATTTTCTTTAATAATATGTGTTTAATATTGTTTCCATTTCCCCGTATTTTTCCTGTTTTCACCATGTTTTCTCATTTATTGGGAAAACTGAAAAAATAAAAAAAGATTACTTCCTTAAAGTACTACCCTAATTAGATTTGCTTTCAGACGAATTGCTAAATCTGTAAATTAGAGTAAAATTGCTAATAGAAAAGTTATCTGCAGGAAAAAAAATGTAACCATTATTGTTAAACTAATACATTCCTCGCTCCACTCAGAATAAAAGATGTAGTTGACTATTGTAAGAGCCGTGTAAAAAGGATTGTGAGCATAACACATCTTTGATGTGTCCATAATTTTAGCACCCCCAAATTTGGTGGTCTAGTTGCGCCTATGATGATGGGATTATCCGATTGCATCCCAATAAAAAATATTATTTTTTAACGTGGCCCGAATGCGTCCTAGTTCATTTAGAGGGTGCACCACGAGGAGTTGAACTAACTTAAACCCCAAAAATATTAGGTTATTTTATTATCTATTATTGATTACATCCATTTAGATTGGTGGAGTGTTATAAAATAGATACAGAATATTACATAGTCTTTAGAGAACATATATTATATAACGTATTTGAATTTGTTGGCACATGAAAACATAACAATTTTTACATTTTTTTGGAAATTTGAAAACAACGGAACTACACTCGTTTACTAAATATATCTTTGAATTACAAATTATTTTTCAGGACCCTTCAAAAAGTGTTTAAATTTTAATTCGCCTCTGATCTATACTATATTATACATCCCTCTGACTGCTTCATTCTTCTAGGTGAATTTTGACCAAAGGCAGTAATTATACAATTTTTATTTGCGTCTTTTTTTATTTATATTAACCATGGCTATTACACGTTTCTCCGTGCCGTTTCTCATCGTCTAAATATTCCCTGCCCCATACCCCACGACTACTCTCCTATTCTATATAAGCTGGGCCTCCCAAGCTTAGTAGACCGTAGACAGATAAATAACATTTTTTTCCTTTCAAATCTCCTTATTGGCAAAATAGATTCACCTGTTCTTCTATCCCTCGTCAATTTTAAAGTCCCACCTCATCGCACCCCATGCTCCATTTCATATTCCCCGCTTTTCTACTAGTTTCATTCAAAACTCTTCCCTAAACTTTCTAATGAGAACCAAATAATGACCCATCCTTTCAATTATAAAACATAAAACACAAAAAGGAAAATGCTAAGCAATGTAGAAATAGTAATAGTCATAGGAAACAATAGTACCTACCTAATAGAGTTAAATATTAAGTGATCGCTAGAAATCCATAGGTCTATTATAAGTGAAATATATGTTTGATATAAAAACACACAATGTAAACTGGGCTTGTCCGGTATTTTACAATAAATAAATAAATAATATTTAATAGCCAATAGGTATATAGACATGTGGTCCAGTACCACAACGGTATTATAACGGCGTACCTGATTATAAATGATTTATTAGATTATTTATTTACATTCCCCGTAATAATTGACCGCAGGTACAAAGAAAATTCGAAGTTACGAAGCGAAATATTCAAAGACTACCACATGAAACCGATGGATCGGGCCATCTACTGGGTGGAATATGTTCTCCGTCACAACGGCGCCGGTCATCTAAAAAGTGACGGTTCCACGCTCAGTTTCGGCAGTTATTTTCCGATAGACGTTTGTTTCGTCTTGATCGTCGCGATCGTCTCATGTGTGTTACTAATCGCGAAAATGGCCAAATACATTATCGGTAAAGTCACCGGTAACAACAGAATCGATACCGCCAAGAAGAAAAAATGAAATCGTATAACAATAAGTTATACCTACCGGATAGATCCTACTCTATATGTATTAAGTAATTGGATATTCGTTTATGATTAGTATTTGTATTACTTTTGCATTTTATAAATTTAAAAAAAAATGCATACGACAGGAGATGGGCGTTGACGAGTATAAAAAGTTACCAAATTTAATTTTAACTTTTACCTATTAATCTTTGGTTTATAATTTTGAACTAATTTCTTTTACAAATACAACTGATAATAAATAACGAATTAAATTTGAATTATATCACGTTAATCTGATTTCAATATATCTTATATAAATCTTATGTATTTTCAATATATTATATATTATGTATTTAAAATATATTATGACCAGCTCGAAATGTGATAGAACCTCTTTAGAAAACCAAATAATGTAGTAATAAAAATATTTGATTAATAACTGGCTTAAAAAAGAAATTTTACACAGCTGGCTGACACGTAGAAAAATAATTATATTATTTACAATCTGTATACTATTTAAATAGGTTATAAGTACCTACTTATATACAATGTCATGAAAACACTCGTTTTTATTAGATGCTGAAATATTGTTTTTTTTTTAGTTTCCTAAAGATTGTATGAGTCAACGTAGGTTAGAGTTGCCATAATTTCATAAAGAAAATCCGGGACGATTAGAACAAATAGAAAATAAAATTAGACTAAAATATGATTGAATCATATTAGATTACATGGTGATTCACTAAGCGTGCTCAATCAATTTGTATGGTTAAATTTTGTATATATTGAAATTCTGATTTTTGGAAATTTTAAATGTAGTTGAAGACGATATTTTAAAATATTAAGATTTTTCCCTACATTTAAGGAGTAACCTTTGGTAATACCAACTTTGGGTTTTCAAATTTGAACCTATATTAAAAATTACATAAATAGATGTAATATTAATTTAAATAAATTTTGGTGTTAAAATTTTTGATTTCCGTCAAACCGTTGGCGATGTATATTTGACTCTTATGTTTAGGTAGGGGAAGAGTAATGGAGGATGCTGCACCGCCACACAAATGATAGGTACTCCACTACTCTCCTCCAACAAAAACTTTAAAGTGGAATATCTCGTTATCGGATCGACGGAAATTAAAAATGTGGACACCAAAATTTATTTAAACTAATACTACATCTATTTATAGAATTTTTAATATAGGTTCTCATTTGAAAAACCAACATTGGTATCGCCACTACAGGATTCTCATTAAATGTTATGAAAAATCCAAATATTCGAAAATATCGTCTTTAATTACACTTAAAAATTCCAAAAAACAGAATCCAAAATTTAACCAAAAAAATGGGGTGAGCACGTTTACTATAGTGAATCACTCTGTATATATATAATGCACAGTACAGTTATACAGGCTGTCCCACGAAGATAAATCTCTTGAATATCTCCGGAGATAAAGTTCATCAAATTCTGAGTTTTTTATATTACTTACAGGAACGAGGACTACAAATATTTATTTTTAAATTCATTTTTTTACTAAAAACAAAATAAACATTTTATTTTATTATTTTCGGAAAATCTTAAGAATGGCTATTTTATAGAGTTTATTTTTCTGCAAATATTAATGTAGGTATCACACATTCATATCCCATGAACAGTTTCTAAGTAACAGCAGTTTTGAATTCAATTAATCCGTGTGAAAATTAGTTATCTAGAGACTAACCCACGAACTAAGATATATCTTAGTTTGTGTTCATTACTCATTAGGGTATTCTTACATTTAGTGTGAAAACTTAGTACTACGATTTTGATGACATTTTATCTGCATCGTGATTAGTACCTACTGCCATTGATTATGAATCAATAGGTAATTAATGGTACTATTTATGATAATCATTGTACAAATTAAATTTGCGCGCGTTATATATGACCAATCACTACAGTTATGAATAATTTTCAAAATTTGCTGTTAACAATAACATGTTATGTAATTAGTGTTAACCTATAATAGAGAACGCCATTATAATGCGACTTTTAGTCAGATTTGATAAGAACATTCACCGCCGTGAATCTGTCATCCGTGAGTCGTGATCCAATAATGGTCGCCGTACAACAATCGTATCTATGTCCGTGGTGTTCATGTTCGTTATAAAATTATAATGGCATTGTCGCATAAATTAAGCTAATGAACTAAATTAATTAAATATACTAATAAATTATACATATGTATATTTAATCTATGCAAATGTAAAACTAAAAAAAAAAAGTAACCGCCAATCGTCAGTGATAACACGATAAAAAAAATTATATTGATTTTTATAATAGATTGTTGGCTTATCCCCAAGGATCATGGCCGATATGTTTTTGTAGACTGTAGTTGAATTATATTACAACTGTCGTTTTTTTGCGCATTTAGTAGGTAATTAGTTTAGTACACCACATGTAGATTAAATGGTTCAATTTATCGTGTCTATATCAATCAAAGCAGGTGGTTATAATAGGACATAATATCAAATTGAAACCAGTAATCTTATTTTAAAATGACAATGAATCAATGTGCTGTTCCGTCAATACCGTGCGATCGAGAAGAAGAATGGAAAATACAAGTAGGTGTACAACTAATAATATCCAATACCATCAATGTTTTGACTTGGGTTATTTAATTATTTGTTCTTTATTCTTATTATTCCATAGCATCAGAATTACGTCGTCAAAGCCAAAGATCAAAACCCAGATGTCATATTAATTGGGGCCTCCATTATAGAATTAATACAGTATTATCCAATATGGGATGATAAATTTGTGCCATTGAACACATTAAATTTTGGAATTTGTGGCGATCGAACTCAAGACGTTTTGTGGAGAGTACAAAATGGCATACTCGATCATATAAAACCAAAAGTAGATACCTACTTATTATGATCAAATAATTATTATTTATAGGTATTTCTATTGAGTAAAGATATTCTTATACTCAGTGGTATTATTATTTATTAAGTACCTACCTAAGTAAGTTGTTTATTAATTACTTTCAAACATTTTGTGTAGGTTTGCATTCTGAACGTAGGATCAAATAATATTGATAACACAGCCGATGACATTTCTGAGGGTATATTAACTATTGTAAACGAAATCAGGTCAAAACTTCCCGAATGCTACGTTATAATCATAGTAAGATAAATAACAAAATATATAACTAACAAATATTGTATTTTTAATTAGATATAATAATTTATTGTTTTGCAAACAGTAAATGTTAATATTTGCTTTAGTACATCATGGATACCTGAATAAATAGTGTAGAAATGTTAAAATAAAATAATAGAATTACTAACGGCTGTCAAGATTAAGGATATGTCTTAATTAATACGCATCTTGACTCAAATGTTTTGTATTTTATTCCTAAACAAAATTATAACTTAAATAAATTAAAACTTTGAAAATATATAAATTTTAAGAATAATAGTTAATAATGATATAACATTTCAAGAATTGTAGTGAACAACAAACACTACACATATTTGTAATATTAACTGGACACAATTTATTTTGAAATCTGAAAAAGGATGAATGCATTAAATGTTAATACAACTTACTGTGTTAAGAATTTCTATATTATTGTTATATATCTGAATAGAAGAAATTAATTAAATGAAAAAATAAAATATTAATTTTTAATAACAATAACACTATTAATTCATATTAAGTTAAATGTAAAAACAATATTATCAAAATTATAATATTATTAACTTATTAATTCAATGTCTTCTTAAAAAGTATTGACAGTATTAAAATTTTTCATATATTGCATATTATAAAATATATTAATATTTATAGGGCATACTACCTCGTGGTCCAAACATAAATCCATTAAGAAAATTGGGATCTGAAGTAAATGAAATTATTGGCCAAAAAGTGAAAAATGTATCTAAAGTCGAACTACATAATGCCAATGCTGATTTGCTACAGCCAGATGGAACATTAAGTCAAAAAGACACACTGGATTATCTTCATCCATCAGAAATTGGTTACCGCAAAATATTCAATCCAATTTTTGAACGTATCGCAACTATTTTAAATAATTAAATACTATATAATTTTGACTATTTTGACTGTGTTTTGGACTAAGTATTAACTTTTAAGTTTACACTTTGGATATCAATTGCTTTGGAATATCAGATTTAAACTGTCAGGTGGTTAAATTTTTATACTGAGAAAGTAGTCTGGATAATATGGTTGAAGATGATAATATGTTTGTGTGTATATGTGTGTCATGGTTTAATAAACTAAGATTTCTATTTATTTAATTTTTTTTTTCAAATGTGTGTATACTATAAACTATATTACGTTTTTATTTGTAATATACATTAATTTGTAGGAATTATTGTTTTATTATATTGATTCTTAATTTTTAATATTGTATAATTTATTCTTTAAATATACAAAGATTGTTGAATTTCTTTCATTATAAGAATATAATTATTAAATCAGTCTACTTGGTAAAATGCTCTTTCTTAATTATGTACATATCTAGTTAATACTATTTATGAATTTTGAATACATTTTATGTGAAATTAAAATTATTAATCAGGGTTCCCTAATTGTCAAATATATAAATGGCAATAGCTAAGTGTGCTAAGTGAATCAGAAATATCCCAAATTTTGGTCAAAATTGAGATATTGATTCATAGAGGTCAAATGAGTAGTGAAAATTACTTCAAGAGCCAGAACAGTGGAAAGGATAATGCTTATTTTAAAAATAACTTTTACTTTAAGTTTGCCCTAAGTAGTGATTTTTTTATTAAAATATAAATACATTAATAGTATACATAATATATTATATAAAATAATACCTAGGTAAATTGTTTATTAATTAACTTTCAAACATGTTTTTTTAAGTTTACATTTGAACGTAGAATCAAACAATATTGATAATAAAGCCTATGACATTTCTGAAAGAATATTAAGCATTGTAAATAAAATCAGATCAAAATGTTCCTAATGTTACATTATAATCATAGTAAGCTAAATAATAAAATATATAATTAACAAATAATGTTGCACTTTTAATTAGGGATAATAATTCATTGTTTTGTAAATAATGCATATTAAAATAGAAATGACCCCTTTTAGAATGACTTAGAGTTATCAAGTTGAAGGATATGTCTTAATCAATATGTATTTGATTTAGACTTTTATATTTTGCTCCTAAACCAAATTATAACTTAAATAAATTAAAACTTTCAAAAAATTGTAAATCTTAAGACTAATAGTTCTACACATATTTGTAATAATAAAATTAAAATAATAATAATTGTATTATAATTATAGGTAATATTAAAATATTAACACTTAACTATATGTTTATATTTCTGTTCTATAATAATACATAACATTATATATTAATATTACATATAATTTTAATACTAAACTATATTTTTTTTTCTCGGTGGGTTTTGAAAATGAAGAACATGGTCAAAATAGTGTATAAGTTTCAAATACAGAAGTTTTTAATAATGATGTTACTAAAAAGGTACCAAAAGAATAATTTACAGCAAAACCCTATATGAACATATACAACTGTTATTACAAGGTATTACAAAGTAACAAGGTAATCATTTAATAATACCTACCATGTATATCCTGTAAACAAAAATGTATAGAAAAAACTTCTCAGGCTCATAAAGAAGTTATAAATAGAGATTTTTAAAATATTTGGAATGTTTGTACTCACATGATTGGAGACGTAAAAGAAATGAAGAAGTGGAGATGGAAAACAATTCATCTTTAGAATATTTATTTAAAAACCTAGATCGGAAAAATCAAAATGTAAGTACCTATTTGTAAACATCATTTTCTAACTAAATTAGGATTTTAATAATAAAGATACATTTTTACTTATTTAAAGTATGTTCAAATATTGAGGATTAAAATAAAAATGTCATAGTGTTTCCTATATACAAGAATAGTTGTGCATCATAGAACGAGTTAACAGAAAATCCTAAGCTTGCTTTCTAACTTAATTACTAAATTTAAACTTAATTGGACAAGCTTATGAAAATAAAGAAAAATTAAAACAGGCTCTCATAAAAATTATAACAATACTTCTACAAAAAGATATCACAAGTTCTCAAGAAACCAATCAATCAACCACATATTAAACAATCTGAAAATATTGAATTAAAACATACTAGAATATAATATTGTATATTAGTTGTGAAAAAATATAAATACATAAATTACAACATGTTATTATTAATATATAATTATAAATATATACAAAGTAGGTATAAGTATAAAAAGACATCTTAGAATAATGGGGACGGATGTTATAGATATTTAATGTATACCTGTAAGCAATAATAAACAATTGCTTACGAAAAATGATTCTGAGCAGAGTTCAGTTGATAGTAATGCTTTGTCAACAATGAATATGTAATTTTATAGGAAAATAATCAAATAGGCTTTAAATATTTTCTTTCATAATATTTGTTTAATGTTGTACCAATTTTCTCTGTTTTTCATATTTACTGGGAAAATAAAAAAATGACCTCTAAAGTACCTCCCCAGTGAAATTTTCTTTCAGAAACACTGTTATCATTCAAAATTTGAACAAAATTGCTGATTGAAAAGTTGTACATAGAAAAAAATAAGGCCGTAATATATTTTACCTAATACCTTTTTCATATTATTCTAAATGAGCTCAATATTATCAATAATATATAGCCCATAGAAATAGTTTCAATTTAAATACTATTAAAAAAATTCATAAATGTATTAAAGAAAAAATAATACACAACTCACCAAATAATTTTGTTAACTATTGTTGTATGAAATATCAAAATAAGTCGTTAATAATGAATTCGTTAACATTTTAAACAATAATACAAATAATGTAAAAATTGCTTTTAAGACTAATAATAATTTAATAAAACACATAAACAATAGAACTAAAAACTTTAAAATAATCCTCCTTTTGAACATGTTGGTATATATAAACTTAAATGTAACTGTAATACATTTTATATAGGTAAGACAAATAGAAATTTTAAAATAAAATATAAAGAACACATTTCTGAAATAAAATTAAAAAACACTGCCCCTAATTTAAATTTTGCTAAACATGTTTTAGAAAATAGTCATAATATAAGTTTTAATATTAAAACAGACTTAGAAATATTAAATACCTAAAATAACATTTACATTAATTCAGATTTAGAAGAATTACACATACACACTGAAATAAAAAAAAATAATTTTAATAATATTTTAAATGTTCAAACCTATTTTAAAAATATCTTATATCAATACATTTTAGATAATGAATCGTAACCAAATAATTTACATTTCTTAACATATCTATGTCTAATAATAACTAATTTTAAATTATTAAAATAAATTATTTCTATATTCTATGTAAAACCACAAATTTTTAATTTTTTTTTTTTTATATATTCCTTCATTTAATTTTTTATATTCAGTCTTATTTTATATTTTGACTGTGATTTACCCAATGATAAATTTTTAATTCGAAACCCGTCGTATAATACAATTATCATAATAATCCAGGCGACACATTCATTCATTTATTTATTTATTTTTATATTAAAATTTGTTATTTATATGTTTATTTACGAGTATTAACCATTTTAACAATTTTGTTTTTACTTTGTTATTTTATTATTTAAAAATGAATAATAACAAAAAATTTAAATGTGAAAATAAAAATAAAACTTAATAGTAACATAACATTTAAATTTCTGAAAATAATGTATTTTTAATGAATAATGTTTTTTAATAATTATAGAACAATGAATAAATAAATAGGTAAAATAAACGTAACAAAAAAAGTATTTAAATAAAAGAATAATAAAAAGCCTGGTATTTATTGCTTTTAAAATGTAATCTGAGCAGCAGCATGATGTAATGTTTTCTAACATCAAATATGAATCACAATTATATTTTGGAAAATGTGTGTAAAAATATTATAAAAGATAATAATGTGTATACATATTAGTTTGTTTTACATTGGCGAGACTATTATGATTTGATCGATTATTAACATACCTAAATTATTATGAATGAAAAAGTAACTTATCACTTTTTTTAAATTATTCTGTTAAAACCTTAGATAATACCTACATTTCTTTCGTTTTCCCGTATTTTTTTTTTTGGTTTTTCAAATTTTTTGATTAATCTTCAGAAAAAATCTAAAAACGACCACTTTAAGGTATCTCCCCATACCGATTTTCTATACATAAGGCTATACGAAATTTTCAAAAATAATATCTCAATTTTGGATGTTGTTGAAACTGAATAAAGAATTGGTTAGGTTGAGTCAAATTCATCCTCATAGCCAAATAATTACATTAATTTTATGGACCACTTTTTCTAATAAAAAGATCATCAGGTTCAGTATGATATTCTAAATAAAATGTATATTTATTATTAGTGTTAAAACATAAAAATAATACTGCTGTTCAATTGCTGCTAACTATCACCGTGCTATAAACAAATTTAACTCAATTTTAAATCATAATTTCTTTTTTAATTCTGTATAACTTGAAATTAGTTTTAAAAACTAAAATAATAAATTAGTCATTAAGACATTAAACACTTTAATTTGTATAATACTGAATTTTAATCTTTCATGGGAAATAACTCACTATAAATTGAAAAATGTGCCACAAGGCACAATTTACTCAAAATAAAATGTTTGATCCAATTCCTACGTCCATCATTTATTGGGATTTATGATTACATAATAAATATTGTAAGTTTTAATGGTTATAATATTTTTATCTGTTATCAGAAATTCATATGATAGAATACTTTAATAATTAATTGATAAAAGCATACGCTGTTCTTTCCAACTTCACGGCGGCCCCTCTATATTGCTCTATGGCGGTAACTATAGTACCTGTACTTCGGCAGTGCGGCCGGTGAGAGAACGCTACTCCTTGGCCCGTCTAAACGAATGTGCTCCGCGGTTTCGCGCGTAAATTTCTCCCACTATACGCGAGAAAGGACGAGCTTTGGTAGCCGCCGAGTAGCGTACACCATAGCAACATGGTCCAACAAATTGCGAATAGGCACAGCGTTTACTCGCCGGCCGGACTGTCGCCCGCGTAGATCTTAATTGAAGTGCTACCTTACACCAGTACAAGGTCTGTCATGGGGGCCCGTTACGGTAACATTTAATTTTTCTAGGTTAGTGCCTGGTATCCACGGTTTATTTAACCTTCGTGTGTACGTCGAAACACCAAACAGTCGAAAACATTTTGGAAATCTGGAACCACATTCTGTTATTCTGAAATCGTAATGGGTCGACAACATACTGGGTTAAATAATTATTAATGTTAATAATATTTTTCCTTTTATTATACCTACGAGTAATTTGTATTAGTGCTAATTATTGATGTCATCATATTATTCAATTTCCAACAATTCATTCAAACAACTACCTATTACATGATCACAGGATAAAAACATAATTAAGTCGACACACTAGTAGTTATTTATTATGGAAGTTGGTCGAAGCATCAACAAATTCTTCAATAAGTTTACAGTGAGCAAATGTATTAATTATTAACTAATGTAATTTAATTAATTAATGTAATAATATAATAGGTAAATATAAAATGTTTTGAATATTAGAACTTGGATATAGGTAGCTTAAATAGCACTAAATATCTAAAATACCTACTCCAAATATGCAATAGATAGCAATTTTAAAATTTCATATTTGGAGTCTAGTACATAAACAAATGTAAAGCTCACTCTGCTATTTTTATTTTTATCCTATAATAATTAACAAATTTAGTGCTATATAATCCAAACCCTGATTATTATTTTAATGCAAATAGGAAAGGTATGTATAAAATGTTTTAAATATTAATACTTAGGTTTTTTAATGGTAGTTACTTAAGTATTAATTTACCATTTTGTAATGAATTAAAAAGAAATTCTTTTAAGATGTATTTATAATTTATTTTATTTACATACTTACTACTATTTATATACATTTAAACATTTATATGTTATAAATAATTTGAAACCGTTTTGAAAGATTTATTGTATTGTTTCTTATTTTCAATGCAAATAATTGGATGTTCAAGTATCTTTAAAATTTTTAAATTGATAAAGGTACCTCATTATTTTGCCATTGTTAAAACCATAAGTTTTCATTCTGAGCCATTAAATTCTTGTTCATTTTCATTTTGTCAGAATATTGTCAAATACCTTGTTTATAATTTATTGGAGCTTATTAGTATAACCCTTGAATTACATTAAAAAAAATATTAAATTTCGTTAGAGTACTATCTTTCATTATTCTTCTCTACTTTAAAAATATAATTTTTGGTATATTTATATTTCTGGTATTCACATCATACAATATATATTTAGTACTCTCATAAAATATTTTATTGTAACAACCTCTAATGCAGTGTTAACCTGGCACACTAAAGGCCTCCTGTTTTTTGGAATTTATCCTGCGTTTATACTGTTTTTATGGTTATAACTAGGTCTGGGATTCTAGTGCACTAAAAAATCTCAAAAAATGCCCTTAAAAAAAATAAATATGCAAAAATGCATTTAAACTTATTCATTATAACTTAAAATTTAAAAATGATACTAACAGTAGTGTATTTTTTTTTTTACTTTTTAATAGTATTGCACGTTGTTACTTGTTTAGTTTAACCGTTTACTAATTCAGTATTATTTATCGAAGCCTAGCTATAATAAAATTGTTGTTATCAACGATAACTTGTCGTGCTATATAATTTTATTATTCGTACCTTCGCCATATTGTCAAAAGTATTTTGTTAATTGCAACAATGTTCTATCATTTTTTGAACAAATTGTGAAAAATAAGAAAATGCACTGCTATTGTCAAAAAATGCCCTAAAATTAAATTTAAAGTTAATTTTGTCAAAAAATGCAAAATAAATATTACCTTATAATAGTTATTATCATCTAAAACATATTTTATACTTACGGACCGCGTATTGAAACATTAGAAAAAAAGATGCCCTTTCATCAAAATCCCAACCCTAGTAATAACTAATTATTATGGTTTTAAAACATTTCAAATTCACGAGTAACTTAAAAGAAGAAATAAAACCTCCAAATACCGAAACAATTAAAATAAAAAAAGAATATGATTTAATAGACGGTTGTGAGTTTCAAAGTGTAATTACAATTGAAAATGATTCTATAGAATCAATATTATATCAAAAATCAAAAGTTAGAAAAAAAAAATATACATGCCATAAATTTGATTACTAATTTTTTTCAAAATTAATGTTAAAATGTCATATAAGAGTGCACACCAGAAGAAAAGTTGACAATGAAAATTACCCTCTACAGTGGGCATCTTTAAATTATTTTTGATTTCTTATGAAAAATATGATGCACATTAGTTTTTTTTTTGGAGATCATGTTGTATGGCAATTTCCTAAATTTTGAATTTTTTATCCAATCTTAGCAGTTGTTTGACAACCTCAATAATTTCAGTGGTGAACATTCTTATTGGTCAACCATTTTTTGCTAGATTTCCAACAGTTTTTCAACCCAAATTAAATTTTTCATACTAAACTGATACATTTTTTTATGTGTGGGCCATATACTTTAATGATTTGTTGATAAATTTCAGATGGATAAACATTTTTAAAATTAAAAAAAATCTATTAATGGTACAAGCTTCCTCTTTTATGGAACTTAAATATTATTTTACTATGTTTATCATTGTATAGCTGAAAAAACACTAAAGTATAATAGTCATAACACAGAATACTTAATTAATTAGCTAACTTATCAATGTAGGGAATTTCCCGTCAATGTGGTACATTCTTTATGCTAAACATAACTTTGTACCTTCTTTATCAGTCAGCCTATGTTTGTGTATACTTTTGATATTAATAAATGTAAAGTATTCAATTGAAATTATGATTTTTAAACTTTTTAGATTTACGAGTACCTCTAAAGAAGAAATTAAAAAACCAAATTCACAAATAATTGAAATGCAAAAAGAAACTGATTTAATAAATAGTTGTGACGTTTTACAACTGTCCTGTGTAAATCAATATAAGTTAATTTATAGAAAAGAGAAACTATTTTAATGTAATGTTTGTGAAATATCATTTTCTAGAGTTGGTTGTTTAAAGCAATGTAAATTAATTCATATGGAAGAACTTTTTAACAAATGTGAGGTATGTAAAGATTAGACATAAACCATATTTGTCAAGACATACAAGGATTCATACTGGTAAGAAATCTTTTAATGTGATGTTTGTAAAAGATCATTTAAACAAAAAACTTTGTTGACTGTACATTTAAGAATACATACTAGACAGAAACTCTCAGAATGTAACATTCAAGTTATTATCAATCATAATAATAATGACATAATATTATTATTATTTGTGTAGACAAATTGTCTAATGCCATTCAAAAATAAAAATAATGTTAAATTAGTCTGTAGTTTAAATAAAATGCTCTAATTCATTTTTTTTATAATAATAATAATAATATTACAAAACATTATAAGAAAATAATAAATCAATCACCGTATTTATTCAAAATAAAAATATTATTATAGCAAATTTAAATTAGGGTATGAACGCCCTACAAAAAAAAAAAAATCGGAGCTAAGTGACAAAAAATGATAAGTTTCAACAAAAATTAATTGTATTTAAAAATTAACAAATATTTTCAATATATCTAGTATCAGGCTATCAAGGTAACATAAATGTAATTAATAAAATGTATAATAACTTCATTCCTAAAGCTTAAATAAATACAGAAGCACCAATGCCAAAGTTAAGAACAAATGAAAATTTTGTTTCTATTCTCCTAAAAAGTAATAAAACTGTCGCTTAGCTCCTTTGCCTTTTACCAGTTGACATGCTTGTCATAGATAAACATAATATACACTGTACATTTCTAGTGAAGGATGGTTCTTATTTTTCAATAATGAAATTTTTCTTTAGTTTGCTTCTAATTTAACTTCAATATATATAAAAATAACATTAACATAATTTCAAGTCAATTAGTTAAGTTTAACCCATGCCCCAAAACCCTCAAATTTCAATAATCGTTTTTTTTAATAATTTGGTAATTGTAATAATAAAAAAACACTATGAAGTTCGTAAAAAAAAAAAAATGCTTTAAAAACCTAAAAAATGTACTTAAAATATCTAAATATGATTGGACATTTTATGACGTGAAGTTGCCCCCTGCATTAATGTAATAACTTCAAACTGGTAACATTATTTTGCAACTGATTTGCAACAATTTGCTATACATTTTTAGAATTTTGTAACCAAATATATCTGCCGCAAAATCGATTTAATTGGTGGGGGGCGGCCTACTTCATGCAGCCCTCCCATGTCGGCCTATCGACTGCAAATTGGTATCATTATTTTGCAACGATGTTTTTAAAATTTGCAATTAATTATTTTCGTCGAAAAATCAATTTTATTGGGAAGGTGCAGTCCCCCCTCCTTCATATTGGCCTATCGACTTTAAACTGGTACCATTATTAAAAAAATAATATGACGCAAACAATTTTAATAAAAAAACAATGAGCATTCGACATCAACCCAATAAAAATAAGAATAGTTTGACAATCTTCCTCAGATTCATCTGTTTCGCTATCTGATTCAAGATGCTTTGACCCTTAGAATTTAAATTGTGTTTTCGTTACGCCCAAACAAAATATTTCTTTTTTCTTATTCAAATTCAAGATTGTTGACTTTTCTATATCTATTTCCACATCTACCGATTTCGAATGTACATCCTCTTCCTCTTCATATTGTATATACATTTCATTCATTCTGTCGCAATCATAATGCTTACTTTTATATAGTTTTACATTAATTAATATATGCTTAACAATAAATCTATCAGCAGTTATTGGAGTTGGATTAAATTGTAATATGTTTACCTATAACGCCTTGAAGTAATTTTCAATGGGGGCAGAAGAACCATTATTGAAAGGAGTCTTTAAAGTATTACAAAGAATATTTGTCCACAATGGAAAATGTTTACTTAGTTTTATCACATCAAAAAATACATCGATATTATATTCCTTTTATTATAAAACAGTGTTAATAGTGATTCTCTAATGTGAAAGCCCTTTTTTGTTAAAATTACAACTACATCACAAATTTAAAATAATTACATTTTGTTTTTTTTCTTTTTAAGCAGCGATTAATTTGCTATAAACGCACTAACTCCCTTCACCCTAATATATTTGATTTTGTGGAGGAAAAAATTGGTTGAACATTTCAAAACATGATTGCAAATAGTTGCAGATCAGTTACTAAATAACGGTACCAGTTTGAAGTCGATAGGCCAATATGGGAGGGGGGTCTGCGTGAAGTTGGCCCCTCCCACAGTTAAATCGGTTTTGTGGCGGATATATTTGGCTGCAAAATCATGATATCAGTTTGGAGTTGATAAAATTCTCTTAAAAATAAAAGAAAACGTTCTGAAAATGCAAAATAAAAGTTTCATATTTTAATTCTTCGATATATGAAACGAATTTTATGCTCGAAAAGCATTGCTTCAGGACATTCAGATTAAAATAGTAATCCCCGATTGACTTATTATCGTCGGACGTTTACGATCGGCACTCGATACACGCGAGTACTAATGTTATTATAGTATTATGTGCCGAGTGCTAAAGCTATACAGGCGGTAGACGCCACGATATTCGGCGTGATAACGGTCTCGGCCAGGTAAGACCGCGGTTAATTAATAATATTACCGAACGCCGGTTATTGGTTACAAATCCTACTAATTATTAGCGATCGGCCTCCGGTGCGATACGACCGTATAATACGAATAACAGTAGGGGTAAGTATACAGCCGTACCTATGTACGGTTATCATCAACCGACGGGTGTACAGAACGCAATAATCAACGGGCATTATTATTTCGTCGTCGTGTATTGTAACGCAACCGATAATTTCGCAAGTTTTTTCTTTCGTCAGTTCACTTTTCTTTCCGGAGTTTTTCCAGGCTCACCGCCGTGCGTACCTGCCTGGATACACGGCGATGTCCCCGTCGGTTTTTCACCCGTTCGTAATCATTTGCTGTTGTTTCGCCCCGGCCACGAACGGCGCGAACATATTGGTGTTCATGCCGATGCCGGACAAAAGCCATTTTCGCGGATTCCAGCCGTTGTTCGTAGAGTTGTCGCGGCGCGGACACAACGTGACCGTGGCCAGTTCGTATCCGCTGGAAAGCCCGGTGGCCAATTATACGGACGTCGGGCCGTTCGTTTTAAAAGAAAAAGGTTCGCGGTCGCATTACCTACGTACACTCGTGCTTATACCTTATTATTCTTCTTTTTCTTCTGGCTTAATCTACTCTACGAGAGTTTTCGCCGCCATCACAACATCGCGCCACTTCTCCCGGATGACTTCTCATGGATTATATTTCTCCAATCATTTATACCTATCCTCGGACTGCTTTGATAGACTGTTTGATAGCTTTGATACTAGTATTATATCATCTATATGTCTAACAATATTTCACGAAAACATTTTTATTTATCTCAACTGCTGAGACTCAACATATCTTCAGTAATAAATAATAACATCGTTCAAAATTAAAAAAAAAAACTAAATGTCATCACAATTACAATGAACCCAAGGCAGTGATAAGGAACGTCACATTAAGTGGTTGCCAGTTGATTTGATTTATTGGTTACACTATGACAATGTTTCTTACCAAACGAGTTAGCATTTAATTAAATAAAACCCAGAGTGTGTCAATTTCGTTATCAACCCAAAGGCACGGAGTGTGCCATGACACACCTGGCACACCCTCTGCGCACGTCTATGATTATTATTAACTGAAAACAGTAAACTTAGTTTTCAATTGTTTGCTGATTCCGGCAACCCGGTTGCAGAAATGTGCATTTAGCTGTCAAACAATTACTGTACTACGTCGCCAAAACACGCCTATTATTATGTTACACGGGTTTACGACAGGTATACGAAACGATAAATCACCGGGAAGAAGGGATAGAGTCGATTTTCGTACAGTTTTCAATCGTATACGAGCAAATAATATGTCAAAAATAAATATAATATACTACACTATAAAAAAAAAAAAAAATAGTTTAATTTAATTTATAACTAATTATAATATTTTTTTTTTTAATACACTACGTACGTTAATTTTAAAAACACGCGAATGTATGCACACTTATTTTTATTATGCAGTTAGTACTGAATAATAAAGGAAACGAAATTATTAAAAAATTAAAAAATTGCCCTTTTTCCCCGGGAACCAAAGAAATTTCAAGTCGATATTAAAATCTAGCCGCCTATCTATATAGTTACCTATACGTCGTCAAATGCAAACAATTGAATACACATGCGTTTATCCTTTCCCCCACCACTTCCGACTGTAATTACTTGAGGGCAGATATTTTAAGTTGACGAATTTGACAAAGTCCATTATAACCGTATACGTATAATTTTCTTTTTACAATTTATTCGGTTGTTTTTGAATCGGTAGAATCGTTTTCAATAGTTTTTTTTTTTTTTTGTGAAGGTACATGAAATGTAAACTGCACCTGTGATATGGAATTTGAACTTTGGCTTTTAGACTAATGTATAATAATACATTCATCAATATTTTCGTTAACCGTTTAACAATTATAATATAATTTTATATTCAACACAATATAGGTAACATAATAAATAAAAACATCGCTTATCAACTTATTAGATTTAAACGTAAAAAAAGAAATCCTTGGGAAATTCGAAACGAGATTCACAAGAATAATTATTATTTATATTTTGTGCACGAGCACGGGTGCCATTCGATCGCGTGTATTAATTGATAAATCGTACAAATCTATACGGAAGGACGGGCGAATGTCATCCTCCAAAACAAATGAGGAATAATTTTCAACACTTTTGCTTGGCGCGTCTGTCGAAGTATTTTCCACATTCACATTCTGCATCGTCTTTCATTACCCGTTTATTTAAATTTTGTTTAGGTTTTTCTACTTGTATCTTCAGTCGGTTTAGAGTTTTCCATATTTCCTAAGGTAGGTCATGTCCCGGTTGTAATGATTCCGTGGATACGTCTCCCCCCACGTGTAGGCGTGTAGTAACGGCGCAGTCGAGTTTTTTGACAGACCATACCCAAACGGGGGGGGGGGGCAGATACAAGAACCGCAACGATTTTAGCGATACATTCCAAAACTGTACAAAATACGCTGAGTGAATGAGTGGTGTGAGAACCATGCAATTTATCTCTTTTGAATTCGATCTCAGTGTTTCAGATAAACAGGGAGAATTACCTACTCTATATATACTTGTAATTTAATAAATTCACGGAATTCGTTTTCATTGTACACCTGTCTTTATAAAAAAATTGAAAATTATAGAAAGAACTTGTAAAATTACATTTTATCTACCTATAATACCTACGACTAAAAACGAAATCAAAACTACTGTTGTCATTTTTTTTGATAGTTAAAATCTTGTTACGAAAACGTACAACAGTTACCTACGAGTAAAACGTAGAATCGCGTTTTGATGTAAAACTAAACGCTTTTGGGACAAAAAGTTTTCGAAACTTTATAATAAACAATGGCGTTAAAGTGTAGAGGCCTCGTATGGTTCTTTACCTAACACCAAGGGAAAAATATTTTTATTAAATTTATAACGTTTTCCATAACCATAAATATAACGATGAGGTCAACGCATTTTCTTGTCGCAGTATCGAACTTAATGGAACTGGCCCAGTCGAACTTCATGTCGTCCGTCACGTTGAAATGGCAGCTGGCCGTCCGTATGTCCGAACAAGTGATGCCGCACCGGAAAATGACCGAGTTCGTCCACTCGGACTCGGGCCTGTTCGACCTGGTCATGGTCGAGACGTTCTGCCAGGAGTACACGGTGGCCATGGGTCACAAGTACGGCGCGCCCGTCATCAACTTGGCCCCGGCGATGCTCTGGCCCAGCGTCAGCAAATGGTTGCACGTGCCGTCCACGTTTTCGTACATACCGTACTACGCTCTGGACACCACCGACGAAATGGGCTTCGTGGACCGTCTGAAGAATACCGTGACGGGTGCGATACAGTTGTACGCGGAGAGCTACTGGTATATGCCGAAAATGAACGTCATAATGGACCGGTACTTGACGTATGCGGGCTGGGAGTCCAGACCGTCGCTCGAGCGGATGCTCGGCGACGTGTCGCTGACACTGGTCAACTCGCATCACGCCATCGGCATCGCCAGACCGTATCTTCCGGGGGTCGTCGACGTGGGTGGTATGCACATCAAACGGCCGAAACCGCTGCCCGAGGTACGTCAAAACGGGTAGACCCGTTGCTTAGATACAACTACGTTTAATTTACGCCGTTTTGGTTTTACACGATCGGCGTTATACTACAGTTGTATAAATACTTAAGTCCGAATTTATATTTTCTGGTAATATATGCCACGTCTTGTCCGTTATAGTTTTCGAGATGACCACTACTGTTCGAATATTTTCCATTTACGATAGCGTTATTTATTTCATTATGGCTCAATAGAAATAGTTCAAAAATTGAATACAAAATCAAATCGCCAACATATTTTTACGCGAATAAACAAAATCTGTAAAACAGACCAGATTTTAGTTTGTTACATATATTACCCTTCATCTATCGCCACGTTATTTCAGAACTCGAAACACATTTATATAAATTCAATCGTCATAATATGGCTTCACGATTCTGTAGTCGTCGATTTCAAGGAATCAATCCTCTTGGACTTTTTTTTTAAAATTTTTAATTTAATAATTATGTAGTCATTCAATCTTGAAGGCCATAACTGGGGGCAGGGGGTGTGCAATAATGTATGTTTTAACGTAAACATTATGATGAGTGTAAAGTAAATTAAACAAATTTTGAACTTGAACTCCTCCAGAAATTTGCTTTCAGTTACGATCTCGTAAAAGCGCCTATATAATACCAGTTCGGTTTCCTTAAATCAGTTTCAGGTCCGCCACTGAAACTATGTTCTCTATCATTCTGCAGTCACTTATTTGCTTCCGACCTCCCAAGATCTTATCATATTGCAAAAAAAAAAATAAAATAATAATCGGGTAAAATAACGTTAATTTTATTTATGTTCTTATAAATAGAATCTTCAAACGTTTATAGCTTCGGCAGAACAAGGAGTGATATATTTCAGTTTCGGGACCGTAGTAGATTTAAATCAATTGCCCACAGAGAAAATGAATATTTTTCTGAAAGTCATCGGGAGATTGAAACAAAAAACAATTCTGAAATGGACACCGACGAATGATAGTGCTGGATTAATAAATTTGCCTCGAAATATTTTGATAGGCTCATGGTTTCCACAGAATGACATTTTAGGTAAGTATGTCGGTGTTATAACGAAATATACTTAACGACGTTTTGCAAATTTATCTAATTTATATACTTACTAACAATGCGTTCCTATATAGCTCATCCAAACGTCCGACTTTTTATCACGCACGGAGGCCTGCATAGCTTAGAAGAAGCTATTTATAACGCCAAACCACTAGTCGGGATATCGTTTTTCGCGGACCAGCATTTCAACATGAACATGGTGGAAAAAAAAGGCTACGGTAAAAAAATCAGTTATTTCGAAATGACTGAACAATCGTTGGAGAACGCCATCGGAGAAGTGCTGTCGAATCCTGCGTAAATATATCTAAACCTATTATTAATATTAATTAATAGTATTAATATTATATTATTACCAGACAGCATCGTTGCGAATCGTTTCAAATAAAATATCATTCGGTGTTAAATTATAATATCATAATTTAGGTTCGGAGAGAAGGCGGCGATCCATAGCCAAGTGTATAGAGACCAACCGACGAAACCTTTGGACCGGGCCGTCTACTGGGTCGAATACGTTATTCGGAACGGCGGGGCCGGACATTTAAAAAGTGATTCCGTCGGGTTAAACGATCAACAGTATTTCTTGGTGGATGTGTCGTTGATTTTGCTCGTACCGATCGGACTGATCACCTGGTTTTGTTACGCGGTTGTCGCGAAAATCGCGATTAAAAAATCTTATAATTTTACCAAATAATGACTTATTTATGACTAACGTTTTAAACGACGTAATATTAAATCGCGTACTAGAGTAATTAGATAAATAAATATTCTTAATATACGATTAGAATTTGCGGAATATATGTGAAATATATATGAAAACGTCTGACACGAGCGTGCTCAGTTGAGGCCCATCCCATTATTCTTTGTTTTAGAAAATCTTTCTTTTATTGTATTATAGGAGCAAAAATATATGTAGTTTAACATTATTTAAAAATGTACAATAAAATACAAATAGCTACCTCCTTTAAGCACATGCTTGTGTTAGTGGTAGAGAGTTAAAAATAACATAATATGAACACTAAAAATATACAATATACGTATACTTTAAAAAAAACTAACATAGAATATATTTTAATTTTTTGTGGGTTTTAAGAAGGGTTTAAATGGGTTTTATTTTTAAAAAAACCCAATTAAACCCACCCTAAAATAGTTCTACAAAAAACCCTAAGCGATTTTGGGTTTTTTGGGTTTAATGGTAAACTATCCAAATTAATCCAACTCAGTTGGGTTTTTTTTTAAAGAAACCTAGTTTTTTCAACCTTGATTCATACCCACCACTCCCTCCCCCTCTCGTAACTAACAGACCATAATATCACAACATTATTTACATATTATTTCCATTTCATATTTTTTTCAAATGTTAAACCCAAATATCTTATACTATTAATCGTGTATATTTGTTGACTTAATGGATCTCTATAAGAATCTACATTATCACAAGTATGAATTTTAAATTGTCAAAATTGTTATCATTCTTTTATTAAAGGAGAAATTCTTAAAATTTGTTTTCTTCTATAATTTATTGAAAAGTTTCTATGATTTAGATAATTAATCACTATTCACTTCTATTATTTGAAATAAATACAAATTTAAAAAAGTGCTAATGCTGCTGTCGGGTGTCACTGTTGTAACAGCGGTCTGAAATCTAAATTTAGCATGCATGAAATCTAATTTAGAAATTATGATACAATTTTAATCAAACGATTAATTTGAAATAAATGTTATTTTTATATGATTATAAAATATGAAGTTTGATAAAATACTATCATAGTTACAGTGAAATTGGCGTATGACTAAAAATATACAGAATTTTGTCGATATTATATCGTACTATATCAGTATTAATTTAGTTTGTGTTAAACTGCTATTGCAAGTGGATCAATTATTTTAAAAACATTTTAAAATAGTTATATTATAAAATATACTTTTTATATGATGGTAAGTAATTATACAATAATGTGTATATCAATATTCTAAAATCTGACGTAATATAATTTTAAGACTAAGTTTTTATTAATTTTTTTGTAATAATATAATAATAATAATGCATTGCAACAATAACATATTTACGATTTACATCTTAATAAATTATGAATAAATATTGCAGCGCCCCCTATAAGCAAAGCTTGCGCTGGGGGAGCATTTATTAACCGGTGAATATATTAGTATTAATTTAAAATACTTAAACTATAAACAGTAATTATTTTAAAGATAAAATGAAAAATTATTATTTTGTTATGTACTAATATTAATTTGCAAACAGAAATTAAATAATAAATAAATTATGATGTATAAGCTAAATAAATATTCATTTCAAATTTCTGTGTGTTGTAAGTGGGAAGTATTCATATCTCACCTAAGTTATTAATACAACTAATGTTTAACATGTTTTTTTTTTTTTTGTTTTAATTGAGTTGTATAATCGAAAAAATCATCAATAATAATATAGTAGGTACTTTTATATTTTATTCACTCGCCACATCATAAACCAAACGAAATAAAACTGGCTAATCGGCTATGGGTCATTTTTTTTAAATTTTTTTAAACTCAAGTTATCTAACCATTAGGTACTTAATCTGTAAAACATATTTTATGTCGTATAGTTGATTAATCAAACGCCTCAGTTTATACATAATGTCGGCCTGCGTACAAATAATAATCAAAGCAATGATTGCATTGCATTCGTTAATTTAGTATATATTTTTATAATTCGATTACATTTCGTTCGGTCGCTCGTGGTCATTTATAATTTTTATTTCGTAAAATGTTTTACGTTTTATACGCATTTTTCGCCGTAATACCGTTCACGGACGCGGCCAACGTGTTGGTGTTTTGGCCTTTGCCGATCCCCAGCCATTTTCATGGTTTCGAGCCGCTGTTTACGGAACTCGCCACCCGGGGTCATAACGTGACAGTCGTCAGTCACTTTCCTAAATCCAAACCCGTTGCTAATTACACGGACATCGCAATAATCGACCAACAAATGCTCGACGAATCGTTAACAATGCCAGGTGATACGCGTGTTCTTATTTAAGTCGATGATACGATTCGGTGACTTTTCGGTCGGTGCAATTTTCCACCGGTAAATTCATATAATTTTGTATGTAGGTTGTAGGTATACGTTATCATAACTATTTTGTACGAATACGTTATGAACAAAAAAGACGAATGTATTTCGCACAGTAGGTGCGCTACTGTTGTAGGTGAGCAGTTGGGGGAAGGTTGGATATAGAAAAAAATTTAATTTTTATCTGTGCGGGACGGTAAACCATTTGCTAACAAAAAACGTAAAAAAAATGTATGTACGTAAATTTTCCCGTTTTTCTTACACGTCTCCCGGTTTTCTATAATTATTATAAAAATTGCTTGAAAAATATTACATTTGAAAATCGAAGCAAGATTTTTGGTAAAAAAAAAAATAAACTTCGTTATAAAACCAACACATTCTTCATTGCACTCGAAATCTAGAAGTAGATTATCAAAAAAAATATTTTAATCATTTGTTACAGTGGTTTTGTAAATCTTGGATAATAATCTCGAGTCGACTTGACATTAAAATTTAATACGAATTAATATTCGAATATTATAATATTGTATAGTTGATATTGTTATACAGTAATAGTATAAAGTATGCTTGATACGGTTGAAACGTTGACAACATTGATATAACGACAGGTAAAAATGTCTAAACGGCCGGAAAATCAAAGGAATACATTTTTATTTACTTTTATTCGACACATTTTTAACAAAATTAACAAAATAATGTTACCTTATTATTTATTATTCTAATTCGATATTCCCTATAAAAATAATTACCTAAATAATTATGAAACCTAATCATTGACGTCAAGGGGTTGCGTATAAGTGACTGAACGACATTTTCAGAAATATTTAAATTTGCTTTATTTTTACAATAACAGGAAGATAACTTCACATTCTTCGGTCCCAGGGTAAGAAGGCACATTTTTGAATTCTCTTTTAGATTTTGAATGGATCGAAGAATGTATTTTTTTTCTATGTATGAACATTTCTTCTACCATAAATATTGTTCTAATCATTCATTTAGGATTTATGATCTAGTTAATGCATTGTGGAGGTAGGTAGTTTTTAGATTTTCATTGTAAGTTTCTTAATAAATTGGAAAATCTGACAATTCGTTATATAATTTCTGTTCATTTCTGGTTTTCTTGTTTTAAATCAGGGAAAATTGTAACTTATAGTACCTACTTTGTTCAGAATCGTTATTCGTTAGCAATGGTTTTTGTCGTTACATACAGGTATAAATTAAATTATCCTCCTTTGTACTCCCCTCACAATCTTCCTTCTATTATTTTTTATAATTTTGTCTTATTAAAAAAAAATGTTTGGTCTATAAAGGCGTAAGTGTACGGATTTTTGAACACGTGTTATTATATTGGAAATTAAAGTATCTTCTAACTATGATGGATTTTCTGTTCGGCAAAAAGAAAAAAAGACGTTTATAATTTTACCACTTATGTCATTTAGAAATTGAGTTTAGACCATTATGCCATTTATCAAATTTTCAGTTTGTACTGGAAACTACACAATATTGACATAAGCCTTTTCTCCGTGGAATTAATTAATTATTGTCTTTGTATGATTACATTATTACAGTGATTCCGATGGATATAATCAACTACAACGTGTTTCAAGTTTTACGTGCCGGCTGGAAGATAAACAAACGGTACGCCGAGAAAGTGTTGCCGGCGAAAAACCTTCAGGATTTCGTGCTATCCGAGTCGTACTCATTTGATTTGGTACTGATCGAGTCGTTCTATCAAGAGTACACGGTGACGATGGGACACAAGTTCGGGGCGCCGGTCGTCTGCATTACTTCGACGCTGATACAGCCGACCAACAGCCACTGGATCGGACTGCCGACGACTTTCTCGTATCTGTTGGACGTGCGCACGCGTTCTAGCGACCGGAAGACGTTTCACGAACGTCTGAAATCCACTATGATCGGTTTCATCCAAGTGTACTTGGAACGGTTTTTGTACGTGCCGGCGCAGACCGGCTACATGGACAAGTATTTCCGGTACAAAAACCACGAATCCAGGCCGTCCATCGGCGTTATGTTGGCCAACGTGTCGCTGACGCTGGTGAACGGAGACGTGAGCGTCGGGGCACCGAGGCCGTACTTGCCGGGCGTCGTCGAAATCGGAGGTTTGCATTTGCCGGTGCCCAAACGGTTGCCCGACGTAAGTGTATAATTTAGGGTGCTAACATTAGGTAATTATTTTAAACGCTCTCGGCAGGTACCTAATTCAAAGTAAAACTACTATAGAACTGACGGTTTTTTTTTTTTTTGTAATTTAACTATACGATTCACTACGCTCAGCATTTAATTGGGGGCACGTTCTGGGTGAAACTTTTGTTAGTTGCAGTGTCTTGGGAACGGATACAGTGTCGTGTACATCTGCACCGTTAACGGTTTTTAATCCGGTAAACGCCGAAAGGCCGATAATCACAGAAAACCTGGTATTCTGGCCGGATTTGGGACTAGTCTTCATAGGCTATAGCCTAGGGACGCTACGTCTTCAGGGAGCGTCATGGTTGGCAGAATTCTTGGTTTTTCTTTTAGGTAGATTTTCTATCTGTGAATTTAATTTACCATCTACTAGAAAAAATATATTCTATTTAGTTGTTAGAAATATTGTTGAACATAAATACTGATATTAAATAATGTTAATTTTTTTCAAATTAGTTGTTCGCTGATTCGGTGTTGTAATATAATAAAAATAGCTGCTAATTAGCCAAATATCATTCGTAAAAACTGGGTGATAAAACTTAAAATTATATTATATCTACATAATAATATTATTGCGTATTTATAATATTTTTCACTCACCTTGTCGGAGTGAATCAAAATATTCCCATGACGGTACCAACCTCTTTTATCGCCTCTACCTTTCGAAGAGGCGACAAATTTAATGTTGTGTTAGGTCGACAGCCGATGTAAAATTCTGTTAAACCGTATGATGAGTTTTCAAAACAATAATTTAGCTGATTATCCCATCTCGGATGTGCATGGGGAGTGGGAATAACAGGTGAGAGGAGGTATAATTTTTCAGATGATATAGCTTTGATGGGAAGGAGTTTTTACTCTCCAAAGTGAAGTAATTTTTTTAAATTAATCCATTATACATTTTTATATAGACTTACGAAAATAGTAAATAAATGGGGAGGGGAAAGTCTATGTTATAAGAAGTAGAAGCTTATTTTTATTCTAGGAGCGCTTTTTAGGGGGATGCTAGGGAGTCTTTAGTACCTCCAAGTTTAAAATTACCATCCTCCTCAAAAAAACCCAATTGCCTTTTTTATAATAACGAATAAATAGTTTATCCCTGTATTTCATAATTGATGAGCAGAACAAAATACAGATATTATCCTATACAGACTATATGCATATGTGTATGAAAAATAATATAAAAATAGTTATGATATATTTGTTCATGTAAAATTGCTTTACACATTGCCGTACATTACCTAAGCTATGATTAGGCTTTTTATAAAAATGTTAACATTTTTTTTGAAATTCAGTTAAGAATATTCGTATCATCTAAATGTATTTAAAATTTGGACAGAAAACTAACATTTGCCTTTTCTAGACGTGGTGAAATTTTCAAAACATTTAAGCCATTTATAGACATTTTAATTTTGCGAGTTTTGTACGTAATTTTTATTCGGTAGGTACTGTGTGGTAAAATTGTTAGACTTAGCAGAAATGTTTGAATATTTAACAGCAGGTTCATTAAAAGTCTTACTTATGGTAAAAAAAAAAAAAATTACACAAATTAAAATTTGAAAATGGTTGGGAAATCGACTTTTAATGTTTCATAATATCCTAAAATTGTTGCCATTTGAAACTGTTACTTTCGAAATATGACTTAATTTTAAGTCCCATTTTTAAAATCCAAAAAATTCTACATTTAGTTGATGATTATTCTTTATAGAAATATTTTGTGGATTAATTTAAATTCTAGATCAATTTGTTGATTATCAAGTGAGATAGAGCGGTTTAATTAGAAATGTTTACTACATTTTTATTGAAGAATTGCAATTTTCACGCTAAAAATATTAGTTAATTTATTTCAGTCAAAATAGTTCAATTTTTTCAGAATTTATATTTATTATATTGGCTAACACAGAATTATTACAAAAAATATTCTTCCCCTCCCAGTTATAGTAATACGTAATGCAATATTAACAAAATAAATACAAGTTTTCCGCTTTTTAAAGTTACGTAATATTACGCAATTTTTAATATCCACATGATATAGTTCAAGTTGTTATAAAAAATTTAAAAAAAAAATTGCGTCAGATCATTCTAATCATGAAACACGTATTTGTTATACTATTTAACTTAATTTATTGGAACTTTTAAAACGTTATTATTCTGTTTTATTGAAACGCAATGGATTTGATTTAATTTTATTAAGAAATTATCACAATAAATTTAAAATTGATAATATTTAAACGGAAAAAAGACGAATTTATTTATTAATGAACATGAACTAGCTCATTAAAAACAAAAAACCTCTTCCGTCATTATAAATACTTCGTACTATCAATGCTGCATATAACTGTAAAATACACAAAGGTTTTTAGATTATAATAAATTATAAAATAATATAATAATTATAATCTTATAAAACCTTGTGAATATGCAACCAGGCCACGTTACTTAACGAAAACGGTTCTTATCATTTTCGGACAATTATTTATCGTTGGTAAGATTGTAAGTGTTTACAAATTATGATTAAATTAAACAAAAAATACCACCAGCTGTAGTTGATACTGCTGATGGAGTGTCTAATGTTTTTTAAGGAGAGTTGTAATAGAGGATACATAGATTAGTTTAATTTATATTTGTACGCTACGATAAATGATTGCTAATTAAAACCGATTCTGAGCAGAGTATTATTAGTCGTATTTTTCCCGTTGTTTCCAAAGTAATACAAGTTTAAAAGAAATTGCCAATTTTACCTATTTTTAGAGAAATATTAAAGAAAATTTAAAATTATCTTCTCAATGCACTAACTAGATCAAACATTATACAAAAAAGTCCCTATAAATTTTTTGTTTGGTAAAAAAGTTATGTATGGGCACAAAAGCACATTATAGTACAACCAATATATTCTACCCAGAATTTAAAAGCTTTGTTGTTAATTTAAATACATAGGTAGTAAATAAATATATTAAAATAAATAAATACAATTTCCCCAGCAAATGTGAGAAACCAGGAAAAAACATGGGAAAACGGGAAAATCGGATCAATATTAAATAAATACTATGAAAGAAAATATTTAATGCCTATTTAATAATTTTACCATATTAAGACATATATATTGTTGACAAAGCATCATTATCAACTGAAATCCGCTCAGAATCGTATTTTCGTTAGTAATAGTCTATTGTTGCCTATATGTATACATTAAATTTCCGTCTACCTTCCCAACTTCACACTTACAACAGTGGTTGCACCTAAGTGCGAAGTATAGCCGTCTTTTTTATTTGTAATTAAATATTTTCCTTTTCGAAAAGTAGAAAAATTTTGAAAAGATTTTATATTTGCAAGATTTTACATAGTTTTCATTCGTTAAATATCATTGTTTAACCGAACCGATATGCTTGAAAAGTAAACAAGAAATTCATTGTAAGTTGTACTTAGTGGTCAAAAACAGCAGAGTGTAGTGTAGTAATTTTTTTTGTGGTTTTAAAATCAAATTTTGATGAAAATCGTAAATATTACGGACTTTCTAATTACGTAAAAGCGAACTTCACGCAGAATCGTTTTTGTTAGTAATATTATATCGTTGCTTACAGGTATAAATCAAATAACTTTATGTACCCATCAGCAGTATCAACTATTTTGTTTGAAAATCAATTTTATACAGTAATATCTGGTGAAAATTTCAGAGTTTGAGACGGTACGTCGAGTCAGCCGTCGACGGCGTAATTTTCATAAGCTTCGGCACTTACGTCCATCCGTGCAAATTTCCTAAACGCTCTTTAGACGCGTTCGTCAGCGCCGTCGGTAAACTGAAACAGAAGGTTTTGTGGCGTTGGGGATGCGACGGCGAGACGCCAAATGTGCCCGCCAAAAACGTAATATTTAACAAATGGTTCCCGCAGTTCGACATACTAAGTAGGGGCAATAATAATGTTATATCGTGTCCTTGATTCAGGGAATAAGGGCTCAAGTCAAATGTGTATAGTTTTCAATACGAGCAAATTAATAATTGACAGTTGCTAATGGCCTACGCCAAATACGGCGTTCTATATAAATGGTAACTCGAGTCGTGGTCATCTCACGACTCGAGTCACGCCTTGTTGTCAAACCATAAGAGCATCGCGGTTAGTTAAAATGTTTTAATGGTCAAACAGTAAATGTAAACCGTGCGTCCGAATAAGTGTATGCGTGCGCATAAGTGTGGCGTAAGCGTATTGGGAATACTGTCACCGTTTCCAGGAATTTTCATACTTTCCTGAACTGTCAACATTTCCGGTAACATAATATTACAATACACGTTAGCTATGCACTCGGTGCCGTGCCTAGCAAAATCGGCATCTGGTTTCCAGAAAAACTGAACGGTGAGCATGGGCCAACCTGTCTGTAAGGCGTTCGCTCGTACGTTTATTATAAAAATATTCAATTACAGAACTTAAACGTTTTCAAATGGCGCCCCGGTAGTCATAGAACCCGGTGCGCGGGCACCTCTCATACCGCCACCCCCCCCCCCCTCTAGGCTCGGCCCTGTGTACACTTAAAAAGATATGCCGAATATTGACTCAAGCTCTTCTTGCCCGGGACCAAAGATTCGTTCGGTCGGTTGTACCACGAACCGTTATTATGCGTACTTATATGATTGCGATCAACAGGCCATCCGAATGTTAAACTGTTCATCACCCACGGCGGCCTGCACAGCGTCGAGGAGTCCACTTACAACGCGGTCCCGATGGTCGGCGTGCCGTTTTTCGCCGACCAATTCACCAACATCAAATTGGTTGAGCAGAAAGGCTACGGGCGGCTGATGGATTTGGGCGACGTCACTCAACGCAGTCTGCTCGCGGTCATCGACGAAATATTGACTGATCCGAGGTGAGATTCGCTCACAATTAATAATACTGTAAGTCCGTTTCTGTATGACAATGTTTATAATTAATAATCGTTATTAATTAAATGGACGCACAAAAGAAACACGGCGCTGTGGGCAAATTGTATGTCCACTGCGGGCGGGTCGGTAAGGTCGATAAGGGAGTTGAGAAGATGTTCATTATGTGAAGTTATATGTAAACAAATGTTCTCATAACCGAAATAGTGGTCACAGACGTGAAATACGAAAAAAAAAAAACAACAGATTTGTAACATCTATTTGATTGTATGTTGTAAAACTTGTATTAAAAGTACCATTAATTTTGTGATTTTGCGCCTGGTGTTACTCTATTCGAAATTTTCCGCGTCGAATAAACTAAATCGCGTACCTACCATACATCGCGTTTACTTTCCCCGTTTTGCGCCCATACTGCGCAGTGACGCAATTGGTTCATGAACCTTGGGGGTGCTTGAACCCCACTGTATTAATCAAATGAATGCGGCACTTAGACGGTCAGACAAGTCTACCCCCTCCCCACCGCTTTTGACCGCGCCACTCCAACAGTCTATACAACGGCGGCCCCCTCGCAGCGCCAAGTTTATATACATGTCCGGCTTTTTAAGAAATTATCGCATATCCGGTCGATTGTTTTGTTTCAGGTACAAAGAAAACGCAATCGCGTTCAGTAAAATTTATAAAGACAGTCTTTTGAAACCGATGGACAGGGCTGTGTATTGGATAGAGTACGTTTTGCGAAACGGCGGCGCGTCGCATTTGAAAAGCCACGCTATCCATTTGAATTCAATTCAGTATTTCGTAATCGACGTTATCGTTTCGGTATCGATCCTCGTGGCCGTGGTAACCTATTTGTCCTACAAAATGTTGAAAACTGTAAAACGAATATTATTGTGATATTATTGTTATTGTATTTTGTTGACCGTCCTTTACTGACATTTATCTTGATTTGTATATGAATAAATGATTCAGTTGAAGCGATGGAAAATATAACAATTATAGTCCGGATTGTTAATTGTTTTTTGTATAGACTATATTTTTAATTTTTTACGATAATCGCTTTAATCGGTATTTGGTTAGTTTTTTAAGTATAGGTAATAAAAAAACCATTGATAACAATTATATATTATTAGAAGCATCGCGGCGGTTGTTTTTACATTATGGAAATGAGATCGAGTATTCATTTTTGTTTTGCTATATATTTTATATTAAGCAATATATTACATACATTTGAAATAAGACGACGTAAAAGGTACATATTTTTTTATAAATATCGAAAACAAAAAAAAAAAACCAGCAATGTTTTTCTGAACAGTTATAATTTTTAATGTTTTCAATGAAATGTATTTCCGTTATGTAATGATTACCTGCATTACTGTTCGTATACTGAAAATTTGTCGACGCGATAATATTATTTTCAGTGTTATATTGTAAAAACAAAAAAAAAAAAATCGCAATATATTACCAGTATCCCTCGTTTTATATGTTTTTACATAACCATCACTCTATGTTATTGATCATATACAATGTTTGCCGGCGTAATGACATTATAAATAATTATCGAACGAAACTCCTATTTGTAATTACAGACGACGTTTTCGTTTATAGATCACGAACGTTTTTCCTCCGGAAACCACCCGGAAATATCAGAAAAAACTGCTAACGAAAATTACCTATTAGACGGTGGTTCGCAACTAAATATCAATAATATATGTAATATCATCGTGTAATTGAACATTGTTTTTTTTATTAATTTTTTGTTTTATATTTCGTTATTAATTTGAATTCTTTTTTGAAAAAGTTTAATCCTTAAAATCCTAAAATATACAAAAATATGTAAAATAAAAATAATATTATTTGATTCAGTTGAACATGAATCAAATTTGCATCCAGGTCAGTATTGTATTGGATGAACAGAAAAAATATGCAATTTCATAAACATCCGAACCCTAGATATTGAAAACACCGATCGGTGTACTTATGGAAATGCATTGTATTGTAGTGCGATAACGAAATAATGGTGTTTAAGTAATTAAATGTTAATAATATACGGTTTTAAGACGACATTTTCAAACTCCGGAGGTCTACAGGAATTAAATGGCATTTTATAAAGATGTTTTGAAAAATCGTTTCAATCGCAATATTTACAGTCCAAACCGCTGGACACAGAGACATGCAATTTTGCGCGTTGTCATAGTCATTGTTAAGAGCGGTTGGAGATTGTCGAATTGTTTATTTTTAGTTTTGTGCGGATAAACATTTTATAATTTATTTTAATCAGTGTGTCTTTAGGTTCGAATTGACGAACAAATTCGTTGAAAACACGAACAATAATAATCGTAATTAATTTCATAGTTACAAACTACTAAGTGCAATATTTTCAACTTAAATATCGATCGGTATGCGCGCTTAACCGAACTTTACTCAGAATCGTTTTGTCGTCGCGTACGTAGGACACGAATTAAACTAGCTAAACTAGTATACTATAATGTGTATCGAACATAATATGAATTCATATGCGTTTGAATGGTTTTTTTTAGACAGTCCAAATAGTAGCCAGATAAGCTACAAGTTTGAACTATAGTCCGCAATATAGAACTAAAATACAAAGTTATATTTTGCATAGCTTATCATTTTTTGACATGTACTGCGTATTTCTGTACGATTTTTCATTGCATATGAATGTTTTATAAATGCACAGTATGTAATATTTTAGTTATATTTATATTATTAGTTTAAAGTATAATGATTGAAAGAATAAAAATAAAATACCTTTTTGTTTTCATTTTGAAAATCGTTTATTTTCGTGCATAAGTTTTGTTTTAAAAGGTATATTTTTACAAAATAACAGCGTATTAAATGCACATTTCTTAGGTTTTCAAAGCATATAAACCCGGGCCCTAATTATGATTTTTATTTTATTTTCGATATGTTTTAGAGCTGCAACACCGGAACGTAATATCTAATATTATTGTAACGTGCAATAACGATATGCAGACACGCGAGGGCGCCAAGGCCAAGGCCGAGGCTGGAACAAGTATACGAGGATTACGTTGACGGCAACGGCGACGACGACGACTTGTGGTGTAATTACCCACTTTGCGGGTACCTGTGGTCGCCTCGCGCGGCGGCGCACCATTGTCAATCGTCAGTAACCGTCCGGTGTCGTGCGCGCCAACATGTTGCACCTGTCCGCCGGTTCGAACATGAGGGCGTTTCGGTTGCTGGCCGCGGTGGCCGCGCTGTTCGTGCCGTTCGCGGCCGGCGCCAACATACTGGCGTTCGTGCCGATGCCGATGAAAAGTCACTTCGGCGGATTCCGGCCCATGTTCGAGGAACTGGCCCGGCGCGGTCACAACATCACCGTGGTCAGTTCTTTCCCGTCCACCGCCGGCGGCCGGATCGCCAACTACACGGACGTGGACGTGTCGCCGCCAAAGTTTCCAGGTCGGGTTTTGTTTGCAATAATTATCCCCGGTTTATATCCGTATAATACGGCCCGGGCGAGGTCGTTGTCGGGGGATTTTGGAATTCCGGTCCCGGGGAGCCTCACCCCAGCCCCTGTTTTGCCAGTTATTGTCCCCTTGAGGTTTCACGAAATCAAAAAACTTCTATCATTTCCAATACGTAAACAATTAAACTGGAATAAAATGTCCGTCCCGCCGAAATCCCAATAATCGTGTAATACCTACGTTTTTATACTTCCAACTTTAATCGCGCCGCCCAAAAATGATTCGTATAGTTAAATCAAGTTTACGCCACAAGATTTTTTTTTAAATTTTAACCAATACATTTTTTATCGCGGAAAATACTCTGTTAGTGAGTAAAATGCTTCGATTTTTCACGAAGTACCAAAACAATTTCCACCCAGTAGTACTTTTAAACATTTTAAAGTAACGTCAACAGTTCACCGTCAATAAATCTTACCGCTTCACTATTAGACAAACGTATGTAAGACAAAGACAGAACATCACCGTTTCCAATCCCCTTAACAATGACGGAGAATATTATTAGGTTGACGGCCGGCGACGGCGCGCTGTTAGTGCCCAGTTTAACCGGTTAAAATGTCTAACACCAGAGTGCGTATACCGACTCCGACAATTTTCCCCGCATTTATACAATGCAAGCGTAGTAATAATTATCGTAAACAAAGAAATCCGACGAATTTTGATTTCTTCATGTGATCATCAGCACGTATTATAAATTTAAAATATTATAATAATGTTTCCAAAATTATTTCGCAGCTTGTTTGTGCCTTTGAACCGTGGAGAATAAACCGAATAATATTCGCAGACAATACAAATACATATTTTTATAAAATTAAAACTTTTAATGTATTTAGTGTTAAATTTTCAAGTATTTCTCTTAAGTCATTTAAATTTAATGTAAGTAGATTTTCTTGCAATTGGTCGTCATACCATAACCACCATGAACATAGAGCAACATTATTATTATTTATTTTCTATAGATAAAAATGCACAGTTTAAAATGAAAACAATTTCACCTATTATTTAAAATTGAAACGATCATAACTTAATATTATTATCTAATTAATTCAGGAAGTTAAAACCAAAAAAACGTTCAGTACTATTAATAGACTTAACCGAAGGTTATTTCATTAATATATCTCTATGTACAATTACATAGAAAATTAATAAAAACGTGGTTTCAATATAATACCATGATGCTTTAAAGGGTTTTAACTCTTTGAAGCGATTTTTTACCATGTTTAAAATGGTTCAATTGACATAGATACCATAACACCGTTATCAATTATGTATCTCCGTAAATATTATTTTTTATTTGTCATGACGTAAAAATAAGGTGACCAATGAAATAACATCGATTTAAAAAAAAAAAAAAATGTTTGTTAATATCCATTGAAATTTTAAGAAAGAAAAAAGCCGGGCAACTTCTCACGTGGGTGCAGCCACTGTTGTAGGTGAGAAGTTGGGAAGGTAGTAGAGGGGAAATTAAATGTACATTTGTAAGTAACGATAAACCATTGCTAACGAAAAAACAATTCTGAGCGGAGTTCAGTTGTTAGTGTTGTCAACAATAAATATAATATAACAATATATTTTCTTTAATAATATTTGTTTAATATTGTATCTATTTTCCCGTTTGTCCTACGGTTTTCCCATGTTTCTTCCCGGTTTTTCTCTATTTATTAAAAAAACTTCGGCCTGTAAACACTTACAGGCCTCCTCCCGCCCGTCCGAAACGATTTTAACTTTCAACCCTCGTTCCCACCATTTGTATGCAAAAATAACAAAAAATTCGAAATTATTTCTATAATACAAAAACACAGAGAAAAATTGCCCAAATATGTTTTTTTTGTAATGAACTTTCTCGAGTCTATCAATTCATTTTAAATTTGTAAAGAATGTCAAAATTCATTGTCGCATCGTAAAGTTTTTATTTACAGTTACAATACAAATATATTAATGGCACCAAAAAATTATCAAAAATATAGAGTGCATTAAATTTTGCATTGTTATTTTTTTATATTATAACTATTAAAAATAGTATTAAATATCATAACCAGATGGGTGTGCGCCAATAGCCCCTTACATATTTTTCTAGAAATTACGCACAACCCTCTCCTCTATTTTGTATTGTAAATTCTTAAGAACGCCACTGTGCTCGATGACGCAGTATTATTACAACATCCTCACCTGTTATTATTATTACTTTTTTTTTTTTAAGAATTCGACGTGATGAAGTTCATCGACCAGAACTTCTTGATCACCGTGGTGTCCAAGTGGTCGTTCGCGAACATGTTGTCGCGCGTGATGGACCATCCGAACATCAAGGAGCTGATCCGGTCTGAGGCCAACTCGTTCGATCTGGTCATGGTCGAATCGTTTTTCCAGGAGTACACCGTGGCGTTGGGTCACAAGTTCAACGCGCCCGTCGTCAATCTGGCACCCGCCATGATCTGGGCAAGCATAAGTAAATGGCTGCATGTGCCCGCGACGTTCGCGTACGTACCGGACTGTTGCGTGGGCACTACGGACCACATGGGTTTCGTTGAACGTGTGAAGAACACCGTCACCGGGGTGTTGGAGACGTACGTGGAGGACTACCTGTACGTGCCCAAGATAAAAGAAATAATGAACAGGCATTTCCGGTACGGCGGATGGGAGTCGAGACCGGCACTCGAGCAGATGCTCGGCGACGTTTCCCTGACGCTGATGAACGCGCATCACGTGGTTGGCGTGTGCCGCCCGTACCCGCCGGGAGTCATCGAGGTCGGAGGGATGCACATCAGAGAACCGAAACCCTTGCCGCCGGTAAACCATTTAATCTGTGGCAGTGACAGACTTATTATCAAGACGAGCCCGCTTAGTGCCTGAGGCCAATGATTTTTAGGGTGGCCATAATTATTTTATTTATTTATTTCAACAACAACATCTATGTATACCTCATATTTAATATTTGCATACTAACATTATAAACTAGAGAACCCCCCCCCCCCAAAAAAAAAGATAGAAAAAAAAATAAATATAGATTACGGTATTGATTGTAAAAACTGATTTGCGCGGGACGACTTTACTATCTTTCCGTACTTACAGTTGAACTATAAAAATTGCACAGCACACTAAGAAAAGATTAACTTATCTACCACTATCTAAACTTTCAGAGAAAGCGCTACAGTCCATAATTTGAAACAATTTTTCTGGTAGAAAAGTTGTTCACGGGCAGAAAAAAATACGTGCTCACATCATAATGAGACCAATAGATGATCCCTCTTTACGCTCCGAATCTAAAATTAAATCAAAAATACACTAATGTAGTAAAACGTGCAATACATTCCTCGTTGCACTCAGAATCTAAAATGAATACATGTAGACTATTTAATATTGTTAAAAAAATAATACTCATTATGCTCATCAAATTATAAGGTGGGACAAGATATTTCAGGGTGGGCCCGAACTCCACCTTAGCATTCCCTTGATGCTACTAGAGGATTTTATAACACAGTCTCGTTGCTAGTGGGTGCCTTGAATAGCGATCATTTTTAAGGAGTTTAGTATAGGTAATTTCAATCGTTATGATAATATCGTATTGTACATTATGTATTTGTATTATCATTCCGTTTTATTATTATGTTTGTTTCAATTTTTCATTAAATTTGTTTTATAATATTTGGAAAAAAATATATAAACACGCATGGTTTTGGCCTAAAGCAACATTTGGACGGAAGTACGGTTCTTTTTTTAAAGAAAATGGACAATGATGGAAAATGGCATTGCATTTTTGATATGGAAATGGTCCTGCTTTAATATCATTGTTCCCGAAAATTGTGTGGTTTTTTTTTCATAATATTATGTATTTTCGCGATTTTTTTTCAGGACTTACTGGATTACGTCGAGTCGGCTTCTCACGGTGTCGTCTATTTTAGTTTCGGTTCGTTAGTGAATTTATCTTCATTGCCCGAAACGAAATTGAATATTTTTCTCCGAGTCATTGGCGAGTTAAAACAAAAAGTAATCATGAAATGGTCGCCGGGAAAATCGGTGAAATTACCGGCAAACTTACGGATCGGTTCGTGGTTGCCCCAGATGGATATTTTAGGTGATACTAAACTGGACGTGTTTTTTTTAAAAAAAAAATTAATTTTTATCATAATTTTATTATAATAACATTTTCAATTCGGATTTCCGCAGCTCATCCGAACGTCAAGTTGTTCGTCACTCACGGCGGTTTAAACAGCATCGAAGAAGCTGTGTATAACGCGAAACCCGTTGTGGGCATTCCGTTTTTTGCCGATCAGCTTTCCAACTTGAAATACGTCGAGAAAAACGGTTTCGGGAAAATGTTACCGTTCTCAAATCTGACCGCGATATCGTTCCGTAACGCTATAGAAGACATACTTACCGATCCAAAGTACGTACAACTGTTGTTTTTTTTTTCAATTCTAATCTAATTCCTAGGACTGGTCGAATGATTGATATTTTTCTCTCAGTCTCGCGACAGTCTATCCCTATAGCTTCTTAGTTACATTAAAACTCCGCGTATGTATTGATTCCGTTGTCTTCCGATATTTGCTTCACGAACAGCGCCCTTGGTCTTCTTTTATCTGTTCCACCATCAATATTCTCCATTCACCCGGGCTGTGAATTTGAATGACGGACTGAGAACTATTGAATAGGTACACATTGTGTACACAAAATACACCTGATACGACTGATAGGTAGTTGCGTGATGTATTTTTACACGAATTACCCATTTCATAAGCCCTACTCATCTACCCATTAACAATATCCCCGCCCCATCATACATTTTCTGTTTTAAAATTGATCGAACCGGTACAGTCGAAAACACTTTAAGCGATTATTTTTCAATGGACGCCTAATCTTAGATATTTCATTTTGAAGGATATCTGTATACTTTTTCTGTTTAATGTTTTTTCGAACGAAGTATCGCGTTAGCATAATCGCGACTTTTAGAGTCGCGATATTTTAGTCGAAAAGGAATAGTTGAATATTTTCAAGGTGATGGATTTTGTTATTTTCTTTTAGGTTTGAAGAGATGGCAGCCGTCCGGAGTCGGATGTTCCGGGATCAACCGATGAAACCATTGGACCGAGCAGTATATTGGATAGAGTACGTTGTCCGACACGGCGGAGCTAAACATTTGAAAAGCGACTCGATAGGACTCAACGACGCCCAGTATTTTTTGTTGGACTTTACGGCAGTTATGGCGTCACTGGCGGCGGTATTCAGTTGGTTGTGTTACTGGAGTGCGGCCAGGATATCGTCGAAATGTATAAAATGAAATTTCACAGTATAAATGTTTAAAATGTATACAGTGCCGAACATAGGTTATTTACCACTCGGGGCTAGTAATAGTGCAGGACTGTTACCTATTTGTTTTAATAGTAACTGAAACTAATTTAAATGTAATAATAATAATAATAATAATAATAATAATAATAATGCAGGTAATTTTCTCCGGTGCGCAACATCTTAAGATGTTGTGAACTTTAAGTGACAAAAAAACAAAAAAGGAATTTTTCGTCTCAATAATTTCCAAAAAAATTATTCAGTTGTTTACCAACTTGTTCAACTCTGGTAGAAAGTTTGGAACTCTATTATATATTGAACATTTTCAATATTGTATTCTTGGTATTTTTGATTTATTTGATAAATGCAAGCGCTCTGTTATACTTACTTGACCTCTTTTAATCCAGCACTAAGAATTTAGATTCACTTTTAATAGTCTGATCGGCCGTGGTATATGCAAATTCGATAATAAAAACGGTTTTTTTTTTTTTTTTTTTAAATTTTGTGTTTACACTGTTTACAGTGTTAAATGTTATATTATAGAAATGTAATAAGATACAAAAAAAAAAAAAAAACAATCTTGTATCAATTATTCCAGTGTACGACTAAACAATAATTGTTTAAACTTATTTGTGGTTATTATTTTATTCAGAATATAAACTATAAAGACTATAAAGATGAAGAAAAACGTTCATAATTAAAAATATGAAATTGTATAGTGGGAAAATATTATTGCAAAATGCTGTTTAAAATAAAAGTATTTTGGAATTGGTCATTTAATTTTTATTAATTATTATTATTATTATTTTTGTTATTCATATTATCATTATTTTAATTATTATTTATTTAATGCGAAAAAAATTAATTAAATTTTTAAATTGTACTGTTTACTGCATTTGCACAATATATCTGCAGTCTTCTAAGCTAAAATAAGTTAAAATGACATCAGACACAAAGGTTTTAAGTTTTTATTGACCAAAGCGGTGGTATTCAAGAGTACAAATTATTCCTCTCCATGTAATTGACCCGAAGACGCTCTTGAGCAATACTGTAAAAATTTGTTGGTACAAACCGGTGTGAATTTGAGACATTTTTTGGAGTAACTGGTGTTAAAATTGATAAAACCGGTTTAATTTGTCCACACCATTACGTACATGTAGTGCAAATTATTTACACTGATTTCATTCCTTTTTATATTTTTCCCCTCGAAATAATAAACGAACAGATAAAATGATAATAATAATAATTTAATTGATAACAATTTATATTCAAATTAATGTGAATGCCTGTGATATCGACAATTCAATAAAATTACTTAACAAAATGAATACTATACTAATATTAATAAGCGGAAAATGGGAAGTATAGGTAATAATTTAAATAATTGATTAATATTTAAATGTTATTATCATTGTCAATTTTGAACAATGGTGGAGATACATTGATTTCCATCGTCGAATATCCATGGCTGGTGTAAAATAATCGGTGTCAAGTGTTAGTAAACCGGTAAAAAATTTATCGGTACACCAGTTTGTACCAACAAATTTCTAGATACTATTAACCGAGCTCAGAATTGTTTTTTGTGAGCAATGTTTAAATTTGCTTTGGTACAGATATACGAGGTTTGGCTATTAAATAACGAGACTGCTTGCGCAAAGAGCGTCTTAAAAAGATTAGGGGAAAACCGAATACAGCGCTGGTTAGCTGAAAGTGTCTATTATGCCAGTACAAAATTGGGTTTTTGTTGGTGCATTAGTATTTTTTCTGTAGCGTTTAGAAACGAACATGTTTTTTCTCTTGCCGAAAACGATGTGTGACGAAAAACATGAGCAACGGATAAACGTAAAATTTTCTCGTTAAACTAAAAAAAAACTGAGTGCTATAAGTTGTTAAAAGAGGCCTATAGTGAGGATTTCCTATCTCGGGCACGTGTTTTTGAGTGGCATAAATTATTTTCTGAAGGTCGAGAGTGCACCGGAATTCAATTCAGTCGTAATCCAAATTCAAAACTATGCTGATCGTTTTCTTCGATATCAACGGCATCGTGATGACTGAATGGGTTCCAGAGGGTCAAACTGTGAACCAACATTACTATTTGACAGTTTTGGCAACATTGCGCGAATGAGTTCGTAAGAAACGGTCGATATTGTGGAAAAACAAGTCGTGGATCTTGCACTAGGATAACGCGCCTGCCCATAACGCGCTGTCTGTGAAGCGTTATTTGGCCGCTTAAGGCACTCCAGTACTCGAACACGCGTCTTACTCATCCGACTTGGCATCCTGCGACTTTTACTTGTTTCCGAAGATAAAGTTTGCCTTTAAAGGAATCCGGTTTGAGTCGATGGAAGAGGTGAAACAAAAATCCGCGGAACTCCTGAATGGTCTTACGAAAACAGACTTCGAGCACTGCCTCGAGCAATGGAAGAAACGAATGAAACGGTGTGTGAAGAGGGGAGGAGAGTATATTGAAGGGGAACATTTGTTTGTGGAATAATTTTTAAAATAAAACCATTTTTCATAAGCAGTCTCATTATTTAATAGCTAGACCGCGTACATTCAATTTCTCTCAATATCCTATATTTTCTATTTCTCATCCATAACAGTGGTCCATCCATTGTGCGAAGTATGTCCGTCTTTTTTTCTTATCAATCATTAATAATGAATTTAAATATTTCGCTCCTCCCCTCCCCCGAAGTGAAGGTCTAGAGACGCCTCTGGATGAGTAAATTATTTACTTATTTGTTGAAGAGAAGAATAAATTGCTTTCTCAAAATATCGATTTGGGAAGGTAAGACATAGACGGGAATTTAATGTATATTTTTAAGCAAGTAGTAACAATAAACCATTGCTAATGAAAAAACGATTCTAAGCGGAGTTCAGTTGATAGTGTTTTTTTGTCAACGATATAATATGTGACATATTATGGTAAAATACATATACATACTACATATGCAGAAAAAATGCTACACTTGTAAATCGGAGCAATATTTCTGGTAGAAAAGTTGTTCACAGACCAAAAAATAATAGTAATAATAAACATCATTTTAAAACCAATATATTCCTCGCTACTCTCCGAATTTAAAAATGTATATCATATTGTGCATTTTTGTCTGGCAGTACTCTAGAGGATCATTTTTTGATTTTCCCAGCGGTTTTCATAATAATTGGTAAAAACGTAGGGGAAACGGGAACGATTTAAATACATGTATATAAAATTAATTTCGCTTCGAATCGTTTTTCGTTAACTGTAGTTTATGGTTGCTTACAACTATGAATTAAATTCCTCTCTTCATCCTACCTTGTAAACTTCTCACCTACAATAGTGGTCCACCCATCATACGAAGTATGACGGTCTTTTTAGAATTTTTTTTTTCCACATATTAATTCAGTGTGTGAAAAAAATGTAAAATTACAAACGAATACAAATAAATATCATAATATAGTCACTGAGCACTTTTAATTTCGTACTGAACACTTAATATTTCGTATAAAACAAAATGCGCCGTACTACACACAATTTTAGTCCGTGGGACTAAGGACTATGAATAATAGTCCGGGTGAGTGTGAACGACTTCTGGTTACTTGTTGTAATCCGCATGATATCTGATCGAGGAGTACCTGGACATTTCGGAGAATCTGAGATTCCAATTAAGGGGAAGAGAGGGGGGGGCGAGGGGTGTGTAGAAATTGACCATATTTTTCCGACGACTGCTAGCAGGCGAAAAACCGTACAACAAAGCCGATAATTTAACATTTTATTAAAACGATTGTAGTATACAATGTCAATTGGCCAATGTATTACTATGTTAAACGATTGAATTGGCGGAAATATCGAAATGATGCATACGTAAACATAATATTATACATACGATGTTAATATTAGCTTCTAATGAACGAATATAATAATTGTTTTATACGAATATATTAATATTATTATAATATCACTGAAAACCGTTTAAAACGTATCTGTACATTATTATATTGTACGTATATTACAATATTGTATTAAAAAAAAAATTAAAAATAATAATAAATAAATAAATCGGTCGTAATACACATAATACATTACAACCGTATGAATGTAATTTTTTTTTTCTATAACTATGACAATAATAATATGCTCTTATAGGTAATGTAGTCGCCTGAATAATATTATACAGCGTAAAATAAATCATACTTAGTCAGTCTTAAAAACGGCTACATTATCGAGACAAAAATATTTTATCGATTCAATAAAAATAATAATATTATACGGTAAACAATAATGCGGCGACGCGCGTTTAACAATGTGATAATATTGCTGACGGACGCGGCACGGTCCACGCAAACGCCGCTGAAAACAATACTAATAATAATAATAATAATTTAATGTCGCGCGATTTTTGGGAATATTACAGTCTCCGGCGGCGTCTCGGTCAAGCGGACGCCGCCGACGGACAGTCGGACGAATGGTATTCAAAGGAACTGGTCGGCGGTGGCGACATTTCTTCTGAACAGAAAAAAAAAAAAAAAAACAAATGAAAATAAAACCTTCCGAACACGGGCAGTGCCGATGACGATGATATTACGGAAATCACACGATCAGATTGGGGGGCACGCGTTTCGGTAAATTGTGTACGATGTCGGGGAACGAAAACTGTTTGTTGTTGTCGCAGCTACGAACGCCGTCGTCGAAGCCGGCGACGGCGACGGTGTCCGCTGAGACGCGGCTCGAGCTCACGGCGATCACGGTGGTGCCGTTGGGTGCGTCGATCCGTTTTTTCGACGCTTTTTTCTTGCCGAACGACTCTTCGATTTCCTGCAGCGTCTTGCCCTTGGTCTCCGGGCAGAAATAATAGAAGAACAGCGTGCTGGCCAGCGACACGGTTCCGTAAACGGCGAACGTGCCCGGTTTGCTGGCCGTCTCCTGTAACAGCGGGTACGTTTGCAGCACGACGAAAGTACTGAAGTGACCTATGCACGTGGACACGCCGCCCATAATTCCGCGGATCTGTCTGGGGAACACCTCGCCGATCATCACCCACGGCACGATCAGGTAGCCGATGGTCGAGCACGCGTAGAATGTGAACAGGCTCATGATCGGGATCCACGTGGCCGTGGCGGGCAGGCCGTCGGCCGCCAACGACGCGTTTCGGTACATGTAGGCGGCCAGGGACAGCATGCAAACTCCGCATCCAACGCCTGTGACAAGTTTAGGAGGTTAGATCACTGGGGTATAGGTGCGGGCAGTATATAAAAAACACTGTCTTACTCGATATGTAAGAGAGCGGTTTCCGGCCCAGCCGTCGCATCAGAATGCAGCCGATGACGGTGAATATCAACCTGATGATGCCCAACACGACGGTGGCCTTGTACTTGTCGATGGTAGACCCAGAGTCCTGTTGAAACGCATATTACGACCGTGTGTTTAGTAGACGAAAATATCGAATTGTTACCGTTATTGTTATTATTATTATTAAATACGTAAAAACTAAGCTGACCTTTATGACTTCGACGGCGTAAAACGTAACTATGTTCAACCCGGAAAACTGGCTGAGCAGGAAGTAGAGGGACAGGATCACTAAAGGCATGTACGTAGACGGCCTGCAGATGAGCTGTAACTTTTCATTGAACGTGGTCGAATCGTTCGCCTTGGAGAACATAATGAGATCGTTGACTTCGGTGTCCACGTCGCACTTGTTGTCCCGGACCCTCCGGAGGCTGGCCCGGCACCGGACCTCGTCCTTTTTGGACGATATCAGCCAAGATGGCGATTCCGGTATGAAGAACGCCAAGAACAATGCGACCGTGGGTATGGCGGCGTTGAAATACGCCAACTGGTCCCAGTTCAAGTACGAACCGAACAGATACTCCAACATGACACCTGAATACATATCGAAGACAAATTAAATAAACGGTCGGTCCTCTTTATTTTGAGTTTTATTGTTAGCAGTTTTCTTTGAAACTCCGGCTCGCTTACCCAGTGAGGTCCCGACAGATGCGAACGCGGCCAGCACGCCCCGGAGATGCGGCTGCGAAACTTCGGCCGTGTACACGCGGGACGGTGCGCCGATCATGCCGGAACTCAGCCCCACCAGGAATCTGCCAACGTAAATCCACTCGATGGACGTCGCGTAGCCTACCATTAGCCATCCGACGATGGCGGGCAACTGCAACACGATCAGTGTCCATTTGCGGCCGATCAGGTCGGTCAGGTAACCGGCAAGTATGCAACCGCACGGGGTCCCGATGGTCGACACGCTAGCTGTAACACGTCGGGCGTAAGACAATTTTTCACGGAGACGAAACCCGAAAAAGAGGCACGAAATTATTTTACAGGGCGAGAATATAATAGTAGCAGTACTTGGGTAACTTGCGAAGGAACTTTGGTTATATTGTTAGTCAGGGGCGAAAAACTCACCTATCCAAGAGGCTTGGTTCCTGTTGACGAGGATACGGGAATCCGGCAGAGCCAGTTGGGGTAGACTGACGGCGGTGTAGCCGAACACGAGCCCGGTGTTTATGGTGCCCCAGTTTGCCGACAGGGCGACGAGGATCTGAAAAAGAATAATATTTTGTTTTAGCAGTTTTTAACAGTTTAAACAGTAATTGTATTAAGTTATTATCACATCGTAGTTGACTGCTGTTATTAAAAATGTTAACAAACCGTTTGTACTCGTATTAACGCACCGTTAATACGAGCACAAAGCACCGGAAGCGATGATTTCGGTGGGCACAATAAAAACTAAAAATTTTTTGCTTTGAAAAAACGCGCGAAATTTTCGTGGTTTGGTAAATAGTTTTAATAGTGAATTTTTTTTGGTAAACGAAAAAGAAAAATATTTGACAGTTGATACTGCTCACGAGTAGACCACTGTTATAGGTGGGCATAATATAGTTCTGAAGGTAGTTACTATACATATACGTGTCACGAAGTTTATGCAGGGAAAATTAGTTTATATCACCTGTCTAGATGACCTTGGTTTATATACAACGATGAATCATTGCAAACGAAAAAACGATTCTGAGCGGAGTGCATATTTGCATTGTTGCATTAACAAATATATGCAGAAATCAACAAAAATCGAACAATTATAATTACAAAAAGACTTTTACAATAGACATTTTGATAGACTTTTCTCTTTTAAATAACCAACTGTTGGTAATTTGGAATACAATGTGTTCCCCTTTCAATTGTGCATGAACAAGATAAGAGTATGACATAATTTGATATAATATACCGATATGTATTTAGGCAAAATGCATTTGTGTACTAATCTGATTTTTAAAAATACTACGCGTGAGAATATTGAAACATTTCACTCACTGGAAAAGTGTTTTAAAATTCATCTGCCATTTTTTGCATTTTTACATTTATTTTCAGGGATTTTATAAACGTTTTTTTCTTTCATTTTTTTGGTGGGTTTTTAGTACATAATATAATCCCTAGGCCTGAACTGATAATAATAATAAATAATTATTTTTATTCTTTACGCGCATGATAATGCGATAAGGTAACAATATTATGTGACAACGGTTTTTGTTCTAAAAATATAATTATTGTAAACTGTACAATTTTATTTTATTTTTACTTAGTAATAAACACCTTGTGTAATCAACACTACGTAATAGTACATATACGACGTATGTATGTATTATATACACTATATTCACGATTTTATAACCGATACCTATAGATACTGATTATTATATTAACATACGGATTAGATGAATAACACGGTTTTTTAATATCATCCGCTGTTAACTTCGTGTTCCGAGGTTCGGGGGGGGGGGAGGGGGGCGACAGAGTTGGACAATTCGCTATAATATAATAATATATGATATATATAATATAGATACGCATGTGTCGATTGAAAACGTGAATTAATAAATATACGTGAAAACGGAATGAACCGTGGTGAACAAAAGCTGAACTCGCGTATATACACGTGAATTCACTAACCGTGTTCGCGTATTTCACACGTTAATCAAGTGGATACGTCGTGAAAATGCGTGAAAAATAACGTGAAATACGCGAATGGTTGCAACATGTACACGTGTATACGCGGAATTATTATTTTTTTTTTCAGTACCTACCCGAGGTTTTGTAGATTCGAATGTTAATTTCACGTAGATACGTGAAAACTTGTACACGTGAAGTTATACATCAACGCGCATACGTACCTACTATAGACAATAATGTAGTCGTTTTGATTTTTATTGGCGAAAACGCTTAAAAATCAATTATGCATTTTTTTTTTTTTTTATTCTTCAGAATAGGTACCCGTTCAATAATTAAATATTTTTCATTGCACGAGTGCGACGTATTTTATTGTTCGTTGCGTACAATATTAAAACAACATAATAATATCCAAATGAGTATAATATTATATAATATCATGTTGCAGTACAATATACTTTGAGTACCGTATAAAAATATGTACCCATAATATGTGCATAATAATATGTTTATTTCGATAAAAAAAAAGTCCCCATCTTCATTAAAGTTCTTTTTAACCGCGCGATATTCTATGTATAATATTATTACCGTTACCTTGTTTGTTCGTTCGGATCGTATACAATTTATATATATATATATAACTTATACATTATAGTATAAAAATGATTCACTAAGCGTGCTCACTCCATTTTTTTTTCTTGTTAAATTTTACATATTATATTCAAATATTTTGATTTGGGGGGGGGACACTAATGAAACGCCGCGCGCCGTGCCTCCACACAAATGCCCTACTCCGCTACTCTCTCCCTACTTAAACTTGAAAGTGAAATATCTCGTTTGGACGGAAATCAAAAACATATTAACACCAATATTTATTTTAACTATAATACGCCATCTATTTTCTCGTTCGTTAAATGGAACAAAATCATCAATCACTCGTCCTTTTTTTTGATTTATCTGAGCAAGATTTTCGGTAGAAAATATCGTTTGCAAAAATTAAAATTATTATTACGGGACGTCAAGTTGCCGTGATTATTAATCAATTTCAAATGTTTTGGTTTTTTCCAACTGTTACACGAAAACTACTAACACTTCTTGTAGAAAGCATAGTTTGCGAAAATCAAAAATTATGTAAAACGGTAAAGCGGCACGCCGTAAATATTAATCGTTTCAGTCATAATTTTCTTTCGGATTATTCTCAATTGTTTAGAAAACCCTTAAGAAAATCAAAAAATTACCTCTACTATGCGCAAACCAGAGAAAATTACCGTTCAGAAAAGGTACAGCGCTCTATATATATCGGAACAAGATTCCTTATAGAAAAGTTGTTCACAGGCAGAAAAATGAATACGAAAAAAAAAACCATCAAAGTAAAATCAATAGATCCCTCGCTAGGAACCGAATCTAAAATGGGATGGGCACGCTTAGTGAACCATCCTGTATACAGGCAACAATGTATAAAAAAACGTTATTTCGACAGGTCACGTTACATAATATCGTTTTGACGCGTCGAACTTAAAGAGTAGAAAAAAAAATTTTAAAAATTAAACGCATTTTACGCGATTAAACGCACAAAAATCGTTAAAAAAAAAAAGCGGGAGAATGGCGAGAGAGTGACCTACCTGTTTGAACGAACTGCCTTTGGTGGCCTTTGCCGTGGGCTCGGGTGAGTCTTCCTTGAGCAACGGCTGGTCCTTGCCCTTTGCCGTCTGCATCATGACGCCACTCAACATCAACTTGGAACCCATGATGGACTCGCCGCTACACATTTCCGAACTGCGAAAAAAAAAAACAACGCCGACCATGGAGAATAATTCGAATTTTTTCCCGCATTTTTTATTATTATTATTATTTTTTTCAATAATATTTGAGTACTCACATGGCCATAGCGATGTTATTTTCGGTGTTTGGAACTGCCGCGCGTTTTCGCGCGGGTTTTCGAGAGAGAGAGAGAGAAGAACAACAGCAAAACGAACGTCTAACTGAAAAACTCGTATATAGTACTTCAGAAAAACCGTTGGACCATAATATTAGGTATTGTTGTAAACTATTTTTGTTTCGGGCGAAAATAACGAGAGACGGGAAACTACGCGGAAACAAAACGGCGAACACTGCGCGGCGCGACGACGGTTGCGAAAAACCAATGTTTCGAATGTCGAAATAATATGTCTTCGGGCCGGTCGGGTGGCACGTTTCTTCGTTGGTCGCGCGCAGTCCGCGGCGTTCGAGACACTGGCGTGCGTCGCGGTTGTTCTCGTGCTTACAAGTGCTTACGGACGCCGCCGATCGAGCCGTTGAGGTTGGTCTTGCCGCCGCCGCGGCCGCCACCACGCCGTTAGCGTCATTGTCATTGTTGCGGCGGCGGCGGTTACGTCATCGCGTATAATATGCTCACTCGCCGCCGTCACCCTAAACTCTAAAGTCGACGCATTTTCACGTCACCCCCGGTACCACAGATGGTCGCATCTCCGCGGCCCCGGGCTAGTTATTTTCAGTGTTGTTAAAGTTCCTTTTGAAAAATAATTCGTTCCCGTTCATCGTTCCTTAAAAAAGGAAGCGTTCCTTTTTTTAATATATATATATATATATATATATGAATACCTTATGCACACCAAAATAATATATTTATATTCTTAAAGTATTCAAATATACCTATAAACAATTGATTTGAAATTGAGGGTTTTCATATGTTACTTGTGTAGATATCTGGTTTTCCTAAAAAAAATAAGTGCTGTGTGAGTTGATCGAGTCAGTTAAAATTGGAAACTAGTCTTACTTTTCAGAATTGACATGTTTAAAATCCAAATAAATTAAATTGATTTCCTTGTTAAAAACAAAAGAATTAAAATATTTTCGTTCCTATTCCTAAAAATAAAGAATTAATTCACGTTCCTATTCCTTTAAAAAAATTAAAGAGTAAATTTAAAAAAAGAATTAATTCTTTCATTTGTTCCATCAATTCTAGAGATCGTTCCTTTAGGAACACGTTCCTTAACAACACTGATTATTTTCCGTCGCTGTAGGTGTAGACAGAAAACGCGTAGGTATATTTACCCGAGATTCGCGATAAGACATTTTAATCCACGTACTTTTGCAAACAACTTTTGAGCAACGTACAATATTATCAGTTACCGCATTTACCGAAAACCCAACTAATTATTCCTCAACGGTTATAACCATGGAAAACTGGAACATAATGGTTACTATACATACAATATCAAAAGTGCATTGATAAAACGAAACCCGGGTTTAAATGATTATGTGCCCTGCGTCGCCTCCGAATGGCCCTCATTGATTGCGATTCCGTGGTTTACCCGCCGGGATTTTTGAAAATAATTAGAATAATATTAGAAAGCGTTTTGAAAAAATTATGACTAACCTATTCTTGACCGTAATTAAAAAAGTAAGAAAATACGAACGTTGGTAATCTTTAGATATTTTATGAAGAAAAATAGATTAAATTTGTATAAAAAAAAAAAAAAACAATTCAACAGTAAATAATATCTATGTGCGTTTAATAACATAATTACAATAAAATCATTATGTTCGATTTTCGTTTGTCGGACACATTTAATTGATTTTCGAAAACGTTATAACATAATACCTACTTTATATTTCTTTTCTGAAAAACGCCAACGGTCCGTGTATGTAATTTGCATATTATTTTAATTTTCATTTCCCACACACTTCATGGCAAAAATTATAATATTATAATATTAATCGCCAACCTATACTTGACGCACGGATAATGCAGGTATAAGAAAATTCGATAGCGATAAAACTCGGTATACTGTAACGGATAATATTATAATTACGACGGTTAAACGTTTACGAGAAAAAAATTAACACATACCTGCAAGTCATTTAAATTCATAACACGTAGATATAATATTATTGTAAATCCATCGTGTTTTTTTTTTTTTTTTTAATTCATAACGTTTGTAATTAAAGTAACGGCGTTAACACGCCGTTTACTCGCCCGTCGTTCTAAAGCACTTTTAATCTAAAAAATAAAAAACCTTTAAAAAAAAACCAACGATCACCATACGCGATTTCCAAAAGCCACGGTAGAGTCGGAGATATAAGACTAAAGTGGACGAGTACCTTTAGTTGAGCGATCAGACGATTGAGAGAGAAACTGTGTGAGGGGAATACTTAGTTTAATTATAGTTGCGCGCTACAGATATAAGTCGAATTACTATAATATATAGGTATTTAAAGTAAATACCTATACAAAAATAATTTTAACTTCAATTTATACCGAACAAGTATTTTGTACATTTTTATCACGTCCTTATGAAAGCCAAAACAGGATAAGAATAGTAACATTTTTTTTTTTTTTTTTTTTTGTAAGTAAATAATTAATAAAACAAAATGTATGTAGATACAAACAAATAAATAAACCGTGTACTTCATATTCAATCATATTAATAAGTTCTAACACAGGAAATTTTCAAAAACGTGAACACAAACTCAATTTCAACGCCCGGACTTTTTATATTGTTTACTAGTATGGCCAATTGAGTAGGTATTTATATTTTTAGATAATTTAAAGTTTACTAATTATTAAAGCGTTCGTTTTTCTTTTCTTTTTATTGACGGATAAATCTGTTCTTCATCACTGGGAAATTTTATTTTTTTTAAATTGTTGTTCAGACTGGTCTGGTGAGTACCATTTTACCAACAAGCGATGATGAGTGAAAAGACGCTTGACTAATGTCGTACAATTTTTCTTTATTAGTATTGAAAAATTTACTTTCCCAATCCGATTTTAATGCATATAAATAATAATGTTGTATTGATTCGGCACAAAATATGTATATTTTTTTATTTTCCATCAGAATCACTTGACAAAGAACATGACAAAAAGTCGATGAACTAACAGGGTGAGTATCTTTGACATAGTGAATCGTTATAAAAGTTATTATTCAATAAATTTTCTTACTGAAAATATTTTATTGATTGAATAGTGAGCAATAGTCGTGATCTAATTGTAATTTATAAATAATGCAATAACTATCTATATACATACTAATTATTTTGTCGGTTGTCCCTGTTTATCAACACAGTGGTGACCAACCGTTTTGTACAGATGGCCATAAAAAAATAAAAATAATAATAATTCTTGGTTGGTCAAGAATTTAAACTTTCACTTTTAAGTTAATAAAGAATATTATAAATTATTGTCGTTATACCTTAATATAGGTACAGTGATACATTTAATTATGTATAATATATTGAATGTTATAAATGAAAAAAAAATTTAAAGTACAAACATATCTTATTTTAATGAGTGTTAATTTTTGAAATTTGAAGATATTTTATTTTTCAGTTTTGATTTAATATTTTGGTGAGCCGATTAAAAAAATGGTTGCGATTCGTAGTTGTACCCTAATGGACAAAAAATAATAAGCACACATTACATAATAAAACCAGCGTCGCGCCCTATACATTCTGCCCGTGCGTTTTCCATTCAACACCTTATTCGTGCTATTTCCGCCCATTGTCGTAATCTTTACCTGCTGAAACTATGTAAGATGGACTATTCGATCACAATTTAAAATTATATATAAATTTTATAAAATTGTCAAATTATTATAGTTTTAATTCTAAACAAATGATAAATGATAGGTATAATTATAAATTATATGTCATGCAGTTTTATAGGTACGTATGGAATTCCATCAACTAATATAATACATCGAATTTATCAATGGAAGGTTTGAGCTTAGATTACGCACCAGTAAAAGAAAGATTACGTATATTTAGATCAACGTATCAAACAAATAAATGAAAATTTCTAAAAAGACAAAAATTTCAAAAAATGTTGACTATAATTATCGTTTGTTCAAAAATTAAATTAGATTAAATAATTATGAAAATAAAGTTATAATAATAAGTGAACAATTATGAACTACTGGTAATACAATATTTTAATAAATTAAATACACGTTAATTTATAATTTTAAATTTTGAGTAGATAGTCCTTCTTATATAATTTCAGCTGATAAAGATTACGATAACAGGCGGAAATAGCACGAAAAAGGTGACGAGCGAAAATTGCATGGGCAGCCAAAAGTGTACGCCACCATTAAAACCAATGCGTCATTACTCGCTTCACTCAGAATCTAAAATTGTAAAATACTAAAAACAATCCTTCGACCAAAGGAGACATTATAGTATATGAATATTTTTGATGATGCTTTATACAAGCATCCATTTAAAAAAAAAAAAACGGCCTATTTTCAATTTTTTTACACTTTTTTTCCTTGTCGGTTTTCGTTATTTATAACTCTCGATCTCGTAGTGCAGCGTATAGTTTTTGCAGAATACATGTAAAAATTGCATTTGACCAGAAAAAAAAAATTGTATTCTTTTTTTACACATACCCAATACACGCCGATATGAAATGTGATGTGACACCACAGATTAATATTATCATCACGTTGTCTAATTTATATAAACGAAAACATTATTGGTCTTTTGAGCGAATGATGTTGGTATTTCTCATAAAAAAAAAATAATAATATAATTACTAAACTATTATTAGTTTCACTATCGTCGTTACTTTAACATGTATACGGAAATGTTTGAACAAAAAATAAAAAAATAATAATAATATAAAAACAGACTTCCTACCTTGAGTGGCGAATATACCTGCGTTTTGGACGCAACTCAAGAACTCGAGCCAGTATATTTTATAATATTATTATCTTAGAATCGAACAAAACGATACGAATCGCATGACATTCGAGAAATTATTCACAGAACAGCTGGTATTCGCAATGGTTGACTTAACTCATCGATAAATGATCTGTCTTGGTATTTTTTTTGTGATTTGAGAGCCTAAATAATATTGAATATTTGTTATATCTACATGTTTTTAAACATAGTAATTTTTACGATTTTCGTTAAAATTTGAACCGAAATCGCGATAATTAAAAATCAAAACTTTGTTTTGCTCAATTTATCAAGTAAATATTGATATGGTATGATACATTGATATGGTGAACCTTGTGTGAGCATTTTCAAGCATTTTTGCTCAATCAAAATAGTTCTATTCGATTATCGACAAATAATAAATGACGTGATTTTTATGATTTCAATTAAAATTTGAACTTAAACAGATTATCAAAAAGAAAAACTAATATATTAAACTAAACTTGATAACTTTTCCACTAATGTAAATCAGTAACGAAACTCCTATTCAATTTTCATTCATTTCTCTTCGTCTAAATTATTTTATCCAAATTAAACCAAACATAAAATACTAAAAAACTCGAAAATATCAAATGCCTATAAATAGCTTGAAAATCAAAGTTTTTCTACGTCTAAACAATGAAACAGTTACATGCCGTTGGTATTCTCGTATACATAAACGTTTTTTCCGGTTATTCCCATTTATATGAAAACCGCTTGGAAAATGAAAAAAATTACTTTCTCAATACACCAACTACATCCACAACGCAACACAAACGAGATCTTGTCATTTTTTTATTAGAACATCGATTCGATAAATCCCAGTTGAGATTAACTTTTTAAACTGGCACTCGTCGCCAGATTTTCTCGGCACACCTAGCTCTGCATATTATAAATATCATTCAATTTTACACGAAGACCACGCCTGATGATAACAGGTTTTTAATATATTTTTAATGTAATTTATGACGTCAATAATTTGAAAACCTAACAATATATATATATTTCGATTACTTTTAAAAATTAACTCTTGACTTCTTGCTTTTAATCCATTTTTACTTTTACTTTTCAAATTAAGTGGAGATTCAATTAACGTACAGAATTATATAAAATCGTCACGCAGTCGATCTTGAACGGCCAAAATCTTTTATCCCTGACACAAACCCGTAGCAACCTGAAGTTAAGAGACAGGCCTTCAACAAGTATTAAATGTGCATTGAATGTATTAATATTATTTTTTTTAATGTCCCCCAAAAATTTGGTTTGCCCCCCTTAATGATTAGGTCTGGCCACGGACCTACCTTGCAGAAAACACTTTTTTTAAATGCAAAATGGATTGGTACTACTTTAAGGAGGTCATTTTTGATTTTCCCGGGTGTTTTCATAATAAATAGAAAAAACCGGGGAAAAACGCAGGAAAACGGGGAAATTTACGAAATGTATTGTTTTTAAATTGTAAATACT